TCACTTCAAGGCTATCATGAACTCTATCGGAACAACTCTCCTCGTCTTGGTCATGTTCTTCATTCTCGCTGCTTGGGTTGGTGGTTTCTTCCGTCACCTTCGCATCGCTACCCCCGAGGATAGCGACAACAGCCTCCTTAAGTACACTTTGATTCTCTTCATCATTGGTGTCCCCGTCGGTCTTCCTGTCGTTACCACCACTACTCTCGCTGTCGGTGCTGCCTACCTCGCTCAACAGAAGGCTATTGTCCAGAAGTTGACTGCTATCGAGTCCCTCGCTGGTGTCGACGTTCTCTGCTCTGACAAGACTGGTACCTTGACCGCTAACCAGCTCTCTATCCGTGAGCCTTACGTCGCCGAGGGTGTCGATGTCAACTGGCTCTTCGCTGTTGCCGCCATCGCCTCTTCCCACAACGTCAAGAACTTGGACCCCATTGACAAGGTTACCATTCTCACTCTCCGTCGTTACCCCAAGGCTCGTGAGATCCTTGCCCGCAACTGGGTTACCGAGAAGTACACTCCTTTCGACCCCGTCTCCAAGCGTATTACCACTGTCTGCACTTGCGATGGTGTCCGTTACACTTGTGCCAAGGGTGCCCCTAAGGCCATCCTCAACTTGTCTGAGTGCTCCGAGGAAGAGGCTCGTCTCTACCGTGACAAGGCTGCTGAATTCGCTCGCCGTGGTTTCCGTTCTCTCGGTGTTGCCGTCCAGAAGGAGGGTGAGCCCTGGCAATTGCTCGGCATGTACCCCATGTTCGACCCCCCTCGTGATGACACTGCGCACACCATTACTGAAGCCCAGAACCTTGGTCTTTCCGTTAAGATGTTGACTGGTGACGCTATCGCTATTGCTAAGGAAACTTGCAAGATGCTTGCCCTCGGTACCAAGGTCTACAACTCTGAGCGTCTTATCCACGGTGGTCTCACTGGTTCTCGCCAGCACGATCTCGTTGAGCGTGCTGATGGTTTCGCTGAGGTTTTCCCCGAGCACAAGTACCAGGTCGTCGAGATGTTGCAACAGCGTGGTCACTTGACTGCCATGACTGGTGACGGTGTCAACGATGCTCCCTCTCTCAAGAAGTCTGACTGTGGTATTGCCGTCGAGGGTGCCACCGAGGCTGCTCAGGCCGCTGCCGATATTGTCTTCCTTGCCCCTGGTCTTTCTACCATCGTCGACTCCATCAAGGTCGCTCGTCAGATCTTCCAGCGTATGAAGGCCTACATTCAGTACCGTATCGCTCTCTGTCTTCATTTGGAAATCTACCTTGTCACCACCATGATCATCATTGACGAGACTATCCCTGCCGATTTGATCGTCTTCATCGCTCTCTTCGCTGATTTGGCCACCATCGCTGTCGCTTACGATAACGCTCACTACGAACAGCGTCCCGTCGAATGGCAACTTCCCAAAATCTGGGTCATCTCCATCGTACTCGGAATCTTGCTTGCTGCCGGTACCTGGATTGTCCGTGGTGCCATGTTCCTTTCCAACGGTGGTATCATTGAGAACTTCGGTCACCCCCAGGGTATTATCTTCCTTGAGGTCGCTCTTACTGAGAACTGGTTGATCTTCGTTACCCGTGGTGGAAAGACCTATCCTTCCTGGCAACTTGTCGGCGCCATCTTCGGTGTCGATGTCTTGGCTACTCTCTTCTGTGTCTTCGGTTGGTTGGTCTCGCCTGACAAGCAGATCACCCACCCCGCTGACACTGCCCAATTCTCGGCCAACGGCCACACCAGCATTGTTACTGTTGTCATCATCTGGGCCTACTCCATCGGTGTCACCATTGTTGTTGCCACCGTCTACGCTATCCTCACTGACATCCCCTGGTTGGATAACCTCGGTCGTCAGACTCGTTCCAAGGCCGACACTGCCATTGAGAACATGATTGGCCATCTCTCCAAGTTGGCCATTGAGCACGAACAAGACCGTGTTACTGGCGCTTCTCGCTTCGTCATCGGCACCCGTGCCCCTGAGGAAGAGGATGATGAGTAAATGCATTAATACCCATTTTTCATTTGCCATACATCAATGATTTTTGGTCTCGACTCTAGGGATTAAGTCATGAGGATACGGAGAACGAACTGAACGTGGTGGAGTCAAATATTCTTTCATTCTTTCTACACTTTTTTCTTCACTTCTACTACTTGCTTTTTTCATTCTCTTTTTAATATTTTTTCCTATGCTGGGATGATCATCTCCCATGCTACCAGACCACCCAATCTTTTTCTGATCCAGTTGTCCACATGCACTTATTGCTTGGTTGTCGTGTGTGTCTTGCTCTTTCCAAAAATCAATGCACAAATAAAAGAAAGAAAAAAGAGAAATCACCAACTCATAGACTCTTTTCTTCTTTTTTCTTTTCTTTTCTCGCTGAGAACAAAGTGTTGTACATCTTTTCTTTTCTTTTCTTTCCTGTCTTTGCTTTTTCTCATCGAGGTTTCATAGAGCTTTCTACAATTTGCTTTGTGTTACTTTTATGTGTATGTATGGTTAATACCAGTAAATTAGCATTCAATCTTCCTTGCAATAACTGTAATATGTAGTCTGCTTGTTCGTACTATCACAGTAGAGATGAACTCTTAAGGCAAATGGTCCTACTTGCAGCCTTGGTGTATGGACAAACGTCGAAAATACTCTTCTCCATTCTACTATGCATTCACTCGGTAGTCATTCTCATTATCATTATCCGAAGATCCTTGTAGAGTCGAGTGCCTGACTGAAATTGCTTGAATGAAGTTCAGGGCGTCCATCTTATCAGTGCGGTGATTGACGCATGGCCGGAGACGCGGTCCGCCTGTGGTATTGACAGACAAAACGCGAAGTCGATTATCGGTATCAGGGAATAGTGGCATACAGTTCGCCGGTTACGGGAAGGTGACGTATACTGTCATGCCAATTTTTGTCCGAATTATCATAGTTTATGTAGTGGTTTGTCAATACAATTAGACTTATATTGTATATATCTAGTCTTGATTCAATATGTGACAGCTGGTGTCCAATGAGGCGATCCATGAAGCGTTCAGGATACTGCCGGATGGTGACAGGCGTTGACAGGAGCTTCCAGGAACCTACGCTTACCTCAGTGCTGATTAGGCACTGCCATGGAGTATATTTATATGGAGGATTTGGCTTGGAGCACCTTTTACTTCTTCTTCCTTTCACCATGCTTATTATTCTCGTGAATGGTGCCTCACGTAAATTATCTTAGCCTAGGTGAATGTATCGAGTTTGACCGTTATCACGTAGTGTTAGTTGAAAGTGAGAGACCGGTGTATCTCGAGAAATGTATAAAATATACCGAAGATTTCTATACCCCCAGCTTATATATATATCAATAACAATCAGGGTTCCATCAGCAAATTTGCCTCCAACAATGCCAATGAGTCGTCTCCATGCGGACCTCATGGATCCTCAGGCGGATATCTGCAACACGTCGCAAACGGTTATCCTCTGAAAGCTCCATGTCGTTTCTTGGCCGACGAAGAACCAGACGTCAAAGAGGCTGACAAGGCAGAGGCACCAGCAACTCGCGGCTCAGTTTTGGATATTTGGAGTCCACACTCAGAACTATCCTACTTCTAACAATATCAAACGCAAGGTGAACGATATTTTGAAACCGATCTTGACGACAGTTCTCATGATAATGGCAACACCCAAGGCAGCATCACGGATGCGCAGCCACGTCCTAATATATATGGAGTGTCGTAGAGCGATGTTTCGCAAACATCTAGATCAGAGTAAACTCCTTACTTAACGGCGGTTAAATGGTATTCTGATAACAACAGGGCAGTAAGCCTAAGTAATAAACAAGAAAGCCTAAGTTAACTAGATCTATGAGCAATGGCACACTCAAGGTGGAACAGTTACATGAGTGAGACGTGAGGGAGGGCATCACATATTGTATCTCGGATAAGCCATATTGTACCTGAGGTACAATATACAGTATCCTGGAGATTCCAAGTTGCTCGTCCCGTGAGTTGGTTGCTCGGAGAACAAGACCTTTCCAGATGTCCCTGGGAACATACTTCTGAGATCGTCCCGATCTTGGGACACCTGGTAAGTAGCGCTTGCATCAGGGCGTAGATTACTAAGATTAATTTTCGATTTGTTTCGTATATAGCTTAGTGGAGGATTTTACCACTAGCACCGAAGCGGCACTGGAGAAGATATAGGGTGGAAATCGCTTGTCATATGGGTCTGTCTAACTAACATTTCTGTGGTCAATTACTGTCCCTTTTATGTATGAGAACGCCATACAAGCTCATGACTTTGATTCTTTCAATCTGTGTATCAAGAAATGCCGCAAAATGATATGTCAAATTGTGTCACATGGTGTTGTAAATGATCCCGATTTTTTGTCTAAAATAGATTCACGCGTTGTATCCAAGTTGAGCGTAGCGGTAAATTATGCCAACACACCCTTCCACGAATCGAAGCCTTGAAGCTTTTATTCGTGCACCAAATTCGTGATATCAAGCAATCCTTGGTGTTGACGCCAGTTCATAAATGCCTGCCCATGAAGAATCTTTGTAAAGCCATCCGATATCATATCCTTGCTGCCTACCCATTCCACGCGCAGGCGCTCGCACTTAAATTCCTGTCGAAGCCAGTGATGATAAATATCAATGTGGCGAATATTCGTACAGAACAAAGGCGTAAAAGATGGCGCTAAGACGGATAAGACTTATGCGCTCCGAGCAGACCTACTAAGAGCTGAACAAAGCTATCCAAATAAATATGAGCTATTATTAAGATATGCCTCTGAACGGCATCTTTATGCGTGCTTAGTAGAACCCAGGATAGAGAATAAGACAGGAGCCAATTATGGGTATCTGGCAAGGCGAAGCTCGGTAACGCATAAGACGGGTAGGACGGGAGCTCGAATGATATATGTTCCAATCAGCACCACAAAAGATATAAGCATTTCAGATACGGGAACAAATCCTATTGAACATCTAAGTTCTAGATACCAGAAGTTAACCTCCCTTCTACCAGAATGCCGACCCGTGAGCCTGCCGCGCCCCATGGAGGTCCTTCCTCCAAAGCCAGTGCCGACAGCGAGAAGTCAAAAATCGAGTCTTTAGGTCAACCACCGCAGAGTAAACCACGAGAAGCGCCTGGGATAGTCGACTTCGAAGGCCCAACTGATCCCTACCTCCCTATGAACTGGCCGTTCCGAAAGAAAGTCATCACAACACTTCTATACGGCCTGACAACTTGCTGGGTCACGTTTGCTTCATCCATCTACTCTTCCGGCCTCCGATCCATCAGCGATGAATTCCACGTAGGCAACGAGGTCTCGTCTCTAGGCATTTCCTCGGTATTGGTCGGATTCGGTCTTGGGGTGCTAGTATGGGCACCCATAGGTGAATTGTACGGTCGCAAATGGTCAGCTCTGACTGTATGTACTAAATATCCAAACATGTATTTCGGATTTGTCTATGAGTTGAAGCTAATTTCATGCCCAATATAGCCTTACTTTATCGCAGCTGTCTTTGCCTTCGGTACAGCGACCGGAAAGGACATTCAAACAGTCGTCATCACGCGATTCTTCCTTGGGCTTTTTGGAAGTGCTCCAATAACCAACGTCGGTGGTGTTATGGCAGATATCTGGTCACCTCAAGTTCGTGGTATCGCCCTGGTTAGCTACGGCTTGTGCGTAATCGGGGGCCCGACCATCGGGCCGGTCATTGGTTCAGCGCTCACATCAAGTTATCTCGGTTGGCGCTGGACATCATATCTCACAGGTATCCTGATGATGACTCAGTTCACTGCCGATGTGTTGATGTTGGACGAGACTTTCCCGCCTGCCCTGTTAGTGCACAAGGCGCGCCGACTAAGACTCGAAACAAATGACTGGTCTTTCCATGCCAAGGTGAGTAATGATGTTCGGATCGATGTATCAAGTTGCACGAACCCTTCTGATCGTGTCCTCTGCTTTAGCACGAAGAAATGGATGTTTCCTTCAAGGCAATCTATGAAAAACATCTTGTCCGGCCTCTTCGAATATTGTGTACTCCGATTTGCCTCCTCATAACTATCTATACTTCATTCGTCTACGGTAAGCTTGAACGCCACTCTCATTCTCTACCGTGCTCACCAGGTGACTCAGGGATTCTTTACGCCAGCTTAGAAGGTTACACGATTGAATACCAAGAAAATCGCGGCTGGAAGCCGGTAGTCAGCAGTCTCCCATTCCTATCCCTTCTGGTCGGCATGTTCTGCGGAGCGGCTCTCAATGTTTGGAATAACAGATACTACGTCCAACGATTCAAAGCAAACGGCAACAGATCTGATCCCGAGGCAAGGCTTCCTCCTATGATGATTGGTGGTATTGCATTCACTGGTGGCATGTTTCTATTCGGTTGTAAGTGATTTCAAACGACCTCCCTCTGGGCAAGCAAAACATATTTACCGCAAACCATTACTAAATTATTAACAAATCCAAATTTAGGGACTTCTGCAATACACATTAACTACTGGCCCTCGATTATTGGGACGGTGTTACTTGGGTTCGGCTTTGTCTCAATTTTCCAAGCTTGCTTGAATTACTTGGTAGACACATTTACCAGATTCAGTGCAAGCGCTGTGGCTGCCAATACATTTATGAGATCCATGGTTGGTGCTGCGTTTCCTTTATTCCTCGGTCCGATGTATCGTAAACTTGGAGTGAACTGGGCAAGCACGATATTCGGATGTATTGCTGCCTGTCTGATTCCTGTACCTTTTCTTTTCTTTGTTTTTGGGAAGCGGCTTCGTGCAAAAGGAAAGTGGACCAAGTTTAGCATCTGAAGCAGCTGTAGTAAAAAGAACAGTTAGTTAAGCATATGGAGACAACGTGGGTGGCCTCTCTAAAAGCGATATGGGTTTCATAGATTGTYTTTTTTTTTTTTTTTTTAAATTTATACTCTGTCTACCCCGATTTCCCTAGTACGTTTTGAATAAGTTATACAAGGATCATATAAATAGGGCTGTATTCTTCTGGCAAATTATTTGCTATATATTTTCTTTTAATTGCCTCATGAGTGGTGAGACTACTCTTTATAGCACGCTGTCCCCTATGAAGGTATTATAATTAACATTACACGACCGTATATTAGTTACGGACAGAACCGTATACTAGGGAAATATACCGGGGTCAACGAAGTAAGGCGCCTGTCTACAGCAAATATCAAGCATGAAGGGGATGAAAAGAAAGAAGAGAAACCCCCCCGCTTGCAAGGCCTTCTATATGTGTATTCCCAATTTTGGGGTCTTGCTGCGTTCAACCGTCACAGTACGTGCGAAAAGTAGCTTTATTATTAATCGCATTTCGAAGCTCCACATATTTTAGACGGGGATCTTGGAATGTTAAATCAATATGATTCTGTTTATCTTAGTCCGCTGATTTCTACGGGACTCTGGAACGAGGATTTGAACGTTGATTTATATGCTCTTGCTTTATTGAGTATCGAATAGTTGATGTAAGAATTTCTAGATTATCTGTTCATAACCCCACCGTGCGTTCGTATAAACATCATATATCCGAGTAATTACACAAGTATCAAGTTCTCTCTGCATGCAGTGCATCGTCTTGGTGGAAGCATTTTTATTTGAGTATATAGCCATTCCGTGCTCTAGTTACGCAAAACTAAGCATACAAAAAGGAAAGAAGAAGGAAGGCTCTGTGCGAGAGCTCGCTACCGCTATTTTATATCGCGTAAGCCTTCAAAGCGGTGCTTAATTAGCAAAGGGACGGTTTGTTGCGGATAGCTTCTAGGGCCTAGGGCTCAGGGGTCCCGTCACGGCATTACAAGGGATTGAGCTAGGCTCGCAAGACCTACGGCCGTCACATTGACTGGAGTATAAATTGGCGTATATCTTGAGGGGTTTGTAAGCAGGATGACTGTGTATTGCTTGATCGACTTGGTAGAGGTGTTGGGGTCATTAATTGAATAGTAAGCTGTTGGATAACTCGATCTGGATTGAAAGGCACTAATTCAGTTGCTGCAAAGCTATTCCGGATAGTTTGAGCTTCATATTGACTAACTATCAATACAATTATTTAATGCGCCTTACATAACATGATCATTATAGTTCTAATCTATTCCAAAAGGATTCATCCCAAAATTATCAGGGAAAAGTTCCATAGACGGATATAGGGATTCCAGACCCAACACACTTTGCATATTGTCCATGCCTATCTCCTCAAAGACACCATTTGTAGCTAGAAAGTCTTCTGAATTACCATTAATCGAGGTGCTCTGCATTCGCTTTTCTTGAAACACGTTCCCCAATGGTACCGCACTGGAAAGCCTTTGCATCTCGCGTACATATCGGGCCTTGGCCATAAGCCGATTAATCGGTCGCCATAGCGTGCCCTGTTTCTCAGGCTCTTTTATTTTCCATACATCGTAAACCATGCTTACATACTCCCACCCCCGATCACATTCAGGGCTTGGCGGACGCCAGCAGATTTCAGAAAGTATGAAAGCCACAGCGTGCCATTGAATATGCGTTTTCTGTACAAAATTGAAGAATTAGCATGATTGAGACGATGTTTCATAAATCATTCTCTGGAAGGAAATATTTGATAGAAAAAGCCATACCGAATGCCAGGTCCATTTGGATATGTCCCTGTTCGTCAGAAGCAGCGAAGATTGCTCGAGAATGTCAATACTTGTCAGGAACAACTGATCCCGCATGCCGTCGCCCTGTAGAATACAGTTTCCACCAGGAGGCCAATGCACAACGAGCCAGGTGCGCGCTATGATCAGACGAGCAACTTTCAAACTGAGGAATTGGAACGGCACGCGATTATCACAGTGAGCCAGATAGCGTTGATGCAATCGATCCTTTAACTCCTCCGCCAGTATTATTCTGTCCTTGAAGCTGAGTACATCGGAAGTGCGCCTGAGAAAGCGCAAGGAAGGCGGGATATGACTGATCTTCCACGCCGTGCGCATTGCCTCCGATCTTATCAGAGAAAATGTCATCTCGCAAAAGCCTTCGCGCTCTGGTGGAGGTGTTGTCATCTCGGGTGTCAAGTCGCTGTCGTTGATATGTAGCGGAACTTTCGTATCGAAAGTGAACTCATGCACAATGGGTTCACCACCATGGTATTCGGACGATCGTTGGTCCAGAAGGCATATGTGTAACCAAAGCCGTCGGCGTAGCTCCGTCTCAAAAGGCTTTAGGCTGAATGCGGTTCCGTCACGGTGTAGGCCCATAGTTTGTGCTATGTGAAAGACAAGCGATGTCAGTGACCAAACAGTGCGGCTATCGTCCTCGTTGCGTAGGGCTGATAGGTACAGTACAGCAGCCTGGAGGAGAATGATACTTTGGGTGTTAAGCAAGTTAGCGCGGGCCATGGCTTGCTCAACTGCGAAGCGATACTTTTCTATGGCAGTTTCATGGGACATGCCCGTGATGTTTATGCATTGCTCTGGACACATGCTAATGATAGCAGAATAGTATATCGCAAACAAGAGAGCCTCTGTGTCCTTGTCTATGGAATCCAACCGGGCGATAACATCCCAATACATGCGGGTTGTAGTCGGTATATGGAAGATATGCACCATGGGCACCACGTTTTCTCTGAAGTTTTGAAATAGGGCCACAGACTCGGGCAGTGAAGGGTGGTAAGGCTGTAGGGAATAAGCAAGTGCTCGAAAACCCAGAATTGCTGCGTTTGAACTGAGCGGTGCGGATGAGGTATTTTCATATATACTATCCTCATTCTCAAACGCTGGCTCAGCCAACAAGTTGCGAAGTTCTTCAATCTAATTGATTCACGTCATCAGACATAATTATCTCAATCAGAATTTCATATTACATACCTCGCTGCCAAGATTCGCCCACAAAATATTGCTAGTGTAGTAGCTCCTTGTCTCATCAATAACTAGTCTTCCCAGCTGTTGATCGATGGAACTCGAATGACCAAGGTAGCTAGTAATTGGTGATGTATTCTCCGTGTCTAGTGAATGTTTATCAACCTCCGCCGATCTAATCGATGATTGTCCAGGATCTAGTAACGCCTGGTGCCGGATGATGGTCTCTAAACGGGACAGACGATCGACTAACTCCGAGTTCAAGATCTTTCGAGACTGTTTTGCAGCTCGACCTGGACCTGGCGGATAGACACATCCACGCCCATAACATGCTCGGACACAATTAGAGCAGGGCTGCTGGCGGTCACATTTCACCTTGCGCTGACGACAGAAGGTACAGCTGCGAGGGTGGAAAATGCTAGGTTTTGAAGTTGAGCTGGCCGATCCACTGTCATCATTTACTGAGGATGGCTGCAGTGGTGGAATGGGTGATGAGATATCCATGGAATTTCGTGAGAGATAAAATCTCTGAAAAAAGAAGAAGAAAAGAAGAAGAAGAGAAGAATGACAGACTCGTGTTACAGATGGATGATGCATCGATGGATGGTTTTCATTTACCCTGACACCTCGCCACACTAGCGTCGTTTTTCCGTTGGATGGATTACCCTGACCCCTCGCTACTACTGAGTACACTAATGATACGCAGATTAACTTATCGGTTTCATTGTTCTCATTTCTTACCGGCCAACTTTACCGCTGGGTTTGAAAAAGACCAGTCGAGGTGGCTATGATATTATCATAGCACGTTGGACACAATGTGGTGTACAATGGGATGAAATAAGTGTTGGCATTCCCATACCTGTATTACCACACAGGGTTGCTAACACTTATTTCGTGGCACTTTAGGAATAGCAAGCCGCCAATGTGTTACCGAGCTTCACCTTGCCAATTACCCATAATTAGCTCCTTTCTTGATTCTCTATCCCGGGTTCTACTAAGTACACATAAAGATGCTGTTCGGAGGCATATCTTAATACTAGCTTATACACGTTTATATAGCTATGCTCAGCTCCATATATAGGAGGCGCTTCACACTGACGCGTCCGATAGGTTAATTGTAGCGGGACTAGCGGCTGACGTGTCCTAGCGGGGTCTGCTCGGAGCGCATAAGCCTTACCGTCTTGGCGCCACCTTTTATGCCTCATGTTTAGACTGGTGCGGATCAATCATGAGGATACTGCCACCTAAGGATCACTTTTGCTCTCTTATCTATTTCCTTACCACTCCTTCTTAGGCATATTATCACTACCGATTCTTCTACAAGAGATTCAATCCTGCGCTCTTTATTCTTTCTATATTCTTACTTGTCTAATAATTCATGACCACTAGATGATGCCACTCGTAGATGCGACGTTCGACGAGATGGGTGACGGGTACCCAAGGGGCAAGCCTTTCAACGGATTCGCCATAAATAAGCATTGCGCCAGCGAACAGGATAGCATATTGTACCATTTCAACTCGGCCATATTCGAACGGATATCCTCAGTGTTAACCGAGACTTGGATCAATTGAGTCGAGTCCGCGTGGTTGTTTACGACCAGGCCCCTGAAAACCTCCAAGCTGGCAACGTTCATATGGAGCTCTTTGGTACTTAGTTTGAGCTTGTTGTATAGATACTCACCGAGTGTGTATGAGATATCAGCATGGATGGACTGAAAACAAGTTCAGTACTCCGTACCATATTATTAGGGATTCAGGTATGGTATGAACTTACCGATGTGACAACACCACACCCATTCATAATATGGCCCAAAGCTGCAGCGGCTTGCATCACATCAGAATGTATTACCACTTTACCCGCTGTCCCATTAAAGCTCTCTATGATCTGCTGAACCGTGGACGTACTGAGACTGGACTTTGGCATGGATGACAGAATTCGGGTTTTATCGAGCCCCTTTTCAGCCTCGTTGAATTTAATTCCTTTTGCGAGAGCCTATTTACCGTTATATTGGATCCAGTAAGTCTTGTCATTCTAGGCGTACGAGGACAAATCCAACAACTTCAGTCCATTCTCATACGCGATGGAACTCATTCCAACTGGCGTTCACGCCAGCACAGTGGAGTGTCGCGAGACTCTGTGCCATTGTCACCCAGTTATCTCGCCTCTACGAAGTGAAGGGACTTTGACATTAATATTGGTGGATCAGATAATGGATTTGACGAGGCCTATGCAGACAGGGTGGGGACCGATCTCAAACCGGGTTGTGTCATCCTCGATTGTACCAATTTTTTGTGCTATTTTCAAAGCTGAAACAAGATTGACCGATTCTTGAGTCGCCCGTTGGCATTAATAGTTTTGTCGTCGAATATAACCTTACTTTACAATGGTGAAACAATAGGTAAATGAGGTATATGAAAGAGAACACTACTGCTTATAATCACCTTAAACCTACCAAGAATGGGTCAAATTGAGCGGAACGAAATGCGAAAGCCGGATCAAGACTGAAGTATTTATAGCTGTTAACTTTAAGAACAGTAATAATAGTATTTATCTTAGCTATAGATCCTACAAGCATAATATTATGTAGACTATTGACATAGGTGATCTTAAAACATATATCACTAGTTTCTTTAGAGCTTTTCAATTGAGGCTCGCATAGCAATCATTTTATAACTGTCAATCTTATAATTTTGCTCTAACATCCTTGCACAGCTACTTACAAGGAATATCGTGTCGGCAGCGGAAAGAACGCCTATAATATGTAATATCGATCTATTGGCTGGGATCCGAGACAAGTCAGCGTACGCGTTCGAGTTACATAACGACTGACGACGGGTCACGTGCCGCTCCTCCCCAGAAAAAAAGTCAAGTTGTTCTCCGATTGGTCAGCATAGCCTCCTCCGCCGAGGCGCTGTCAGTGTCAAGAGTTCAGGAGTTTGCGATTTAACTATTTTACTTGTTCTTGAACATATTCCGGAACCGTGCAATTACTTACCGGGACACATGTTTCGACACGGCCACATTTCCCATATATAATAGACGAACGGACCGACGAACGAACGAGCGAGCGGCCGAACTCCTTGAACCCGCAAATGCGTCATTGAAATTTCTCCAGACCTCACCTCCGCAAAAACCATACCTACGTACCAAGACATATCACATCCTGCACGAACGAGCGGACCCAATTACGATAGTTGCGACTTTGAATATAGACAAGCGCATGCCGCTGACATGTTTCTGACCGTGCCCCGCGGGCTCTCGAAACGAATTGTAATTGTCTTGATCACCGCGCTATTACTTGGGATTGCCTATTTCCGATTCTATTTCAGTTATGAGCGCTGGTACCTGTCGTCGGGGGATCGGGTGCTATCTACCATAAAGTTCTGTACGTCCTACCCTTTCTCTTTAGTCTATGATCAGTGACTGACGTGTAATGGTGAAAGCGCAATCTCAACCATCCACAGCACAAACGACATCCATCCGCAGCGATTCGGCGATTATATCTCTCGTACGCAATGAAGAGTTGAATGGCATCATATCGTCCATGCGGCAGTTGGAGACCACGTGGAACTCGAAATATAATTATCCGTGGATTTTTTTTAATAATGTCCCGTTTTCGGAGGAGTTTATGGCGCGGACGCAGGCAGAAACAGAAGCGGAGTGTCGCTATGGTATACTCTGCTTTCCCCTTTTTATCTTCGAAATGGATCTGTGTGCTGACTGTTGGTGGTGTTGGTAGAATTAATACCGGAAGAACACTGGGCAGTCCCCGACTGGATCGATCCAGAGCTGCTGAGCGAAGCAACGCAAAGGATGAAGAAACAAGGTATCAAATATGCAGGATTATTGAGTTATCATCAGATGTGTCGATGGAATTCGGGATTCTTTTATAGACATCCCGCGTTGGAAAAGTATAAGTATTATTGGCGTGTTGAGCCGGATGTCAAGTGAGCCTCTCCCTTTTCCGTCCCCTTTTAAAATCGTACGAGAGAGAGACTGATTGGGTTAGATTCTTCTGCGACATAACCTACGACCCCTTCCAATTCATGGCCGACCATAACAAAACCTACGGCTTCACAATCAACATCTTCGACGACCCCAGCTCCGTCGCCTCCCTCTGGCCCGAAACCCAATCTTTTCTCAAATCGCACCCGGACTATCTAGCAGCAGACAACTCGCTCATGTGGCTCACAGACCGCACTTTACGACCTGACCACACAGACGCCGCAAATGGTTACAGCACGTGCCATTTCTGGTCGAATTTTGAGATTGGCGATCTTGACTTCTGGCGTTCGACAAAATATCAACAGTATTTTGAGCATTTGGATCAGTCTGGTGGATTCTTTTACGAGAGGTGGGGGGATGCGCCAGTTCATAGCGTTGCGTTGGGATTATTTGAGGACAATTCGAGGATTCATTGGTACTTCACCCCTTTCGTTTCCCCCCTTCGTGTTACACCAGTGTACTGATATATGGGGGTTATAGGTTCAGAGATATAGGCTACCTACACCCGCCTTACATAAATTGCCCAGACACCTCGACCTCGTTATCGGGAGGATCCGCAGCTGGGACATGTCAAAACTGTCAACCAAACGTCTTCACGCACAGCTGGGGCGTAATGAAGGAGGACTGTCGCGTCAACTGGTTTCGGCAAATGTGTCAGTCGCGTACGAGGCACAGGAGTACGATGATGGCCGACGAGGATGAGATTTGTCGACATGCGATGAATTTTGAGTCTCATGTCTAGCCCCGTGTGGAAAGGAGGGTGGTGTATAGATTTTGATTTCCTTTCTTGTACAATTCTTTTTTTATAAATACCTTCGTACTTTACAAAGATACGGAGGGTGTACAGATATAGACCATTTAACCATTTTTGAACATAATTGATAATCCCGCTGAGGCTGAGTATTGGGTATATACAAAATATAAAAAACCGGAATTGTATAGCTCGAGAGACCTAGGACCTAGAAACAATCCTTCAGGATATTCGCCAAATCGCTTCCATATCCAAACATGAGATCATCCGTCGCCGGCCACGATGTCGTATCGGTCAGTATCCCATTCCAGCCTGCACCATTAATACCTGCAGTAGCAGCCGGATCCATGATCATCATCCCATTTTCAGCGCTTCCGTGACTATTATAGAGATTCAAGTTGTTGGTTGTAGGACCGTTGTTGAGGGTCTCGAATATGCTATTTTGGGGCTCGCCCATTGCTTCGAACCAGTCCATCAGTTCGCGGCTCATTTGTGTGCCGTCCATGAGCAGGAAATCGTCGGGGGAGGGTTGGAGGTCTGTAAGCGTTGATGTTGATGCTGTTGCGGTTGGTGGTGCGGGTGGGATTTGTAGAGATTGTTGTTGTTGTTGGTGGTGGTGATGGAAACGTGACTCGGTTGAGGTTGGCATGTAGGTCGGCATGCTACTTGCTCCACCTTCTTGGGGCATTGTGTTGATTGCAGCTGTGCCGGGATAGTTTACTATTGATTGCTGTTTCTGCTCTTGGTGTTTCTGCTGCAGCTGTTGCGGTGGTGGTGCTTCTTGTTGCGATCTCCTTCGCGGCCTCACCACAGTCTGATTCTGATCTGCCGGCTTCGCAGCAAGCCCAATCTTCGGGCCCAACTTTCGCAACCCTTTGATCGACTTCCACAATCTTTGCGAGATATACGAATGCATCGAGAACCCTTCAATCAAACCGAGCGCCATATAAAACTCATCCTTACACGCACTCGTAAACTGAGCTGGTGCATGCGCCACCGCCAAAAACAGTACGGCCAGCGCAGAAATCAGAAACCAGTTGAATGTGATTTGTTGTAGCTGGTAAATGTCTGTGGAGTTGTTGAGGTGCGTGATGAAACAAATTGTGTCTTTAGCAATTTCGACGACGGCCGAGGCTTCGACGGGTGATTGTGCAATTTGAGAGGGTGTATAGAGGATGGGTCGGTAGATGAGAATCTTCATCAAATTGGCGCGAAGATACAACAGCGCTTTGAGCCGGCGAGTACTCCGAGGTCCGTCTTGGTTTAGTTGATCGTGTAGCATGTTTGTGGAAGTGATGGCAGGATTGGTTATTTTCAGAAACTCCGGGACAGAATTGTACCATTGCGTGACTTGCCAGTCTAGATAGGCCATTTCTTCCTTGCGGGAGTGCTGGTTGCGGTTTGGTGATGTGATGAAGCGCCAGACTCGTTCAGCAATGCGGTTGTAGCTGATCATTGTATTTAGGTATGGGACGTTGGACTTTACTAGTTAGTCCACCTATCTTAGGCAACCGTACGAAGGGAAACTCACTGGCCGTGGAAGTGACGGATCTATGTCGCTAGAGTCCAGATGGTATGGCATCCCGGTGCCCATACTAAACCTGATATCCAATGTGTACACAGACCAGAACAGGTTCAAGACGCCTTCCTTTCCGTGTGACACAATCGCAGGCTGGGGATACGTTTCTGACCGATGAAGACCCATCTCCAAGCATAAACGTTGTGCTGTTCCAATAGTCCGCCATGCTGTTGCCTCTTCATCTATCTGGAAAAGGTATATTGACTGTGGGTGTCAGTTTGGTAAGAACAGTCGAAGCTTAGAAGTCGAACTCACCACAAGAGTGATAAAAATCAGCCTCTTGATATTCGGCGGCTGCCATATCACATCTGAAGCAACGTCTCTCACACCCCGGAAGATCCTCATAGCCAAGTCACTATTCCCATTCGCTTCAGCAGTCAAAGCGCACGCAAACACCAGCTTCAGTATATTGATATCATCATCTGAAAGCGGCTCTTCCTTTGTCGCAAGCTCGTTCGATGACGACAAGGGACTCAGATGGTTGTACAGAGCATTGACCTGACTGATAGCGGTCTCGATGTTTATTACAGGATACATGATACCCATTTCCTCTTCGTAGACATGACATAACCGAATGGCCTCTTCGCGGTTGATGCCCCATAGTGGATCAATGGTGGAAGATGATCGTTGATGGTGATGGTCGTCGCGATGCGGTGTGATCGATGGCGAGGGCATGGGCGAGGCATCTCGTGTTGAGACGGCGTTTTCTTCCAGTACGCCTCCATGGCTTAGACTGTAGTCGTCCACGTCGTCGCTACCGCTTACGCCGCCGCCAACTTCCGTGATCCCTCTACTCCGCAGCGTTTGTCGCGCGATTCCGAAATTGAATGAAGAGGTGGTTAGACCATGAAAAGAGATTTTCTCTGTCGTGGAAGATGATTGTGACCTTTCAGACTTGAGGTTATTAGCAGGACCGGAAATTGTGGCACGCGACAGTCTTCGCCTCTTTGGAGATGGCGGTGCTGCCGAGTTGAACGATTCCACAGTTCCGGTCAGACTGTCAATTTGCGTCTGCATCTTGGAAATTTGCTCAAGCAATTTTTCGATATTTCTGTATAAGGATAAGCTTTGTGTTGTTTCGTCTAACAATTGTCTATCTCACCGACTATCCGCAGTAGCATCGTCCACCGCAAAAACACAGTCCATCAGACGCCGGCGACACCGCTGACATGGCTGCTCACCACAACATTTGACCTTTCGTCGTTTACATTCAACACTAATCTTTGGTCAGTAAATTTATTACCATATCGCAAAACGGAACAAACTCACCAAGCCTTCGCTGCATACTTGGTACGTTTTCGCTTTTCGGGCGCGGTAGGATCGGTAGCAGCGCCATTCGCTGGCTGAGATATTTGTGCCATTGGCGAAGCTGTCATTGTTCATATCGATATATATTAATCAATTCAGCCGGGATAAGCGTGTATAGACGTCCGGATTCCTTCGTCTGTTGTGTGCAGACAAAAGCAGAGGTTGGGGGAAGAAGGTTCGATCGTCCGGGGTACTTCCGACTAAGACTCGCTAGGAAAAAGAAACAACGCCTCTATGTCTGCGGGGGTTCGATCTCCTTACTTCAGTGATTGTCCAATCATGTTGCGTCTCGCTTAGTCATGACTTCGCAGCACAGGGACGAATTCCAACGGTATGCGGTGTATTTATAATAAGCAACATTTGTCCTTGAACATAAAATTTGGAGAAACGAGGAGTTGATCCCAGAAATGAGTCCATTTTGTGGAGTAGTAGTGGATACGCAATATGTGAAGCCCGCAATATGGGGAATAAAGTAACCCTAATTCCACATCTCCCCTCAACATTGGGCTAATACTTTCAAGAAGCAACTGACTACGAAATATCATATGCTGTCGTCAACCGTCGCTGAAAAAGAACTATGCTATGCCACGTGCAAATATGTAAATTCGCCTCCATGTCATCAAGTAACGAATCACACAACAATCCAGTCAAACATAGACCTCTCTCACTTTAAGCTTTATCAAAGATCTTTAGTCCGCTCCTGACTCTCCGCAATCCACTTCTCTAATAACACCGGATCACGCGCCTTGAGCCCGACCTTGAACGGCTTCGGCTCCGTGGTTAGAGCCGTCGGTATAGAATTACATTCCAAGGCATTCAAGATGGGGTAATCAGCCGGGTTCTTGGGAGGATGAACAGTAAATGCTGTGATGATTCGAATGAAAGCCGTGTACAATTCTCGATTGGCAAGGTGAGATCCGGCGCACATGCGAGATCCGGCTCCGTAGCCGTAGTGAGGAGTGCCTTGGTTGGCCTCGGGGGTGTCGAGGTAGCGTTCAGGAAGGAATTTTTCGGGGTCTTTAAAGTAGTCTGAGTCGTAGTCTGCTGCCCAGGCATTCTGTCATGCTCATTAGCTGTGAAGATCAGATCAGAAGAAGGGGGATGACTCACCATGAAAAATGTCGTATTGGCTGGAATCGTGACGCCATTCCATGTCACATCCTTGATACTCTTTCGTGGAAGACAGATAGGAATCACAGTCCAGAAGCGGAGAATTTCCTTAACCAAAGCAGTGATATAGGGCACCTTCTCTTCAACCAGACATTTGTCCCAGGCGTCGTTGCTGGGGTAAACTTTCATAATCTCGGCGTATGCCTTTTTCTGAATGCGCATTCCATCTTCAGATGCAAGATAAGCAAGGCCCATGACCAGGTTTCCGGGTACTGTGTCGAGACCAGCGGAGACCATCGTAAGACAGAGAGATTTGATTTCGGCTGTCCAAGTTAGCTCATATGCTTGTTTGCGCTCCGAAGGAGAACGAACATACCTTCGTTAAGTTGCGCCTCCGGATCCTTCAAAATATTTCCCGTGATACAAGGCTTATCCGTCCCATTGGCAATACTCTCCTTCAACAGATTCAGTAAATGCGTCAAATACTTGTCCCGTCTAACCCTGAACTCTTCAGCCTCAGAATTTTTCTTGGGCAACAAGCGCAACAACGGCACGTAATCCTGCCAATTATTACTCGTACTGCGGAAATTTGAGACACCACGCTCAACGGCAACGATTTCTTGTAAGAGACTATCGTCCACGTTTCCCTCAATGCGAATACCATAGTTGAGCGTCAAGCTGGTGTTGAGCGCATATCGCTGGAAATATGATATGGGGTTGATATCTATTTGCCCCTTTTGACTATCGCGGTACATTTCCTGGATGCTGGTGGTCGCTTCCAGATCAATAATAGGCATGTAACTCTGCACGGCGGGTTTGTTGAGTGCCGTGGCAGCGGCTTTGCGGCGTCGTTTGCATGATTCGTCCCATGGTGAAGTGCCGATTGTGAATCCCTGGCTGCTGGAGACGACGCTGTGGAAGGTGTGGAAAGTTGGACGGGAGATGAGGGCTGATTGTTCTTTGAGCCATAGTTGTTTAACGGATTCAAAGCTGTTTGCGAAGACGATTCTCTATTCCCTTGTGAATATTTTAATTTTCTCGAAAGACAAGCGACATTTTACCTTATTACCCATTCGCACTTGGAATACAGGACCATATTGCTTCGCCCATTCTGCGGCTACTTTTGCATGATTCTCGCCTAGTTGAATCAGGTTGCCAAAAATGGGTACACCGGGGATCTCGGGTAAGCCTTTGATTTTCGGTGTATCGGTTTGATTGAGGTAGCGGTAGAGAATGATAAGGATAGAGAGGACGCCGATTGCCACGGCTTCGTGTGCCATATTGTGTTCCTGTATACGCTTCTTGATGATGAATGAATACAACTCTGCGAACCAACGAGCTTTTACATGTAGAGTATTTATGGAAAAAGATAGATAGCTGTTTATTATTTGGACAGCCAAAACATGAATGAAATAAGTAAATGCGACACGATGCAAAGCAATGTGACAACAGACTACACGGCGTTCTGTGTATGGCTAACCCGAGCTGTCTGCTCGGATTAGTCCCAGCAATGCTGTCATTGCGGTAGGCGTTCCGTCACCGCAACCCCCCTGTTGGACCAATCAATAGGTTGGATATTTTCATTTCTCTGGTAGAGTAGACGAATGAGTGGAAAGTAGCCCGGATAAAGAGTCTCGGAAAGGGTTCCGCGCATATCCGGTGTGTGTGACCTAGTTACTATAGAGGGGGATCTTAGACCCTGTCCTTAATAACAATGCTACTATTTCCGCACTGGAGACAAGAGAATCTGCCCTGGCCAATGAGTAGGCGCTCAATCAAAAATTGTCGTGTACGCAACTGGTGTGACCTGAGGGAATACGTGGTACACAGAAAAAAAAAATGAATGACGCACGAAGAGCAAAAGCATGAAGAGAACGCGGGGTAAGGAAGTGTTTCCGCTGTTTCAACGTTCACTTTAAATTTAACCCCGAATTCTGTTCTTCTCCAGTTTCTGGGCTCTGGGCTGTGGAGTATACCCACTGTTTGTTAAAAACCTATGGGTGACCTCTACGATCGACAATCTCCCTGCACGACAGTTAATGGTTTAAATCAACTACCATATATTTCTGCCAAAAGTAGAAAAAAAAATGTATTTTGTTTAGTGATCAATTGTTGAGTAATCTGAAATATTGCTTCCTCGGTTACTCAAAGTCTACACTGCATGTATTAGGTTGAAAGCACAAACTAAGACCAATCCATCTCATCCGTCAAAACATATATCTAGACAGTCATTCAATCTAGCACATTTAAATGCCAGACTAGTTTTTCATACCGATTGCCTCCGTCCTTGCCATGTGCATAGCAGTAACCTCATTCTCATCTTTCAACATACCAACCTCACTCAAATACCGTCTCAAACCCTCTTCGCCTTCAGCGTGCTTCACACCCCCTTTGTGAAGCAATTGAATCGAATCACGCAAGAAAAGCTCATAGAATCCCGTGGCGAAAAGCGTCGCTGGGATGTTGACCAAGATACTGATCCAGCAGTACGACTTGTAGGAGAAGGCCTCACCGCCATAGAAGATGGCTGCTACGAATCGGGCGCCAAGGTCACGAGCCATGTTGGTGGAAATGGTTAGGTCAGCAAAGCCCCAGACCATGACACCGTAGCCTACGCCGATGACGATGGGGACGGTGGAGGGTGTTACGAAGGGGTTGGCTGGGTCGATGCAAGACCAGATTACAAGACCCTATACTCGTTAGTCATTTACCGAAGGAGTGGAAGGGATGTTGTCCGTCTTTACGTACAATGAAAGAATCGACGAAGAATTCGATCCTGAGACGAAACGAAATTAGTCCAGGACCTCCAAAGATTCGATATAACCATGTCCAATTCATCAATGGGCATGACTTACAAGAATAGATAACCCAAACTCTGTCCCTCCGCTGGGAAAGCACAGAAAATTCCGGCAGGACCCGTGGCAGACACCAATGGCGCGCCCAGTGCTTTTAATGCTTCTTCATATTTTACGATTTCCTGTCGATACATTCCCATGACCAAAAGAGAGGCCATGAAAGCACCAAAGATTTGCGAGAGGATGTCTAAGACAGCATATGTCAGCAACAGATCTCCTGGGAATAGTTGATACAAGAATCACTCGTACAGTGAGGGACTTTCTTCAACGGAAATCCTTGCCTATATTAAATGAGTCAGCGGTAGTACTCTTCAGCAAAGCAATCGGGACCTACCAAACAGCCAAAGCAATAGTCACAGCCGGATTGAAATGGCCACCAGACGTTGGCCCAGCAATGATGATAGCGAACATGATACCGAGAGCAAAAGCAAGACCGATCTGGAAGAAACTGCTAAACGCGGTTACGGGAGGCTCAGTCGAGGCGCCGTTGACGATGAAGGCAGCAACAGAGGCTAGGCCGGGGAAGCTTTGCGCAAGGGTTCCGTCAGCATTATGGATTGCGGCTGTGGGTACACACAACGGAGTGCACTTACACGTAAATGAATACACCTGTCGCCTCGCCAATACATTCACGCAACCATCTTGGTCGTCGACGCTCATAGTCTAGCACACGTTGCGAGACGGGTTTGTGTTGAGCAACATGGCGGCTGGCATGGCGCTGGAGGGCATCAGTGACTCCAATCTCGATGTCGTGAGTCTGCAGGCGACTAAGGTCACTGGAGTGAGACATTGTCTCTTATTCTATTTCAAAGTACTAAGAACCAGAAACAGTTGAAGAGTGTTGTGAGTTGATAGATGGGTGGAGGACTTTGGACAATGCTGAGCGGCACGAATCCAAAAAGATAGGGTCTAGAAACAGGGTCGGACATGGTTATATATACTACTCTCGAGATCTGTCAACAGGCAACAGAAACACCAATCCCCGATGAAACAACATGGCTAAAGGATCTATGCGTCATTAGTCGACATCCGGGCTGACCGCACTTGCGCCCAACAGCAAAGTGATACAAAGCAAGCGACAGGATCACGACTCGCTTGCTCAGACAGCATTTTCTCTTTTCCGGCAGTTCCATCTCACCTTCCTCTTTTCGAACTAGAGTATCGAGCTAACCATCGATCTAGACACAAACGACCTGGAGCAGACTACCCATTGGGGAAAGTACTGTCCGGGGTAAAAGAAAAGAAAAGCTGGGAAATAAACAGAATGCGGGGTTTTTGTGACTACTATTCTGTTGGGTTGTCTTTCTGTTATTGTGTGTATAGAGAAAACAACGACATGGGAATGGTTATTCTAGCGCCGATAAACTGATGGCTGATGGCAAATCCAGGGTTAGTTGCATCCAACTACCTCTCTTAGCGTGCGCCATGTGTATTGTGGCATCCTATCCTGTCGTCAGGACTCGGTGTTACGGATACATGCAGAAATATTTGTTGGACGGCATGATAAGCAGTTCCCGAAACACATGGGCATCACACCGGGAACATGATTCGGATTTCAACAAAGAAAGTGTTTCCTCTGGCTGTCGAATTACCTATACGACTTGACAATCTGCATGATCGAGGAGAAACAGTCCGAGATTGACAAGCACAAAGGAACATGCAGATTCGCATTTCGAATCTAGCCAGTTTGGTCAAGCGTTAGCTGCACCGGCTAAGCCACGGACCAAAACATAAACTCCATCCGGCCATACTTTTAGGACAGAGCCAAGTCTGTCCTAGTGCGGATGATACGACAGCAGAGCTCAAACGACAAAGATCAGCATAGCCGGACGAACCATACAGAAGCTTCAAAACTGACCAGAAGCCTCGGCATCCGGCTAATACAGTTCTGATAGCGATAAAGTTCTAGACTGACCGCTACAAACTAAAATGTACAGAGTTTATCTGGCAGCGAAAACTCAAATCAGGCACCTTAATCATGCAATGAGGCTCCGTGCCCGACGGGTGGAATTCGGAGCGCGATTTGTTCCTTTTGATCAGACGGTCAAATGAAGAAATAAGGATTCGCGGGACACATGGTTGACGGCAGAGAGTACCGATTCAGGATGTTGCGCCGTCAGMAACGTTGGTTGTCTCAAACGTTGCGCTTTTTGTTTACCCCACAACCAAACTCCGCAATCCCGTCTGTAAATCCGGGGATTATTTTTCTGGAGAAAGACCCAGAATTACTACCTGAACCCACAAAAATAATATGCATATGACTCGCATTTGCTTTCAAAATGGAGGTCTTTAGTGGTGTTGAATATACAGATCTGAATCATATCTCTATCATCATGACTGCTGCATTTGAAGGTTCAGATATTCGTATCCCAACATCACGGAACTTGGAACCGCTCCCGCCTGCCTATATTGGTCTAGCATAAGCAAGCCCAAAACTTGGCTAGAGTTAATCACATATGACATGCTAGGATTCAGCTATGACAAGGAATTCTGCTTGGATCTCGTGGCTGAGTTGGCTGATCGAATACGTGGAGGCTATTCCATTTTTGACGAGAACTAGGACCAAGGTTTTGCCGCAAAGTTTCTTGTGACTGCATGATGCTTGTTACGGCTTGATGATTGAGTACGTATGTGCGTATAGAAAAAGTGAGATGACGCTCATAGGTTATGTTAATGTGAACGCTCAGTCGCCATTTGTCATCCTATTTCAGATTCGGACGAAGGCGTTGAAGAGCATCTGGGTCATTACCGAAAATGCCTAGGCTTGAGATTTTAGATAGCCGAGCATTTCTCATATATTCATATCTTGTCCTAAGCCTATATCTGCTGGATAGAGCCCTGATTTACTATTCGTCCTCCACTTCCACCTTTACATCACTTTATATCAGGCTCGAGAACCTCGAGACTGTTTGTGGAAATAGAAGAATCGTCTCCATCTTTACAGCCAGCATGTGTGACTTATTGCTACTTGAATTGTCTGGTATACCACCCATCTTGGTTGATTGAGTCATCTGCAGGGTCCGACGGTACTTGGAACTTTCCTGCCTTGTTCAGGCAAATCGAGCCATCTAAATTAGCGGCATGATTAGTTGCAGTCTCAAACTTTAAAATATGATGATCAAATAGTCAGGTGAGCCAGAGCTCAATTGGTACGTTGGAAAATCATTATATGTTGAAGGTTGACTGAATATACGTGAAAAATTGACACCTTCCAGCTTACATAAATGTTCATCTCACGTATCAACTTACTCCTGATTAAATTGGCTAACCACATTGAGAGTTCATATCATATAGTCTCATCCATACATCTTAAAATCCCATCCCAGTATAACACTCCAACATGAAGGAACTACCTCATTCAAGATGCTCACTCTGATTCTTGGCGGCCGTAATAGCTTCTTCAGTAGCAATGTCAACATCTTCCACTTCAACGACCCGATCGCCGAAAGCGGCCGCAATTTCTTCCAAAGTTCTCTGTTTTGTCTCACTAAACAAGAGCCTCAAGTTAGCCAACATCGTCATAACAAGCGAAAAGGGAAGCATCTAATGCTTACGGGAAATAGAAATAAGCAACAGTCAGGAAGAACGCTGTACACGCCACAAAGACGTAGTAATAATTCTCGTGAATGTTTGCAAAGGCACTGGGACCGGCTTCGGTGACTGTTCGAAGGGTTAGACCAAGTATATCTCAAACCCGAAAAAGAATGTGAACTTACTGCCGACGTTGACGATGAAATGGGACGCAGCGGCCAGGCCCATGACTTTGCTTCGCATGTTGATAGGCAGGACTTCTGCGCCGTAGATCCATGTCGTACTGTTGAGCATGCCATCTGTAGATTGTTGTTAGCAACAGGCCGCTCCATTCACTTGTTTGCGAGGGGGAGGAGGTGGAAGACTTACAATAACAAACCACAAATAGGTAGATACCCAAAATGGCGAATCCCTTCCCGACTCGGTTATTCGTATTCTGGAATTCGCGTTGCATAACAGCAGCGTATATTTCGATGAGAATAATACCTCCGAGACCAGCGAGGATCATCCTATTGTCAATGTCAGACTAATTGATGAGGTTGGTGCATAGAGGAACAAAACTCACTTTCGTCGACCCCATTGATCAGTGAGATATTTGGTAGTCAGGGTATTGGCTAGGAAGGCAATTGTGCCGTAGACACCAGAGAGGGCGAGGATGAGTTTGGCATTGATACCGAGGGATTTGTAGAGAGTGGCTATTGGATGTATGTCAGCCCTGTATCTAGGTAGTTATATCGAGCCAAGGATCATACTTTGATAGTACTAAAAGGTTTGTTAGTAGTGCAAATTGAGAATAATTCCAAAGTGAAGGGGAAGTACCTGAATAACATTGACACCAGTCAAAGAAGTCATAGTCTGCGCAGCAATAGAAACTAGCACACGATGACGATACAGCTTGAAAATATCTTTGTATGACTTGAGCTCTCGCTGCATTTCATACTCAATCTGAGCCCTCATCAAGGCAAACTCTTCGTGCACTTCATGCGAATGCAAATCACGTCGAATTGTGATAAACTCCCTTCTAGCCTGCTCAATCTTTCCCTGTCGGATAAGCTGACGAGGTGAGTTAGGCATGAAAGTAGATAATCCAATGAACATAATTATGCCCCAGGGTAATTGGATGCCAAGTGGCAAACGCCATTGTACAGTGCCGTTGGTTGCGTAGGAGCATGCGAAGCCGACCCAGTTGGATGCCATGGTTCCGAATGCGATGCCAACGCCGGAAATACCGCCGATAAGACCACGAGATTTCGGTGACGAAATTTCGGAGAGGTAGACGGGGACTGTAGCCACCATACCACTTCACGATTCGTTAGTTTCCCTGGAAATTTCAAGAAGGGAGGTGAGGTGAACACTTACCCAACAGCATAACCGGCCAAAGCACGACCAGCCAAAAACATGCCAATGTTGACGGAAGCTGTTTGAATTGTGCACCCAATTGTCACGATGATGCATTCGAGCTGCATGAAGCGGATACGACCGAGCCGGTCACCGATAAACGTCTGCGTGAGAGCCCCAAGGGCTTCACCAGCAATGTAGACTGATACCACTGCACCGGTCAAACCATTGGAAGGATGGCCCATGTAGTCAATCCAACTTTGATGCGCGATTGCTGGGATTCAGTCAGTTCTCGGTCTTGATTAGCGGTCGCTGCCATGAATGAGGCTTACTTGTGGTGGCAATGCCGGTGTCGAAGCCCTAATTAGTGTTAGTTATCGTATCATGATACTCGATCATCGAGTGAGAGAAGTCGATTGGGGAGACACACAAAGAGAAATGTTCCAATGGCAGCAAACAAGGCGACGCCAAACGTATACCAATTATTGCCTGCCATCTTGTGTATTGATCCAAATTTCAAATTTATATCACAGCTTCCAATGAAACCTTTGGAGGAAAAGAAACAAGTTAGAAGCAAGCTTCTTATATAAGATAAGTAATAGGTGAGTTGATCTCAATGTGCCGGCCGACACTAAGAGCTGACAGAGGACTGGATGCCAAAGGTGCCCAGCCTCAGAGTCGACATGAATCTCTGCTATAGCGTCGAGAACTGACAACTCGGCGCAAATCCGATAGATGTTTTGACATTTAATCTGGAAGTATCGTGTGCATTGCCTGGGTTAAGTCAGTGGCTGACAGCGCTGCTTGGCTGAAGGTCTGGGCGCGCGGGGGTGCTTGTGTGGGGGTGCTGGAGTCTGTGGGGAAGGAGAAGGAGATCCCTTGTGTGAAAAGTCTCAATTGCCGAATAACATCAGGTGGGTATGGCACACATATAGCGGCTGTCTACGTACTCTTATGCACTGGCTAGCGATCAAGTCTATGCCACTTAGTGATACGCAGTGAAATTTAAGTGCTTCTGTTTTAAGAAATATTGTACGTCGATTAATCACAACCCCGCATATTGCATGAGTATTCAGATTGCGTTATTGGTACAGAGTCTTTGTTTCTGTGTTAGTTGGAATCAGGCTTTCCTCCGAGTCAGTTACAAACTCACTGGAATCACGCAGATATGGAAGGTGTGGTTGATTGCGCCCAACCACCTTTCATAATTGCCTGACAAACCCTATCACTCGCACTTGCTAGGGTTGTAAATCGCCAAAGACCTTTTAAATAACACTTTGCATTTTGAGATTCTCCAGCCCGGACATTATACACTTGCTTAACCATCCATGTTGTCTTCTGAACCCATACACACAAAGGCATACTCACACCACGATCAGACTCGGCCTTCGCATGAATTGAGCCCGACACACCGCCAAACCGACTCATAACTTGACTCATACAAAGAAAAGAGAGTGATCAGATCATATGCTCTCCACAATAAGTGCCGTATCTCGGAGTTGTTCCGGCGTTTATAACCGAAGCACGTCCATTCTGCTCGGTAGTTTTCCGTGTTCCGTCGGAAACCCAAAAGAGTAATCCGTATGTCTTCAAGGCGGCTCGAGGCGACAAGTGAGCGCCGGGAACTTTTGGACACTTTTTTGCATTTCAGTTCTGGCACTTTATAAATACCATTCAGGATAGGCCTGACGCTTTGAGAGCTCTGGCGAGCTTTGAGAAGAAAATGGAACTCATCTGGATCGAACCTGATTGGCTCAAAGCAGTTAGCCTGATTGGTTAAGATCACATGACTGAGCACTCGTCATGTGACCCTGTCCAATAGTCTCGACTTTTGATTGGTTGTCGACATGGTTCTTTTGATGCCAGGTTTCTCAGGCTTGCAACCATCTCTCTTGGTATCCAAAATCATCGGTGACGTTCATAAGCACCAAATGAGCTTTTCCCACATCTACCGCGATATCTATCCGGACTGATGGCGCTAGTTATTGAATTTGAGCGCATCGGAAACCGCTTTCGAGAGACCCGGGATGTCCGTGACTCTGGAAACCCAACAAGCCAGATAAGACTGACCACGAATGATATTTGTTCACCAGGAAATGTCACGTTCTTTTTAATATAGATAGTCCCATGGAATCCTAGCATCGATATTATGCGTCGTCAGCATATGGCCTTCATTGGTCCAACCTCGAATACAACCAGGATGACGCGGGTTTGCCGAAACACATCAATTCGGCATTTCCGAGATGGGGTCTCTTTTGCTCCAGACTCATCTGGGGAAAAGCTGGGGCAAGCTTGGATATAGTTCTCGGGGTCGAGATCTCAAATCCCATTTAAGTCCGTCTGTCTTCATCTCGTTCGAATACTCGACCATCATCATCGATAATTCAGTCACCTCAAACGTCAGTTACTATGGCGGAAGAAAAATCCGAGATAACGCATCAGGAGCAGATTCCTGATATGGGAGCCGAAGTCCTAGCAACAGAAGATGAGCCGGCTTCCATCTATCAGGTTGGCTGGAGGACGATGATGGCCATCGTTGCTCTTTCAATGTCGAATAACTGCGCTGCTATTGCCAATACTGTAAGTGTTCATATTTGAAAGGACCTTCAAGTAGAGGATGAACTCTTCTAACCCCTATCTAGACAAACACTATCATCAGCTTCCAGGTCCAAGCACTTGGAGGCGCATCTCTTGCATCTTGGATTGCCAATTCCAACCTCTTGGTAACATTGGCATTTGGACCCGTGTTTGTAAGTTATCGATCAGCTCTGGCACTTTTCTATTACTAAGACTCTTATGCTATAAAGGGCTCTCTCAGTGACCGTCTCGGAAAGAAATGGTTCATCGTCATTTGTAGCATACTAGGAGTCGTCGGCTCCATCATCTCAGGCTCGGCCCATCGCACAGAAGTGATTGTTGCAGGAAACACATTGACTGGGTTGGCTAATGCCGGATGTGTAAGTTCAAACTCTAGATTATCGTTGAAAATCTCTTAATGTGCTGACAACGAATGTTTGACGATAGATTATGGGCATCCCCGCTGCTCAAGAAGTTACCCCGAACAAGTTACGACCATGGACCATGGGATTTTCTCAAGCGTTCGCGAGTTGCTGCGTTATTGCCGGTACTCTCGGTGCGGGTGCCTTTGTGAAATACCAATCCTGGCGATGGTCATACTATCTCAACGCCTTTGTCTATGGTGCATCTGCAACTCTCGTGTTTTTCTTCTACCATCCACCTCCAACTGGTTTGAGAAGACAGCAGGGTCAACTGCGCGAGATTATATCCAAGGTTGATTATTTTGGCATCTTCCTTTTCGCTGGTTCAATTGCTTCGCTTCTTATTGCTTTAACATGGGGTGGAGATACCTACCCCTGGTCTTCCGGCAAGGTGATCGCCAGCTTGGTAGTTGGCTGTGCCGGCCTCGTGGGCTTCGGTCTATATGAATGGCTCTTCACCACTGAGGGGATTTTCGACCATCGTCTGTTCGAGACCAGAAACTTCCCTATTCTCCTGTTCGTGTGCACTGTGGACGGCATGCTTCTTCTCGGCGTGAATGTGCTTTATGCTCAACAGATAGCGGACATGTTTACCACCGACGCCGTCAAGATTGCGACAGTCCTCACACCTTTCTTGACCACCTCGGCTTTTGGATGCTTACCCGCTGGATTTGTCATGGCTAAGACCAAGTCCTATCGTGTCATGTTGGTTTGTGCTTTGTTGTGGTGTAGCCTGTTCACGGGTCTGATGGCTATGGTCAATGAGCAGCGATTGAGCTGGGCGTATGCTTTCTCCTCGTTGTTCGGTATTGGTACTGCAGTGACTACTGTTATCCCTGGTACGTATTCCTCAACCTATTGTGGTGACTAGTCTTATATACTGACTAAATGTGCAGTCGTGGCTATGGGTCTCTCCGTCCCATCGTTCCTCCTCGGCACAGCAGGCACAATCGGCGTCGCTTGTCGAGCATTCGGCGGTATAATCGGCATCACAATCTTCACCGCCATCTACAACAATAAGATCGGCGCCGCGCTCGCCCATGATGTCGGAGGTGTTCTCAGCGCCGCTGGGGAAGGCAACCTGACCTCATCAGTTGTCACAGCGCTTATGAGCTCGAACCCCATGGCTCTAAACCTGGTTGAGGGTCTACCACAATCATTAATTCCCGCTATTCGTGGCGCTCAAGCGGTTGCGGTGACTTATTCATGGAAATATGTTTGGATTGCTATTTGTGTCGTGGTCGCCGCGAATGCGTTGGTGGCTTGTTCGTTGAAGTCTGTGGCGAAGAGAATGAATGACCATGTCGAGTCGGCTTTGGAGAGTTCGGAGATTCGTGATAAGCAGATGACTATTGCTCATTGATGTTACGGTCGTGGAACTTTTTTCTAGTGTGATATGAGATAGCTGACAAATTGTGTGTAGCCTCAATTGTAACGAGCGTCAATCAATAATCTTATTGATATATGTCCTTGATGATACGTACTTCAAAAAAATGTGATATTGAATTGTAAAAATAACTACTTCGTTCTAACGGCAGCGGCCTGCTCTTCTACATCCCTCGTACAATCCACATACGCCCCCTTCAACTCCTCCCCCTTGCCAGCACAAAGCCAAACACAAGTCCAAGCCGGCAACGCCCCCTGAAAATGCGGCCTCTTCTTCCCAAGCGCCTCCATATGTTCAATCACATACGGGGCTTCCTGTTTAGTCTTTTCCGGAAACCCCGTCTGATGTAATTTAGTCTCAATCTCACCGGGATGAATGCTAAAGAGTTGAATTTCGTTGCGGTCGAACTTATTTTCGATTTTCTGCACCTGCTCGAGTTCAGCCTGCAAAGTGCCTGCAAAACGCGTAATAGCCGTTTTGGCACAATTATAACTTGTCGTCCAGGGCAAATTTGCCGTCGCAGCACGCGAAGATGTATAGACGATTGTGCCCGAGTTCCTTTGCATCATCTCCGGGACTACTAGCCGAGTCAATTCGACGGGTGCCCGAACATTGAGCTCCATAATATCCCACCAACCATCTGCCTCGGTAAGATGGAAGGGCATAAACACATTACTACCCGCATTCAAGATCAGGATATCGATCTGGCCGAGTTGGGTGTGGAATTCCCGAATGAGGCGTTCTTGATCCTTGCGGTCAAGTACGTCGGCGGTAATTCCGACTACTTTTTGTTGTTGTGGTTGCTGTTGCTTCCCCGCATCTCCTTCGCCTGTATTTTCATGTTTCGGAGAGATAAGCTCTGAGACTTCGCGAGTTGTTGACTCGACTTCCTGGGCCGTGCGGCCTGTGATAGCCACGCTGGCGCCAGCTTTGGCGAGGGCGATAGATATTTCGCGGCCTATGCCTCTGCCTGAACCTGTCACAAGAGCATTCTTGCCGGTAAGGGTGCCCGAGAGAATGGTGGGAGAGATTGCCGGATAGACGTCGGTGCGAAGGGTGAATGGTGATTGCATCATTTTGATTGCTTGAGATAATTCAATATTCTCTGTTTCCTCTAAGCTCAGAACAAGATGTAGAAAAAAGAAATTGCTTTAGCACATAAACAACAATCACTGAATCAGCAATATGCCGAGAAAATATATCGTATGCCCCCAGATTTCAATTCTCGGATAATCCGAGACTTTCACACGGTGACCCCACGGGGTGATTCAATGTTCATTCTCATATTCCAGGTGACCAAAAGAGCATCTAAACGTCTTTGACTGAGTCAAGAATGTACATGTACCCCAAACCAATTTCAAATTTACAAAACATCTAATTCTCATCATTATCATGGCGAATTTTGAGATCTATATACCCACCAATCTATCCTTTCAAGATTACATCGCCGTAATACAGACAGCTCGTGTCTGGGCCGATGGCTACGACAGAAAGGTAAATCCCAACGACTCCTAATACCTATAATGTAAGATGCTGATACAAAAAAATAGGATCTGGCTCGTCTCTCAGCAACACTCGCCCCCGAAGTAATCGTAGACTACACCTCCGTCGTCCCCTCCTGGGGCGAAAAGCGATACACATCCCACGAATTTGCAACCGAATGGCTCTCCGCCGAACACCTGGGCAACAGAGCGCTCGCAACACAACATCTCCTCGCTCAACCATACATCAAAAGCGTGGCCGAGGACGAGATTGTGGTTCAGTGGCAGCAGCTTGCTAGTCACGGGCGCTGGGAGGATGGAAATGCGAACACAGACGGAGGGAAGAAGAGGACGATTGTTGAAACGAGTGATGGGAGGTCTTGGATGGAACATAAATTCGTGAGGATCGAGGGGAGGTGGAAGATTGCAAGGATAACACCGGAGTTGACATATGATACGGGTGATTTTATGAGGGTTAGAAGGCCGGAGGGGGCGGCTTAGATCTATTTCTATGCAGATATCGACTGACTGGATACCTAGTGTATCTCGGGGAGTACTTGTACATGTATCAGATCTGGAATTCCACGCATTACTGGTAGAAAGCATGACTATTGCGTGTCCGAAAGAGCATTGACAGAAGACAGGTGTCGAAACCAGCCTAATCAGACCACGGCACTGTTTATTATGCTCGGTCATAAGGAAGCCCTTTTTCTTTCATGAGCAGACTGAAGACAAAATAAACGGCAGTTGACTGACATTCTAAAATAGATTGCTTTTGCCGATCGGCTATGAACCTGCTTAGAACTCAAATATTGCCAATTTATGTCAGCTTGTAAGCATGCTGTACAAGGCAGAGCTGACTCTTTATACTTGATTAGGGTGACTTGGGTTTTTTCAATCTTTAACATATCAGACCGACCTCATGATACTATACTGAATGGATCATAACAGACTGTGGCTATAGCTGGGGCTAGAGGTGACCTAAATTTCTTCAAGAAGTAAAATCATAGGAAGCTGGGGCCACTAAAGGCACCTGCATATATGCAAATCCGATTCGCCATCTAGGATACATACGGAGTATACGGCGTTTCCTCCGAATCTCGCATTTATAGAGAAGGGCTTTCCCGCTGTGTTCATGGTGGATACGCTGTCCTACACTAGGATATAGCGAAGGCATTGTCTATTACTAAATACTGATGTCCTTCATATGATGGGAATTTTGGAATAAATGGGACACATGCAAGATTGCCTGAGCCTGGTTGCACGCAAGTCATAGATGACATACGCCTCCAGCAAGCAGACAGCTACCTCTGAGAACATCTGCCGAAGCCCCATTTTCAACTCAGATTCAAGCCGATACGGCCTTGTTTGAAGAAATGGATCTACCTGTCCAATGATATCAGCCAAGTATACTAGGCACATACTACATACATAAACTTGAGACAATGTTGACCCAGATATGCGGAGAGAATGCCGTTCTTCGGAATTAATCCGTAGTATTTTAGTGAACACACTAGTCCGAAAGTTCGAGAATGTATATATATTCCTTGACGCCAAAACTTTTCGGTCTTATATATACTTCGTGAAAACATCGCGAATCCGAGACATACCATAATTCGTCAAAAACGCCGCGCGCAAGACAAAAACAGGGTATGAAAACGACATATACCAACCAATTCGCAAACAATCCAGAAAAAAGAACCACTCGAAATCTAACAGGACGCAGAATTTTATACGAAATTGAAACTCAAATCAGTCAAACCATAATCACCACCTCCTTCAATACCATCCAGCATCGGCAAAAACGCACCTCCACCGGTCATTCCAATACCAGCACCGCCGCCAACCATCATACCATGATCATCGTCCTCGGCATTGAGATGACCGAAATTGGGATCTAGTGACAGAAACGATGGTTGTTCAGGTATTTCGCTGACGCTGTTGAACAAGGTGTTATCGACATTTTCGTGGTGGACGAGAGAGGGGCTCATTGTATTGAGCCCCCCTCTGAGATTCCCACTGGTTTGATTGTTGGTGCGGGTATGTGTGTTATCCCACGACAGAGGAACATTTGAGTGAGCGCTACTGTTAATGCTACCGTTGATGCTGCCATTGACGCTGTCACTGCTCATACTATCCCTTGAACTCTGGGCGGAAGAAGATTGTGCAAGCATCTTCGCAAGCCCATCGGCCATCCAATGCACAAGATGATACTGTCCGCATTTCACGTGCCTAAAGAAGTCGATCACGCGCTGGATGAGTGAATGGGTGGACGCAACATCGATGCCGAGATCGTCGCGATACCGATCCGCGACTTTGAGTAGCACGACGCATGCGAAAGCGACCATGGTGTGGAAGTAGTGCGGTACACCGATTATGCTACGACGAATGTCGGCGTCGCCGAGCAGAAGCTCCAAAATGGTGGTGGCGTGTGACACGGCTGTTGAGGCTGCGTCTTTGAAGTAGGAGGGAATATGTTCGATGTGGTCGCCGGATTTAAGGCCGCGGAAGACGTGAGAATAGAGATGAAGTTTGCCGAAGTGATAGTGCAGCAGGACTCCTTTGGAGGGGAAATTGCCGATATGTTCGTTGGGACCTAATGCATACTGTTAGCATTGTCTCTTGTGAAGTGGCGCAAGGAGACTTACGGAGTTTGGAAGACCAATGAGCCAGCCATTTATCGAGGTGATGGCTGAACGTGTTGATATGAGGCATCGCGCCACGAGGAATAGACTTGGAGGCATCCACGCCGAAAAATTCGCGAATCTGACTGAGTAATGTCATAAGTGCTACCTGCGACGAAATTCGGATATCCGATTGCGAAGCATGCGGAGACTCGAGGTATGAACGCCACCCACGAATGGTATCATCTTCTCGAATCATGGGTGCTCGGGTATACAATATCGACAAATGCTGATCACAGATATAGAGCAAATACCACAACCGAACAGGATCAATCGACGCTTCAGGATCTGATAGATCCCAGCTTTTAGGCGTCTGCGCAAACTCATTTGCTGAATCGATGATGCGGTAGTAGAACTTGTGAAGGTTGATATCGCTCGCTCGTCGAACAGCCAGACCAGCTAGTGTCCACGAAACATCACTCAACCAATACGAGCCAATCACCAACGCACGCAAATAATCCAGACTGATGCGGCGCTCAAACATTGAGCTAGAAACCAATCGGCGGAATTCCTGGTTGCAGGTTTCGTACAGTTGACCATTACCGGCTTGATGTGATGCTGCGACTGTGCAGATGCAGGCTGTGAGTAAAGAGGAACTTCGTCGTAAGCTTTCTAATGTCTTGTACTTGCTGGCTAGACCATAGATATAAGGGTCTAGCTGGGTTTGATAAAAGTGGAATAGTTTCTCGGCTTCGTCAACAGGCACCAGCCCGCGGGAGATGAAGTCGTCGTGATTCGAGGGCAGTTCTTCTACTGTTTCTCCTCGTAGGGAGCGCAGGCGGGTGAGCTCGTATAGCGACTCGATTGGAATATGTGACGACGTCTCCTGAGCCGGTTGTAGCTGAGAAGAGGTTTCAGGGTCTCTAGCGGTAATCGACTCGGTTGTTTGAGTAATCGGGGCTTCTGGTTCTTGAAAACTTCCGAGCTCTGGTAGCGGGGTGTGTAGAGAAGGTAGCGTTGGGAGAGATAATGCGCGCAATGTCTGCTCGAGTGCCGAGTGCATGATGGTCAAGTCATGGCTAACTGTTTTGCGCCATCTGTGATAGCTATCAGTGACTATTTATTCTACCACGACGAAGCGAATATTACCTTGACTCTTCATCGATAAGTGTTTGCAAGCTCTTATTAAGTTTACACGATAAACCTCTTTCTTTGCATCTTTTGCAAGGCGGGTGGTCATCGTCCATGTCACATTTAATCTGCCATCGTATTTCGGATTAGTTTCCCGTTTCAAGCCCAATTCTTTTCTGAGAATTGCAGTCTCACCTTCTGCTTACGACAGGCCGCACAAGCCTTCACCTTGCGCGTAATAGACGGCCATGCCATCTGCTCATTATCGTCTGAGTGAATGCTAGCAGCTCTCTGGCGTGATCCGGATTTCGCAGATCGAGGCTCTGACCCGGCATCTGTCAAGGTCGGGGTTGGAGGATGTGAAAAGTTGGCCTTGACATCGTCCGGGCTACTGGGACTTCCGGACTTAATGTGAACGTCTTTTGTTGAGGCTCTGTTTGCGCCACGACGAATTGGTTGTGTCGCTGCTCCGTCGACTTGATTCCAGGAACGCTTCGGCATGGTGATGCACGCTGCAAGGGATGGTGTGAAATAGTATATCTAGTGTAGCTTCTCGGTTCAATGCATCAATGATCTTCGTTTTGGACTAGATCTTGTACAGTCGCAAGTATCTTTATATAATCCGTATATATGAAGGAGAATAGATAGATTCTGGAGAAAGTTGAAATCCGGGGGAAAGCAAGACAAGAACTACGAACAAGAGAAAAAAACTTATGGAACCCCTCACACACACACAAACCACTTCCCCAAAATCCAGCTCAATCGCATCACTAGCTGGTACTGTCAGACAATCGGGGTCTGGACGCGAGCTGCCAACAGCCACGAATAGTTCTAGCTGGGTGGGATTAAAATGACTCAGATAGCAATGAACACGATTACAGTAGATTATGCATTTACCAATGACATGAATGGCCAGTCCAGGTCTGGAGGTCGCCCAACCTTCCTTACGATCGGCATTATTCCGTGAATTCACCCACGTACCAACGGCACCATGAGTCTGCCATGGACTTGCTCCACTGCGGGGATAAACCTCCAACCTCTGAGAGAGCTACAGAAATTGCCTGATCCGGAAATCAGTGTTGGTGCCGACTCTCATGTGGAGCAAGTCCGTTCCAGGCAACTAAAGCCGGTCCTTTTACTGGTTATTCATCGTCGCTTGGAACCCCATTTGCAGAACTTGTAGAAAGTTTCCAGCCTATATGCCATGCTTTTAATTGCTGGTCGCCTGAACACAGACCAAAACAGTAATCCGCAACGAAGTATAAAGAATGACTCGGGCCGATTGCTGAAGTGCCTATGGGCTCGTCTAATTACTAGAACAAGGTTTCTCGACCGATGTTGCTTTGCGATTTCTTGGGTCATGGCGTTGTTTGGGTCTGATCGATAGGTGAGCCAGGGGCAGGGTTCCTGTGGCAAGTGAATTGGAGGGTTCTTTCGCCTCTTCCAGAAGCTGGTATGGAATGGTACAGACCACGAAGGAGGAACAGTCAACCCGCAGTTCTGTGATCCGTCCAATTCGTTCCATACTTCATACTGCATACTGGGCCGTTGCGCATTGTGGCAGCTGCACAGCTCAGTGCTTACGGATGTGACCAGTTGACAATGTAGGTGTGCTCCCCGCGACAAGTGACGTGGGGGTGCAGAGCTACACAGGTGGTACAAGCCACGCCCTCGCGTCGAGGGCATACTCTTTTGTCATATAGGTACACCCAGACGACTACCAGTCGTACATGACTACAGTACCGGTGTGTCCCTGTGTGTATTCTACTAATCACACAAAAATATATCACGTAGTATCATTGATTCTCGAAAATGATGACGGTGTCATGAACCAGCAGCCCCTTGTTACATCTCGCCACTAAGTACTCCGTAAGTGGATGCCATCACGTGGAAGTGACCCCCACAGCCTACTTGGCTATGCTTGACAAGGTTTCAACAAATTTCGGGATAACCCCACGCTTGGACGTAGGGGGATTAGCGTCAAAGCGTATCAGATTGGGATTGCGTGCTTGGAAATAGCATCACTCGGGCGAGAGACGGCATCTTTCTTTCAGTAGAAGAGCAGAGGCATATTACCATTTCGAAGGATTCCGTAGTTCCACCATATATGTATGCTTTTTCATGCTATCATCTACACTTTTAGACGGTCGGTACTCTCTGTCCTTAAACACGTCAATTTTGATCATTATCTCTGTGATATGAAGTGTTGTAATTATCGGCTACTCATGGCTGGATACATCATTAGCCGATGCGGGATTATTCTACTCCGACGGAGCTTCCCCGACCATCATTCTCCGAAACAGGACTAGCGTGACATGTACAACATCTTTTTCAATTTGACAGTCCATGTGATCAGATCGTCATTTTGGGAGGAAGGCGCATATGAACATGATTGGAGCGAAATCGACAAGCGAGTCTTCACTAACTTTCTCAAGGATATGGGGTTGACTGGGACCCAGTTGGAGAATTTGCGTGGCATTCGTGGTATATAGTATGCGGATTTCCATATTCGTACATCCTGCTCTGGACCGCCCGCCAGCGGGGTGGGGTTCTCCGGTGATAGAGACCAGCGAAGGATACGCGCACTGATACTTATTTAGTATTATACTACGTAGTAGTAGTGATAGATCGAGATTGACAAGATGAGACCGGTTCATTTGAATTTGATGGCTTCTTTGAATATCATGAACTGCATGCGGCAATGCGGCAAAGCGGCAAAGCGGCCCGCATACTCGTGAAGGACGTTAGACTTTTCTAGTAAGTTTGAATTCGAAGAGTCCAATAGTATACCAGGAGAGAGCCAGTATAATGTTGGTTCAAGCCGGAAACAGACAATCTTCCATCGGAACCCATTATATGAAGATGAAAATCTGTCTTCTCGACAAGGCGCTTCTTGCAACGTTTTGTTTCGACGCTCGAACAGTTCACTAGGAATTGCATCTGGCCGCCCGCGCTGTCCTGTACGATCATTTGCAAATGGCTGTGTATCTAGATCTGGCCGGGGCGGGTCGAGAAAGCTTTGGTGGCCGCATTCGTCAAGCTTTGTAGCTATGTTATGAAAATTTTGGAACTGTAAGGGACATGTTAGTCTTCTTGTCAACGAGGATGAAAAGTACCGAGGATAGTGCACTGTATACCTCAGGCAGTTCCTGCAGATTTAGCTATACAGTTTCTTAGTCGATACATTTATACTTATGTGCCTAAGGTGCTTTCCCATCGGTCAGGGCTGTAGGGTAGCTCAACACGAAGGACTTCCTCACAATACACGATCCAAAACAAAATCCAAAAAAGGATCGATAAACCGGATGGATCAGGATAATCAAATCATCAGTTCATAATCATCGAATCATTACTATATAAAAATCTCTCCGTTGCCCGTTTATTCAAATAACCAGCCCGTGGAAATCAACCCGTTGGACCACGGCCCCGGCGTTGATATGGTATTATTACCGGCCATCTCCATCCCCACCGGAACCCCATGATGGATGTCCACCTGAGTCAGGAAGTCTTCGATAGAAGGATTATTCAAACGACTCTGAGTCAAGAATGCGCTGTTATTGTTATTGTCCACCAAAGGATTCTGCTGTCCATCACTGTCATCAAGCCCAAGGTCTGCGGCACTTCCGGGCATGACTAGTAACTCTGCTATATGATCCATTGGCTGCGCTGGACCATTGCCATTGCCATTAGTACTTCGATCTGCGAACTCCAACATCACTTTTCGGATCTCAAGGAAATGCTCGTAGAACCCGGCTGCGGGTAGGTTGCCATCTTTTACAATCGACTCCATGATATCGGATGCAGTGTCGACAGCTTCGCGGTCTGCGTCGCTGTTGCTTGTGCCGAGGATGCTAGACATCATTAGGATGATGGTGGAAGAGAACAAGTAGTGGGCGTCGAAGTAGCCGTAGATTGCCATTCCAGCGTCGATCCAGAGTTGGGTCAGGAGACCGTTGGAGCTCCGTGCGGCGTGAATGCAAGCGTCTGCTAGGGCCATAGTCGTTGGTGATGGGGCTGCGGCGCCTTGGCCTTGGAAGCAGGATTTGAAAACGTGAAATAGAATCGGGCGGGTGGTGAGTATCACGCACTTCCAAAGGTTTATCCATGAGTATATTTGAATACAGACAATGGGAGTGAACTTAAACTTACCTGATTGAAACACAAATGTAAAGAAGCAACATTTCTTGACGAGTATCTCAAGGGCTTGGTTTGAGATATCTGCACACTTGCTGGCAATGTTTCTGCCCACGTTCTGAGGCTACGAAGGATCTTCTGCACACTCTGCACGAATGCCTTGGTTTGACTGGACCGACCATAAATATCCGAGATAATATCACCCGAAATTCTCGCCAGCTTGACGTGTGCGATAAGATGAGAAGGATCAGAGAACTCTTCTTGTTCACTGGGTGTGAGTTTGTCCATTGATGGCAAGTCGACGTCAATGTCACTGTCTTGGACAGTGACTGGATGACCCAATTTTGAGCTAGTCATGCGATCGATGATGTATACACTCCACCAGACCCGTATGCGATGTTCTCTCTCAACGGCAGAAATTGTGTAGCCTTCTGGAACATTGTGATGTAGGCCTAGAGTAAGACAGAGACGGAGGGCCATTCCGGCGTAGGTATATGCAGACTTGGTGCGGTTGAGTGCCAGGGAATACAAAGACTGTACATGTCAGAAAGCGGCACATTTCCCAATAAGATAACAACTCACGATAATCAGCAGTGCTTCTACGTACACAACTGAAGCCTCCTCATGCATATCCTGGGTCAGACTCATCGCCTGCACAAAGTACCCAGTACCGGGCACATCGGGACCCTTAGTCGATCCTAATCGTCGGTTGGAATACATCTCACCCATTGAGAATAGAGCAAACAATTTGCACACAAAGACTGGATCATCTAGTTTTTGCGTATCATAGATTTCTTGCATTCTCTCTATAGTCGACTTTCGCAGCATTAAATGATAATCATTACCCAGAAACCGCAATGCCACTTTAAGCAATAAATGTGCATAAGCACGATTGGGCCACTCAAATCTGGGAGCCGGGGCTGCCATGCGCAGAAATGCCTTGTGTTTGGAGTACTTGGATCGTGATAATGGCGCGACGGGTTCATTGCCATTCAGGAATTGGCGTAATCGTGTACCGAAGGCTGTACAGGCTGCTTCACCGATATAAATCGGTTGCCACGACGCGCTGTCTGTCACGAACCAGGCCTTGTCTTCGATCAGGGGATTTTTGAGGTCCACGTCGACATTGCCGAATCTTTCTGGGGAGTCGTCGTCTTCCTCACGATCTTCGGGAGTGTGTTGTGTTTGTGATGATTGTCCGACTATATCTTCTTCTGAGACGTCTTTGCCTTTGAGAAGTGCGACCTCTCGCTTTAACCAGTTCAAATAACTTGAAACATCAAATACATTAGAGATCCAGAACCAACCCCCAGATGAGCAGTGGACTCACCTCTCCTGGACCTGGACCTTCCGGTCTCTGTAAGGGTAAACACACTCGGTGCCTTCGGGTTTTCGAGCGCAGCTGCGACATGGATTGCCGCCCGAACATTTCACTTTGCTGCCGTGACAATTTAGACAGCTATAGAACATATCAACATCATTCTGGCTCAAGATACGAAGGAAATTGCGGGACATACGCTAATGAATTCCGCTGTCGTTTCGACGGTCGGTCTTCCAACTCATCCACAGAAATTGGAGAACCGTCTTTCGACTCCCTACGAGTGATTTTGGGCATTTTGTTTACTTTGATCGGTATCTGTCCTTTATTGTGGATCTGTCTGCATGAAGATGAGAAATGATGTGAGGCTGGAGTGGGTTACATACCAGACAAGATCCGAGTCCATAGGCCGGCAATATCTTATCAGAGCCGAAACGCTCGGCTCGGCGATTGACTTGCCGTTGCCGCGAACAAGCACACCTACCAAACACCTACAGAGTCTATAGACTCACCCGCATCGGCTGCCCATCGCTATCGACCGGAGGCTGTGCTTTATCCAACCGATTTATGCCTTGACAAATCGCGCGTCATTAAACGAGAATCACGATGCATGATATAAAGATGCACTGCAGCCACGTCTGTAGGTGGCTTATATACATCACACCGACACAATAACACAGCAATCGGTCATTATCCGAACAACGAAGAGATTCGAATAATGGCTATAGAAAGCGAAACCAAAGGCATCAGAATCGCTATTGACAGGGGCGGCACATTCTGTGACTTGTACGTTTGTTGGCGTCTCTCGCTTAAGCCCTGTAACCGAGTTTACTAATACATTTCGGAAATAGTTGGGCAAGCATCCCTGGTCGAGAAAACGACTTGATTTTTAAGTTGTTATCCAGGAATCCTGGAGAATATGATGATGCACCTATCGAAGGCATCCGGCAGATTCTTGAACAGGCTACTGGTCAGACTATTCCTAGAGGTACACCTCTGGACATCACGCCAGTAGAGTCGATACGTATGGGCACAACTGTTGCAACAAAGTGAGAATCTCCAGCAGTCATCGAATCAAATGACATCAGCTGATATGCATTTTTTAGTGCCCTCTTAGAACGAAAAGGCGAGCGAGTCGCCCTTTTAATTACAAAAGGTTTCAAAGATCTTCTAGTTATTGGCAATCAAGCCCGCCCTAGCATCTTCGATCTATCCGTTTCGAAACTCGATCGTTTATATGAGAAAGTCATTGAAGTAGAAGAGAGAGTCACTATAGAAGGCTTCGCCGAAGATCCGGAACCTCAACCCATTGATATAAAATCCGACCCAGCCTTAGTCGAAGGCCTTACCGGAGAAGCTATCCGCATTTTGCAACAACCAGATCTTACGCAAGTCCGCCAAGACCTTCAAAAGTTATGGGATGAAGGGTACCGCACCCTGGCTATTGCGTTTATGCATTCATTTGCATTCCCGGATCATGAAGCTGCCGTGGCAGCGATTGCACGTGAGATCGGGTTTAGAGCATCGGTCTCTTCGGAGTTACAGCCTATGATCCGAATTGTTCCTCGAGCTCAATCGGCAACAGCGGATGCTTATTTATCTCCGGTTATTGCTCAGTATATTGAAGGTTTCCGTTCGGGCTTCAAGGGCCGGTTGGAAGATCATAACGCCAAGAAATTACTTTTATGTCAGTCAGATGGCGGTCTTACCTCATTCACTAGATTTACCGGATTACGAGCGATTCTCTCTGGACCTGCTGCTGGCGTTATTGGGTGTGCTCGCACTTGCTATGATGAGGAAGATGGAACGCCCGTGCTTGGTTTCGATATGGGAGGAACAAGTACAGATGTCTCCCGGTATAGTGGTTCGTTCGAACACGTCTTTGAAACCACCGTCTCGCAAGTCGCCCTTCAAAGCCCTCAGTTAGACGTCCACACTGTAGCTGCAGGTGGAGGCTCCATGCTTTTTTGGCGCAATGGCCTGTTTGTCGCGGGTCCCGAATCTGCAGGTGCATATCCAGGGCCCGCATGTTATGGCAAAGGCGGTCCTCTTACAATCACGGATGCAAATTTCTTCCTCGGCCGTATTCTGCCAGACTACTTTGCGCGTCCTCTAGACTTTGATGTTGTTAAGAAGAAATTCTTGGAACTTACCGAGGTTGTTAATGCGGAAAAGAAAGGCACAGAAACTCTTACACCGGAGGAGATTGCGATGGGCTTTCTTCTTGTGGCGAATGCATCCATGACAAGACCAATTCGAGCCCTGAGCGAAGGACGTGGTTATGAGACTGCTGCTCACAACCTCGTCTGTTTTGGCGGTGCTGGTGGACAACATGCCACTGCCATTGCACGGGATCTCGGTATCAAACGAGTGCTGATTCACCGTTTCTCTAGCATCTTGTCGGCCTATGGAATGGCTCTGGCGGATGTGGTTGTTGAGCTCCAAGAGCCGGAGTCTGGTGTTTACAACAAGGACTCTGCTCCTCGTATTGAGAAGAGAGCCGGTGCTCTCCGTCAGCGAAGCACTAAGCAGCTGCTTGAGGAAGGCTTTTCCGAAGATCAGATTTCACATGAAGTGTTCCTCAACATGCGTTATCGCGGAAGCGATACTTCACTTATGATTGCCGAGTCTGACGCCGCCACCTTTTCTGAGGGATTCATTGCTCGCCACAAACGCGAGTTTGGCTTTACCCAACCGCGCGAAATCCTAGTTGATGACGTGCGACTTCGATCAGTCGGCAAAGCTGTGGATGTCAAGATCAAGAGCCCTTTTCAACAGCTGAAAGAGATCAATCGCTCAAATCAGCAAGACCTGAAACCAGCTCTGGTACGAAAAGTATACTTTGAAAAAGAGGGGTGGACAGACTCGCGCATCTTCCATCTTCAAGACGTACCCAAGGGAAGCGTTATACTAGGCCCAGCCATGATCATTGATGCAACTCAGACCATCGTCGTTGACCCGGCCAGTGAGGCAACTGTCTTGGATGAACATGTTGTCATCGATCTATTAGACGCTGAGACCAAGAAGATTTCTGCAGATGAGGTTGACCCTATTCAGCTCTCCGTCTTCAGTCATCGCTTTATGAGCGTTGCTGAGCAGACGGGTGAGACCCTCCGAAAGACTTCAATATCGACAAATATCAAGGAGCGTCTTGACTACAGTTGCGCAGTCTTTTCAGCTGATGGTCAATTGGTCGCTAATGCGCCTCACATACCCGCCCACTTGGGATCAATGTCCTACGCAATTGCGTACCAGGCAAGACGATACGCAAAAGGAGAACTGAAACCCGGCGATGTCATTTTATCAAACCATCCTATTGCCGGTGGTACCCACCTTCCAGATTTGACTGTAACGACACCTGTCTTCGACGAAAACGATCCTACAAAGATTCTCTTCTTTGTCGCAAACCGTGGCCACCATGCTGATATCGGTGGAATTGCTGCGGGAAGTATGCCACCCAATTCGACTGAATTGTGGCAGGAAGGKGCCGCTATCGAATCTTTCAAGCTAGTAAAAGAGGGTATCTTTGATGAAGAGGGTGTCACTCATCTTCTCTACGAGGTTCCGGCTCAATATCCTGGCTGCAGTGGCACGAGAACTTTGAATGACAACATTTCCGATCTCAAAGCAGGAATTGCGGCAAACAACAAGGGCATTCATTTGATCCAAGGTCTGGTCCGCGAATACAGTTGGCCTGTCGTCGAGCTGTACATGCATGCAGTTCAAAAGAATGCCGAAGATACCGTTCGCGGCTTACTCAAGGACTTTAGTCGTCGCTTCCAAGGTCAACCTCTCGAGGCAGTTGATTACATGGATGATGGAACTCCATTGGTACTAAAAATCACCATCGACCCAACCGACGGATCCGCCAAATTCGACTTTACCGGCACCGGACCCGAAGCGCTAAACAATCTCAACAGCCCACCAGCAGTTATGTACAGCGGTATTATGTACTGTCTCCGATCCATGATTTCCTCCGACATTCCCTTAAACCAAGGCTGTTTGGCGCCGATCAACGTCATCTGTCCACCCAACACAATCCTGTCACCAAGCATGAAAGCCGCAACTGTAGGGTCAAACGTTGAGACAGCACAACGGATTATCGATGTCATCTTGAAAGCATTCAGAGTCATGGGTGCCAGTCAAGGAACATGCAACAACCTCACTTTTGGCTACGGTGGTAAAGATCCCGTTACTGGTGCTGTGACGAAGGGCTTTGGATACTACGAGACTATTGCCGGTGGTGCGGGCGCAGGTGCGAACTGGGAGGGTCAATCAGGTGTTCATACCGGTAGCACAAACACGCGCATGACTGACCCAGAGACCTTCGAGAAACGCTATCCTGTTCTTCTTCGTGAGTTCAGTATTCGCAAGGGCAGTGGTGGTGGTGGTAGAAACCGGGGTGGTGATGGCTGCATTCGCGACATTGAGTTGCGACGACCATTGCAAGTAAGCATCTTGTCTGAAAGACGAGTTGTTGCACCGTATGGTATGGCTGGKGGCGAAGATGGAAAGAGAGGCGTGAATCTGTGGATTCGCAAGGATCCCGTCGATGGATCTGTGCGAACAATATCCGTTGGTGCCAAGGCGTCAATGGCGATGAACACGGGTGATAGATTTATTGTTCAGACTCCTGGTGGCGGTGGTTATGGTGTTGCGGTGGATAAGAAGCAAGCTGTTGAGGTTCTAGATGAGTTTGTTGTCAAACGTGCTGTGATATAAATTGTCTCGTTAATGATTACGATAATGATGCCACTATCTCCTTCTCTATTTTATTCAAACCAGCATGTGATTATTCTTAGAATGATAGTATTCGTCATTAACTACTCTTGAAACTTGCATATCGATACCTGCTATCTAAGAGGTGGACACAATTTCTCCGTCTCCTAACCCTAAGCGGAGATTTAACTGCCATGCGTAATGTGCAAGGTCTAAGGTATACACGAATCAGAACGGTTGTTTTTAAAAAGAAGCTTTTAGAGGAAATCTAAAGAAACATTTCTTGATTAATATAGAAGCTTGGTAATTTGGAGCAGTACATTTTATTTCTCCAGTCAGTCGAGAGAGATAATCCGGAGGAGAAGCTATGATTTCCCCGCATAATCCCCGGATAAATTCAGGAGACGTCGTAGAGCTAATTGCATGTGTTAAGGTATATAAGAAGATCAATTGCTGCTCAGACTATATGTAGTGGAAGTCAAGGTGAGGAATAACCTGAAGACACTTTTGCAGTAACTCTGCCGATAGAGGTTGAGCTTGAAGTTCAAACAGTGTTTCATCATGAAATTTTTAAACAATAATCAAGTCATCCGGACTTTGGCTGCATTTTCTGCCCTTCTACCTGGAGCTCTATCAGCCCCAGCAAGCAGAATTGATTCTCGCATTCCCTGCCAGGCCGGCGTTCTCTCAGCTTGTCCACACAACACCATCATCGTCTCGAACGACAACTCTTCCACTTCTCCCAAGCACGCGCATTTTACCTCAATCCAATCTGCAATACTTTCACTACCTCACGACAACTCATCAGCAACAATCCTCATTCGCGCCGGCAGCTACACTGAGCAATTGAACATTACTCGCCCGGGCCCTGTGACTCTACTCGGCGAAACAAGCCACGCTAAAAATGCTAGCGAGAACCAGGTCACTGTCTACTGGAGTGCAGCGAACAATGCTACATATCTCGACAATGCATTCACAAGTGTATTGACAGTCGCACCCACGCAGAATGCTTCACTTACCGGAGCTGGACCAACCGGGTGGCCTGTCCCTGTCGATACTCCATATGGCAGTACTGATTTCCGGGTTTACAACATCGACTTCCGGAATGTGTTCTCTGAGTACTCTGCGGGACCATCGCTTGCTGTTAGTGTGAGCTATGCCAATGCTGGATTTTATTACTCTGGTTTCTATTCTTACCAGGATACGGTAAGCCATATCACCCTTAGTCGAGTCGAATTCGTTATACTGATTTAAAATAAATTATAGGTATATATTGGCAAACTCGGCAATGCCTACTTCTACGACTCCATCATCGCCGGCCAGACCGACTTCCTCTACGGATTCGGCACAGCATGGTTCCAGTCCTGCGCTCTACAGCTCCGCTCTTGCGGCGGCGGCATTACGGCCTGGAAGGGCACAAACACCACCTACGCGAACAAATTCGGAGTCTACATTGTCGATTCCACCATCAACGCCGCCAATGCCTCAATTGCGGCTACTATTGCGGGCAAATGTGCACTTGGTAGACCATGGAACGCCCTTCACAGGTCAATCTTTGCGCGCACATATGAGGATGCTAGTATTAAAAGCAGTGGATATACAGATTGGGTGAATAAAGGTGTTGAGAATTATACACCGGGCGTCACGTTGCAGGCGGAGTTTGAGACGTATGGACCCGGTTGGAATGAGACGGGACGTATTGCTGGGGGGTGGGATACGATCTTAAATGAGACTGTGTGGAGAGAGTATGATGAGCCTGCTAAGGTGTTTCAGTTTGGATATGTAGGTGGTGGATTTGGGTATGTTGACTGGATTGATAGGACGCCTTGGGCTTAGGCGAGGAGTTATCAAGCTGTTCAAGTAGATAATTAGTTGCTACTATCTAAAATGAAATCAAAGCTCGTCAGTAATCTTAAAGCTTGACATCTGCGAATAACTTCGACTCATGAAATGTCTATCTAGCCATGCTTTCATACCAAAGTCCTAATCCTCTACCCTAATTTCCGATTCGATCCTCGCTGATATGTCAATAATCAACATGCCTCTTTTTACCCCTTATATGGCTGAGCAAATTATGTATCAAATAATTGTGCTATCTTATAATAGCTTGTATAATTTCAGCATAGCTAGCTCTTTGAGAAACCATGATAGATTTTTCCTCTTTGGGACAGCTCCCAGATGACATCATACCTCTGTCAAAGGTTTCAAAACACAACGTCGCCTATCGCATTGCCCTGAAAATAGTCAAATAACTAAACGAGCATCAACGATAAAAAAAGAGACGTCAACAGAATGCCCATCCCACGACCAGCAATCCTCTCCTCCATCCGATCCCTCATCTCAGCTTTTACCTCCAACGCCTCCACGCCCGCCATCCTAGCACACTTCACCTCCTCCCCAATACCTCTTGTACACGAGCACGGCTCCCCCTTGTTTCAGCCATTTCTACCCTTTGTCGGTCGCGACTTCATCGGTCTCGAAGCAGTTGGCGAATACTTCGATTTACTGGCGCAACACCTCTCCATCAGCGACGCATCCTTTGACGATGAAGATGACTGGGTCGTGGACCCACAGATTTTAACTGTATGTCTGCGTGGGCGCGCACGGTTCACATCTACTGAGACGAAAGAGAGTTGGTTTGAGACGTTTATGTGGCGGGTCGCATTGTCCGAGGATCTAACGGGTGAAAGTGAGCCGGATGTAGGCCAGGGGCTCAAAGTACAAGAGTATAGAGTCTGGGCTGATACGGGCGCTGCGTTTTTGGCTTCCAAGGGAGGGTTGAAGGATCTCGAATCTGTGAGTCGGGGTAATGTGAGGAGGTCTGTTACCGGAGCGCACAAGGCTGATGAAGTTTTGGGAGGGGAGGATTTCCCAGTTGGAGAAAAGTTGGGGAGTGGATTGTCTTTTGGTGGGAGTTCAGGATAAATGCTAATTTTGTGATTGGAAGATTGATATTGCTATTTCAGGACTGCTAGATCAGGAAGTTTTAAATAAAGATAATGTGCTAAAGTTACAATTTTGAAACAAGTCAAGAAGCAAAGGCAGTAGAAAGCACCACAACTCCTGTTTCCCTCGAGATGAACGGTAGTCTCGACCTGGGACCATACCTGCGCATCGACGAATCTAAAAGCTGACCACAAGAATGAAAATTAGAGAAAAGAAGATTACTGCTTCCATGACTTTCCGCAATTCAAACAAGTACAGAACAATGTCATCGGCTCATCAGCACTGCGCGTCTGGGCCTCGGTATAAGTAACCTTGCGCTGGCCACATTTACCGCATTGCAGACTTGAGCTGATACTTCGTTCGGCTTGTGCCACCATTGCCTTGTCCATATTCTCTTTTTGGATCTTCTGGTCCAACGCCCTTCGCTCGTCCGACTTGAGTTCGTCGTGGGTCATCTTGACAAACTTGTCTGGCGTCACATCGCCCGAAAGCACGCGCTGTCGAAGTTGTGGATTTGACTTGTTCTTCAGATTCTGGAACAAACTTCGAATCTTCGTCTTGTATTGGTCTTTGGTCTCGGGTCCGAAAGACGTGAATGCTGCATTCTCTACAGCTATCGCCTTCGCTAGCACGATTTTCGGGGGATCTGTAGACATAAACGATAATCCGTCGTACATCAGACCGAGGCAGCTATCGCGGGTCTTATTATTCGTAACGTTCGTGTCAACACCATCTGCCTTCCACGACCGTTTCTCAGGCGGAACAGTCGACTTCGAAGCCTTATCGCCAGGTGTGCTTGCTGGCGCAGGCGATGCCGTGCCCGTGCGCGGCGTACTAGAACGTTGTGGCGAACCATTCGACTTTTGCTTATTCACTTCGCTCCGCCATTTGGACACAATCTCGGATGACAGGCGCGCAACATCGGCTGCTTTGTGTTGTTTGAGTTTATTCACCACGATACCGATACGGGTTGAGCGGAGGAGGTCTTCTGTAGGTCGGACGCCTTTCTGGAGTTCTTTCAAGATGGTGATGAGATTGGCTGGTGGCTCGCTGGATGTCGCGGCTTTGGTGAGAGCCTTGGCTTTAAATTCGATTTCTTTTGCTTCCATTGTGGAGGATCTGATGAAGGGTCAGTTAGCGCGATCGACAATTTTGATGAGTTCTGTGTAATGATTGCGGTGATCGTCATGTTGTCTATACAAGTGTATATGTATCACTGATGCGATGCGCGGGATCCCAGGCGAGAATCAACCATGACTCGATATGTACATACCACGTATAGCCCACCAACGATGGCGAGATTTGATGGCGACGAAGCCTGGCAGGCAATCACGCAAAGCGCAATGAATCAGAAGTGAAAGAAATGGGAGTGAGTTAACACTTCTCGACGACTAGTCCTGATGCTGCAAGCCCCAAATTCCAAGATCGCAACAAGACGTCAATCAAGCAGGAATTAAGAAAGAGAGGACAAAAATAAAGAAACAAAAATGAAAGATAATGGCAAAGCGATTACGAAGTAATGATAGAAAGAGAAAGAAAGCTGCTTTTTTGCGACAAAAACACTTTGGGAAGTTGTCCGCTTGACCGCTCGGCAATTGATCTGATTGGCTGCCGCCGCTAATCATCTACCTGTGTCGCAAACAATATATAGATATAGCTTTTGTTTTAATTTCGTCTTTCATACAATGCGAAGTCTCTTTCTTGTTAGATACGTGGTATCTTGATTAAATGCTAAGAAAAAGAACAAGCATGAGGGCATCATAGACTGGTAGGTGAGGATGAAGAGCAACGCAACGATGGCCGGGGATGATGGGTAGATCAAGTCGGCATGATCTATGAACGTGTTTATATACATCGAACACAAAATGCAGGACAAAATAGCAATGCCTTTTATCAGATCTTTCATCTTTTCAGGGAGGGGGTTGCAGCGAGATTTCTGTCGATGGTCCAAGTAAGTTGGAAGCATGAGACGGTTTGTGGTATCTGCGCGATTAGCCGTGCGCTTCTCCAAAGAGTCGATGCCTCTTGATAGATACGGATACTCATTGGCAATAATGAGAGCTTAAATACCAGTCTTGCCAAGAGCATCAGCCAACGCGTCCACATCATCATCCTTCTTCTGGCTGACGGGCTCATCCTCGGCGCGAATAGTCTCCTTCAAAATCTTGTCAGCCAAATGTGTCTTTAATTCCTCCTCTTCCTCTTCCTCGTCTTGCTCATCCTCTTCGTCTTCTTCCTCGTCTTCCTCAAGTTCGTCTAGCTCATCAAGACCCCAAGCATCCTCGGCATCTTCATCTGTACCCTGCTCTTCTTGTCTCTTCTCGAGCAGTACGCGGAGCTCCTCAATATTAGCATCCTCCTCCAAAAATTTATTTCCGTTCAATTCAACTCGCTTCAAAGCTGGCAAAGAATTCTTGGCCGCGAACAAGAATTGCTTCACACCCTCTGCATTAATATCGTTGTATTGCAGGCGCAAGATTTCAACCTTTTCATTTTTACCAGCCGCAAGAGCCTGTGCAACCTTGACACCACCGCGGGCCGAAAGCAGACAATCTCCAACACCCAACTCGCGCAACGAAGCCCATCCTTGCACAACCTTAGCCAACGCACTGGATCCGAGTAACGTAAACGTATTATCTTGCAAATCGAGAACCTCCAACTCCGACGCATGACTCAACCCATCCTTCAATAACAGCGAGATTCCTTCCTGACGAATACCGTTCTGCGTCATCTTCACAGAGCGCATACCTTTCGCATGCGCCTTGTATGCCGAAGCCCAGGCTTCCATACTTCCATTTTCGAGACGATTGCGTCCACAGACAATTGACTCTAGCAAAGGAACGTCCTTGCCCTCATGACGCGCCTTCTCCTTTTGTGCTGCCAACTCCGTAAGCGCATCAGCGACAAGCACGCCAGCCTTGGGACCCAACCCGTTATTATTGAGAATCAAATGACGAAGCGGCACAGCCCGCGACAAATAATCGACAAGTGGCGCTTGCGTGTTGAGTCCGAATGCATTATCGGACAAGTTGATGGTATGCAAATTGGGAACCTCGAGCAGGGCATTCAATAACGCAGATAACGCGGGGGGGATCTCGGACAGAAGGCGCGATGTGAAGATATCGTCGAGGTTGGCGACTTGTAGGTTCTTTTGAGTTGCAAGAGCGGTTGCAAGACGTTCCGAGGCTTCGACACCGAGGGTGTTACCACCGAGGTGGACTTCTGTGAATGTGTTGTCCTCGAGCAGCGGTTTCGCATGGGTTTCGATGTCCGCCGCGGTATCGAGTTTTAGGCCCTTGCCGTTGATGGAGAATATTTTGGCCATTTTCACAAATAATAAAATGAGCTTCTCGTGAAAATCTTTCTGGGAAGTACGCAAATAAAACGTGTAAGGAAAAGAGAAGAACCACGTCGAGACGAAGAAATGGAAGAGGGGCTGTATTGTTTTTTTATTTTTTCCCCTTTGTATTGTCATTCGCCTCCGATGCTTAAMCCCCGCCAGTCGCCAGGGTAAAATTAAGCTATCAGCAGCCTAAACTGTTCTGGTACTAGCGGTATTGGTTCATCGAAACTGCCTCACCGCCTGCCAGACCCATACCGAGTTCTGCCATCGGAATCATTCGATTTCGAGATCTAGATTACTAATTACGAATCTTTTACCAACCTCTCTTTCGCATTTTGTCCCTGCATTCTTGTCATCTTCGTCTCAATTGCAGCAACGGGAAATAGAAGAAAGTCAAAAAGTCGCATTTTCTCAATTGTTCAAGATGTCGTCTTGGTTCTCAGGCTGGTTCGGTAAGTTTGTCTCGTCTGTCCGGTGGGCAAACAGTCCGCGGAGGACATCTCACTTCGCCTTGCTCTTGAGAGCGCTCTCTTTCTCACTTTCCAGACTTTGACTAACCTCTGTCTCTGCCACAGGCTCCTCGAACACCCCAACMCCCGCACCAAAACCCGCCGAAAAGCCCAAGGTTCGCCCTTTTCCCACCCATCAACAAGATCCGTAAAAGAGCTGTATAACTAACGGAGGTCAATAGCCATGCTGCGTCTGCAAAGAAGAAAAAACCGCCCGCGACGACTGCATGCTCTTCTCCAAATCCGATGATCCCGCGCAGACGGACTGCAAGCCGCTGGTAGAACAGTACAAGGCTTGTATGGCCGGGTATGGATTCAAGATCTAATCCCGCCTGGAGGAGCCTGAAGGAGAAAATCGGGAACAGACCATAGTGGTTGGGAAGGATATTGCATATATACATTGCATTGGGATACATTATTGGTTTTGCGGATACTCCTCTCTTTTTGATCGATTGATTTGGGCGTTATGTTTGTTTTGGAATTTCCTTTTGTATATATATGTACAATAGATATTGGAAGACTTATTTCATTTGATTGATTTGGAATAGACATGGTATCAAAGTAAAACAGCACTCGAAGGATAGTACATATACACAAAGAAGATTATTGAGTCTTCTTTACATCCCCAGCCGGTTTCCCGCTCAATCTATACGCCTGCGCAATCAGATTGCTCGTCGTCCACAGATACGCCAAACCAAATCCGCTCGCGCCAATAAGCACATTCAATACAACCCACAAGTCCGGTTTGTCGGCTGGTGGTTGCACGAATGCGTCGAGGACATGCCAACCGATCATACTCAGATAGAAGATTGTGTGAATCAACACCGTGAGACCACTCACGGACGCCTCTTTGGTCGTCGTCGTGATGTTTCTTGCCCTGAAAATCTCGATCGAGGTAGGGAACAATCCCAAGAGATACGTCCATAGGAAGGTAATGACGAAATATGGGATGCGGAGTTCTTCACGTTTGAGTAAGGGATAGATTGTCCAGGCGCCAAGGATATTGGCCCAACCTATCCAGGCGCGATTGACTTTATTGAGGCCTCCGTCGCTGGCGAAGAGGAGGGTCATCGGGAGTAAAGGCAGTAAGACGCTCTTTTCGTGAACTTGGAAAGAGAAGAGGAAAAAGCCCCATGCGGAACTGCTCAGGGCAAGTAAGAGCAATTGTGGGCGTGGATAGCGGAAGATTATGAGACAAGGGACAGATATCGATGCCAGTGTAGCGGCGAGAGATGCACGCTGCAACAGTGGCGCTGGAAACCGGTGTAGTTTGTAGAATGTGTGGATGGCGCACCAGGCGTTTGCGACCTTGTCCTCAAACAAGCCACGTGCAAAGGGAAATACGCGGTGAATAAGCTGGCCGAGCTGAAGGAGTGGCGTATAGTACCAAGCTTTCGCGTCTAGTTTAATCGGCAGATCCGCGATGAGGGCCGGTAAAGAACCGGGCAATGCAGTCCCATGAGCCCAATCATTCAGCGATGCGGCGATGAATGGCGCGAGTATGATCGCAAAAGCTGCCACTGTCGATAAAGCTATAGCCAAGAAGCGACCAATCCGTATGCGCGGGAAGATGCAACTACCCAGGAGAAATGAGAACATGATGGGCGCATAGTAAAGTGCCATCTGTTTGAAGGACAATGCCGCAACAAAGAATGCACATGCCAATGGTAGTCGGCCGGTCAGTATACTTTCGACACTAGCCACCATAAGCCCCAGCATGACCGTATTATATTGGAAATGACCGTGGTCGACCAGGATGTTTCCAGGCTGCATCAATATAGCGATCAGTGCTATTGAAGTCGACCACATCGGTACCCCGAGAAGACGACCATAACGACGTGCAAAGAGCACGACAGCGGGTATGTAGACAAGATATTCGGATACAATAACGGTGGCGCGCATATAGAGCTTGAGAAGAGGGTCTTCGACACCCCGCGATGCGTCGAGGGCGAAGAAAGCCGGATCAACCAGTGAGCCACTAATATATATCAGCTATGCAGTTCTTCGTTATAGGACCTGGAAGACAAGTTCATACATCTTTCCCAACAACCAGCTATGATAAGCCGTCAATGGCGGATAATCAAGCCCCCAGTATTGCAAGTCATAAAAGTACCACTTCGTGAGTGGCAGATGAATAGTCAACTCCATCCAATGTCTTTGCGCTTCAAAGTCGCCGTGTAACGGAGGCATATTGAATCCTTCACTCCCAAGTAATTAGTGACAACTCCTATCTAAGGCATCATGAAGCGGTACCAACCAGAATACCCCCACAAACTCACAGCCCACCGAAACAACCCGACCACCATCAGAATCAGCGGAAGTATAATCCATTGCGAAGTAGCACCGCGCGCAAACCACATGAATGAAACCAGCGGGAAAGCAGGAGCTGCATGCGGGGAGCCCGCGTCGAGGATCAGGTCATTATTGTTGGTCCCGGAGAAGGTTGTTGGGAGCTTCTTTTTTTGTCGGGGACGGTAGGATGTGGGTGAGGAAGCCATTGTGGCAGGTATATGGAAAATAGTCAGTTGATAGATTCCATGGGCTGGCTCAGAGTTATTGCATGTAGCAATCGCAAGTCGAATGCTCGCAATGGTGAGACAATTGAATGAAGTTTGGTCTGGAGACACGGTAGCTCAAGCTCGGGGATATCGCTGGACTCCGAGGGGACGGTCCGCGCTATTCCAGATTGGGCTCCGCTCAATATTAAGCAATGTACTTCACTATCGGTCGTTGGGTTCCTGGACCAGCGCATGGTTGGCAGGATATGTGAACTGTCTATCAATTACGGTCATTAGGCTGAATTCCAAGTGTCTTATAACATGGCCCCTGTGAAATCAGGATAGCGACATTAGTTCGAATACGGAGTATTTCAGGCTAAATTGCCTTCATACTCTACCTCTTCCGAGATATAAGTCGACAAGCTCATGGCATGATAAATCATTCATGTTATTACTCAGATACTGAGCTGGTACTGCCATTTATCACGCTCCTATCAGTTTTAGCTGTACCTCTGTCTCTATAACCAGAGTTCACAAGTCCTCTCTTCACCATAGGAATCATGAAGAACCGACTCATGTCAGTCGTTCTTCTCAGCTTCATGATTTCTGCGAGCGCCTCAACCATCGTAAAATGTAACAAGCCAATCTCGGTCTCCTTTTGTACCCAAGCTTGCGGCTGTTACTGTCCTCCGGGTGAAAACAGCAATATCTCTTGCTCAATGAATCCAACAACATGCCCAAGCTCGGTGGGGGAAACCTGTATTGAAAGTTGCTTTTGCGCAGTGGATACTACTCCTGATCCTAGTACTATTCTCTGCGAAAAGCCTGTCAATACGTCTTTCTGTGAGGTTGCGTGTGGTTGTGGCTGTGATGAAGCGGGTCATATCAATTGTTTTGTGGCTGAGGGCACTTGCACTCAGGATGCAGCCCAGCTCTGTAAAGCGGCTTGTTTGTGTAAGGCAGTCCAGATGCGCCACGGGGCGAAGAATGAAGAGTCGAGCAAGCAGATTGTGTTGGAGCGTGTCGACTAGCACTAGCTTGCGCTGAGTTCAAGGCTACAGTCTACACTATACTCGTATAAGTTAATACGTGGATCAAGTCCACGCAATATCAAGTAGATTGAACAGGCAGATATTGCCATATTCAACGATTTGAACGTGTAAGATATCTATTTTTAAACGCTCGTTGACGCAACATATGTATTGACTCATCGCTGAAATCTGAGGACTCGACCATCAGGTCCTACACTAACGCCAAGATGCTCTCGTAGAAATGTCGTTGTCTGTTGTGAAGGTGTAAACGCAGTACGAGGCCTATTTCCCGTGTTGTGTCTCCATTGATCACGTATTGTCTCGAACAAGCCCATATCCAATATCAAAGCTTCCCCCATTGCGAATGCGTCAAGAGGGTGACTATGTCTGGACGCTGGACTTGAGCCATCTTCAGCGGGTTCGGCTAGTAAGGCCGTTCGCTCTAGAGTCACATCTTGAAGACCTTCGGAAGATTCGTCATTGTTTGTCTCATTTCGTAGAACGCCTCGTTCTTCGGCATCATGATCTTGTTCAGAGTTTGTACCATCCTCCCCCTCTGTTGAAGTTTCCTGAGACTCGCGGTCCTCTGTCGACTCGCGTTTTACAGCCATCCGCACTCGCTCTAATATCAAGCCCAACATGACTAGATGTATTAGCATAATGAGAAAGTCGAACATTACAAGCCGCACTCGCGACACTGGGGCTTTCTGCCCCACGAAATCAATAAAGAGACCGCCATGGAGATACCCTCGTGTTTCTTCGCCGGCACTCGGATGAATGGCGACTGTATGTAGAAACGCACACAGCAAATTGCTGCCGAATATGGCGCCAATATATGGCTGGCTTCTCGTGGGCTCGAAGGGTGGGGCTTTTGGCGTGAAGAATATAAGCTGTACAATAACACGTAACGCGAATAGGAAAAAGGTACAACTATACAGAGTCAGCTTGGAGTCAATCGACACCGGGGCAGGAAACGTACTCCATATAATACAATGCAGCAAGCTCGCAGTATATGATGATGTCGAGCTCGCGCAGTAAACGATCAATCAAAGCAATCTTCGCCTTCCGTTGCACCTTCTGCCTCAGTTGCTGCACGGCGGGTGTAAGGGGTTGCTCGACATCATCGTAATCAGCCACATCCGGGATGCCAGAGACATCAGCGAAGTGCTCGGCATCCCTGAAGGCATCCGGCGTGGTCATAGGGGGGTCATGAGGCAGTGAAGACTAAACGTCACAGCTCTCGGCGGATGAAGGTGCACAACGTCCACACTCGATAGGAAAGTGAGGGTACACAAGTGCGATTAGCGTGGGGGGGTAGATGGTGATCGGCAAAGGTATCAAATTGAAACGGAGGCACGAAGGCTGATGCGCAGGCAATCGCAAGTCGTGTGAGCAGACACCAGACGTTGTCGTTGAGGCTCTCCTGTTCCGTCGCCGGCACCTTCCCCATTCCCACTTCGACTGCGGCTCGGCGGCCTAACTGCCAATCACCACGGACTATTGTCGGTCCGGCCTATCTCCAGCAAATCCTAGTCTGCTAGTCGCCAATCAATGTAGTAACGTGGCTGTCATCGCTGCTTTGCTTTTTCAGCGCACGAAGTAACCATATTTTGACCTGGCGCAGATCATCAGACTCAGTGCGGTCGCACGGGATTCGCACCAAGTGTCTATGGCCGGTGTTTCTCGTTATTTACTCACTCTATTCTCGGTTTACTACCTTCCATATCCCGTATCCCGGTGGAGTAGAACAAGCCGCCTAAGCCGCTAGTCTCTTGGGGGGCGTATCAACCTGGAACGCTGTGACTCTCGGAACAGTCCGCCAAGGACCCAGGATCGTCCCCTCTTCCTTTTTCGATGGCCGGCTTCCTCGTATTACCGACTGATTTACCACTGCGATCGGTTTAGAATCTCGTTCTTCTCTTCGTCACCCAAGCTGCGAGGTTTCCTACATTTTCACGCTCCTCTAGGAGCAGTTACAAGTGTTAGGTTACTGATATTTTACGATTACCATGCTCACATGTGGAGGTCGCCTATTTTACAGACGCCGCCGTATGTGTCTCGAAACTGAAACACCAGCAAGCGTGTTCAGCACTCGGTGATAGAGGCGGCAGGAGCGATAGAGGGGGATTAGAAAGGAACAAAAAACAGGAAAAAAAGAAAGCAATGAAGTCGAATTCCAAGAATATTATAAAGGCAGCGCTCGCCTTCGTTTCACTCCCGATATTGCCAGCGGTCGCTGATTACTGCACCTTCGATAACGGCAATTGCATTGATGGCCTAGCCCAGGTTTCCGTTTCGTTCCAATTTGACGCTATCTCGCCCGTACCATTAAATTTTTACTACGGATACGATGCCGGATGGGGTTCTCCCTCCAACGAAAACGCGTGTGCAGTGAAAGTGGGATATTGGCTTCAGTACGATAGGGGAACAGTGACGGAATTCAACTCGAATATCCGCGGTATCAATTGGACAACAGAGGTGGCATTACGTATCGGAAATCTAGGCGGTTATGTCGGCGGTGCCAATAACGGCTGTGATGGTGTTTGGGGTGGTAATTGCTCGGAAAATTTAAAAACTTTCTTGCGGTCCTCGTTATTCAATCTTAGTACATCGGGGCAACCTTACGATTTACCGCTGGACACGGTACTTCAGCCGTTGACGACCGGCAGCCCAGGACCTATCATCGACGGATGTCCGTCTACACTGTTTGACTTGGATCTAATTCCCACCTATGGTGAGACTTCCCACCCTTGTTTTTTCGATTGATAGCGAAGCAAAGGCTTATCTTTCATTTAGCTGTTATCAATGCCACAACAGCTGGCGGCAACAACGCTTCGGAAGCCATAAGTGTTGCTGTACCAGGCAATCCTGGAGCCCCATGGCGGACATGGTACATTCCCGGCGCAACGCCTTTGGGACACGCCCAAGAGGTTGCCGTCGGCATCATCGCGCGTGGACCCAATCACGGCTCAAAGCCACTAAATGGTCCGGATGACATTAAAGTTGAGCTGGTATGTGCGAGGGCACCAAGACAAGGTCCCCGCCATCCACCTGATGGCGGCGCTCCTGGTAAGGCCCCTCAGGGATATGCCCGCGGCATCATCAAGTCGTATGCTTTTGACGAGAAAGACTTTGTATATGAAGTCGAAGACGATGAGGAGGAGGGGGAAGATGATGAGTACTATGATGGCGATAGCTCGACAACAGGCACCAACGTCGATTGCCCTGAAAGCAGTGCCACAGTACTCTAGACAAGAAATTTATCGTCTTTATCTTTCTACACATACTTTTAACACCGGAAATGCTATCCATGTACATAATACATTGCAAGGCGCACTCGGCGTTTGGACAAATATCACTTCGGTTTTCTGCCTATTGCTACTGAAAGTACTGCGACAATCTCATGATAGCAGCAGGGCGTGATTGCCTTCCTGCCTAAATAGGTAGTTGACAAACGAATGGAGTCCGTGGCACGTGGTTGCCTCATCCCACCCTATCTCCCTCCACTTTATCTTCTTCTTTTTTCTTTTCTCTCTTGTTCTTCCTCTTCTCTTTTCTTTTCCTTCAGAAGCGGAACCACCACCACCACCATCACTAAGGTGGGCAGGGTGGTGGCTGTTCCTTTTTGTGATGGCCCAGGACACGAGAGAGCTGAATCTTTTTCTTCTTCATTGTTTTATTTAGATATATTTTGAGTCAATAAGACAATCATGATGATGATGCATTTACTACCACCATCACCACCATCATCACCATCATCGAAATCACCAACATCATCAACGGTTACAAGGGCTGCAACTGCACCGATGACAAAAATGACGACAACAGCTGTAGCTACGGCTGCAAATACAACAGCCACAGCAACAGCAACAGCTACAGCCACAGCAACAGCAACAGCAACAGCAACAGCAACAGCAACAGCACGCTGCTCTCCATAGCATTCGAGTTGGTGGTATACCGGCCCTAGCTCCAGAAAGACAAGCATTCGTGTTTATGCTAGACCAGACACAACACGACACTATACAAGAACGATAACAAAGGAGTCACTTCTGTGGTGATTCTAAACAGGTGGTGCTTCGGCCCACGCTTATGCCACCACCTCCTTCTGGCCCTCTGCAGCGACCATTGCGGCCCGACTCTCGATTACCTGTACCAGTCATCTGTCAGGCCCAAGCTCTTCGCATTGCTGTCATTACCGTACAGCCTGCATTGGTATCGCACCCACACAATGAGAATCACCTGGTGGTTCCGCTCAGAAACAGGCAGGCGCCATTGTCATAGCGATACAGTTGGCAGCAGCACCGGGCATTCCTAGTCAGTGGCACAATCTGAACTTCATGGGTATATGGGTCAGCTGCCTGAATTGTTGATGTGGACTAACAACGTTCAATATATCCAATTAGCGAATCACCATTACCGACTATGAGCTCGAAAGAATCATGGAAACGATTCGAGGCGCCCAAACACCGGTGCTAGCAATCCTGATCGGGGAGCAGTACCTTTTCCCCTACCACTGAGGGCACAGTCAATTGGTCAGCAATAGTCTCGAAAGCCTTGGGGGCAGCCCAGAATAGCAGTAGGAACATGGAAGCTGTTTGATTTGATATGGGCATGTTTCCAACTCTCCTTGTCATGGCGCTTTTATGTTTGTATTTGACGGCAGAGAACTGTATCTTTAAGATAATGTTACAGAAGCAGCAACACTCAAACTGTATAGACAGAATGAAAATGCTGTGTATCACAATCAATAGACGGATTGAAGCTTCGATTACTAGGGTTTGACTTCGGCTGAATTTTGACTGTCTATTTGACTGTAACCCATTATCGAGACAAACAGTGATTATGATTTTCTTTTCGCAATATTTCTCATAGACGCTTCATTATTTTCGCCTTGAACGTGTCTCGTTACAAGCAAGGGGAGGAATCTATTAGGCGGCTGTACCTACGTACCGGTACCTAATTTCCCTGACGCGCGGGAGCTTTACTGAGTAGAACTGAGCACGACCCTAAACGCCGTAATCAGATCAGTGAGCGGGCATCGAGTATAGTAATTAAAGCTTTTAGCACTCTTGAATAAGCGATGTAACCCTACAGACAAAGCAGTAGAACTTGCGTGTAATGCTATAAGATAATGCTCAAAAGAGGAGAATCAGAGAGCAAAAACATAGTGACTCCACCCACTATTCCCGCGGACATCTGAAATCTTCGAGCTTATCGATCCTACTATTCATCACATCTTTATTTGTACATTATGTCAGACCCTTCGCCGTCTATTCCCAAGCACGATGCGTCCCCGGAGCAAGTTCGAACCTACTTCGTTACTGTCTTAACTGCATATCATGGACTATCCACGGATGAGGCGTCCGCGATTGCATCAAACTGGAAATTGGGGCGAGGCTCAGAGCTTGAATATTACGACTTGGAGACTTTTCGAAGTATATTTGGGATTGAAGCAGGTACACTGTTATATAACTATGCAACAAAAAGGCCTTCCAGATCACCTGGCGCGCACAATCACAAAATAACGGAAAGAGATATCTTTAACCTTCCCCCTGGTCGTACGGAATATTCTTATCACCTATCATGTTTGGATGCATGTTCTGATTTTTTTTTTAGTATCAATCATATACGGTACCTTTGTTTTGGCTCTATTCTTCGGTTGCAGGGCATTCTCAGAGTGGCATGCAGAGGGGGAAAAGGGAGATAGAGGGGAGATTATGTGCATCATTAGCTTTCTTTTTACAGCACTATTTTTGTTTTCATATGTTGCATATTATTTTCCACCAAGATGATATTTCCATCGCTAGTGACGGCCAAGTGGCCTAAGAAGGAGGTGTAAATCGACATGGAAATGTTTAGCGGAAAGCAATTCCAGGCTGGCGAAAAGTTCCTTGCAGGTTGGATATTGTAGTAGAAGTAGTAGTAGAATTGAATTGACTGCTCATGTCCCCCCTCAGATCCACGGATGCTTCGGTCGATGGTCGGAGTAAGTAGTAGTAGAATTGAATTGACTGCTCATGTCCCCCCTCAGATCCACGGATGCTTCGGTCGATGGTCGGAGTAGTGTTGTAAAATTATCCATACAGTATTTCTCGATGCGACAAAAACATGCGGCGGCTTGTAAGTTAGTAGGCATGGTCTGACAGAAGATGAGAAGCAGATTGGTAGGAATTGAAATTGAGTGGTAAACGCCGTGCCCGTGAAAATCGATGGATCCCGTCGTGATCTTTGAATATCGTCCGTGCGCAGTTACCATTGGTGTGCCTGAAAACTTCAGTTTGATGGTAATGTAGCATCTGCATAGTATTTTTGCATATTGTCCAAGAAGGCAATCAGTACCGTTTTGCAGGCTGTTACGAGACAGTTGGTCAGTATCATGAGAGGCTTCACAAATAATTATCTAGCAGATCTTTTCCAAAACGAAGCGTGCCTCTTTTCAAACAACTTATACACACATTCTTGATGGAGAAATGCCTTTTTTTTTTTTCGTTTGAAAGACAGCCCAAAATCGGTAAGAATACCTGCCATCCTTGAGCCCAACATAAGCTAACCCAGTCAACGGATTCAATTGCCACAAGGTGATGAAATATCCATCCTTAGTGCACTCACCGAGATTCGTGTGCACATATCAACGATCAAATATGATGCTCTATATTGTTTGTAGGCTAGTAAACCTCAGTAACCTATATATAGCGCACTCGTGATCGTTTTGGGCAATTTGTATAAAAGCGTGATCGCTTCTTGTTATAGCAATCAGCACAAGCTTCAATTACATAGCGCGAACCGACCAATAACCCGAAGTCTGCCAAATATACCATCGAGTTCACGACTATGCGTATGTTTAGTCTATCTTATTGACTAGAATCCATTATCAAGGCAAACAGTTATTTTGATTTTCTTTCGCAAATTTATTCATAGACGCTTCATTATTCGCCTTTAACATGTCTCGGTGTAAGCAAGGGATGGAATTATTTAAACGCTGTATACTACAAACGTGGTCCTGACGACTTTGGGTTACCTCATGTGAGCTACATCAACTTTTGGATGCGGTTTCACAAGTATCCTAAATTATGACCCGAATTGCTATTAATTCGATTGATACAGCTTGATAACTACGTATTTGTCACACAGACTTCTTGTGTATAGGCTACTCTCTAAGGTGTGTACGACACGGTACGTCGTTAGGAGGGGTCGCTGTGGTATCTAGGGATGTACGGTGTTTCCTGGGTCTATATACGTATCGCAGACCTTATACGTGTGATTTTACCCATCCTTTGCCCTTTTCCCCCCAATATCCTATTTGTCACTCAACCTCAACGATCATTTTCGAATCTTGAATAATGGTGTCAACCCAAGAAAGCGGCGATAGCAAGGCCTATGCCCTGATTCGAGACAACAGCGACGACGATATTGAAGAGCCTTTTTTACATGATACCAACATCAGTAGACGAGTCAAGCATGGCAAGATTATCCGATCACCGGTGTGGGCAGTGATGACGTTCGTCCTAGCTATGATAATCTTTGTTGAGAATATCTATCTGCTTAGAACTGTCAGATCAACAAAGAGATATACTGGCACATATGAGACAGGGTTTGACACAGAACTCGGTGAGTATACCTGAAAAAGGGCATCATGATTGCCATCATGGCACACTATCATGCCTACCAGTCAAATATCAATCCTTTTTTGTTCACATTTGCTGATCTCAAATTCTTTCTGTAGAAGAAATGAAACCATCCATCAAACTACACCAAAAACGTTACACCAGTGCCATCCGCGACCTCCCCAACGGCACTCTATACATGGCTTTCAACACCTCCGAACCGCAATACGTCGGGCCCCCCTCCCCCGAAATCGACGCTGCCTGGAACTCTCTCCTGCAAGGGCGCTACATCCACTTCACCACCAACGAAACCACCTGGCTCAACTCCGACCACGAGCTACCCATACTCGAGCAACTCCCCTCCCACGGCTCCTCAATCCCGACAACAGGATACTATGGGGGGCCCGACATGCTACACAGTCTGCACTGCATCAACGCTCTGCGCCAACACATTGACATGGATTATTACCACAATGAGCATGTGGCGTGGTTACCGGAGGAGTATAGGAGGATGCATATTGATCATTGTCTGGAGCAGCTGAGACAGGCGACATTGTGCCATGGCGATATGACTCCAGTCACGCTCAAGGCGATTTGGATGGATACACCGCGGTGGGCGGCGTTGGGGCAGACGGAGAGGATGCATACGTGTAGGGATGGGATGGCGTTGAGGGAGGCTACGTGGGACAGAGGGGAAGAGGTGGGGAGGATTTCTTTTGGAGGGAAGTAGTATGCTTGAAATTACATAGTGAGAAGGTTTCTTCATTTGTAAAGAGGTTTTATGTTGATTGTATACTAAATAAAAATGTATTGACAACCGCACATTAGTAGTCCTTTTGTCTAGTTAGCCCCACGCAAGATCAATATTGGGTCAGCTCAACTTTTGGTAACTATGACTGCGACAGATCATCATAAGAACGATTTGAGGGAGCAACATATTACCATTTAATCATTTGAAAAATTATCACCAGAGTCAACACTGATGCTCAAATGCCGTTATCCAGTCCATTACCCTTTTAGGGCATCAAAAGGACTATAGACATTCTGATTGGCTTGTAATGTTTCAAGCCAATAAACACTCTCACAGAGGCCCCACATATCAGTCGTCTCTTCGCTGATTGGCTGACAGTCCAGTCATAAGCGTCATGACGGGGTTAGTCAGGACAAGAATAATCAGAGTCCTTCCCTCCGCTTTGTTCGTTCGACAACATCCTCCCATCATTCATCTCTACCTCTAGACAAAACTGAGTACATTCGTGTCACTGCTTAATAAGCCTAATTCTCACATCCTCAACGGCCAGCAGCCCGCCGGTGTCGCTCTCCTGGTGGTACCGGAGTAAGCTCAACAACCCCACCACGGTGGCTCTCTGCGCTGTGGGGGAAAGGAGCTCGGCTCSTCCAATACGTACTCGACATCCCCAACCTCGTTAACCTGGCTTGCTGGCACTGGCTTCGACTCTGGAGACCAGCACCACCATTTAATCGCTTTGACGGTACTGAACCAGATTAAGCGACAGACCACGGAACTGACGGGAATATTCGACCAGAGCTAAACTCACGCGTGTCACGTCACGGTTATCTACCAGGCTGATATTCCGGCAACGAGAAAAGAAGGTTTTTAGACTTTCCGGCTGTGCCTCTCGCCTCCAAAATGGCTGCCGCCTTTGACGACGAAGACCTCTCCGTCTCGCTTGCGTCGATCCCTCCCAATCCGAATAACAGACAACAACGCGATCAATCGGCAGCCGATGCAATGTCCAACGCGAATCCCGCGGCGATGGCGATGCCGCCTCCACCACGTCCAAACAATAACGTCCTCAATGGACACCATAACGGCGGTAACCGCGGCTCTTCGGCATCTGTACAATCACCGGCGACACGGCGAGATATGCAACGGTTAGATCAATATAAGACGGTTGAAGTGTTGGGAGAAGGCTCGTTTGGCAAGGTCAAATTGGCGATTCATCAGCCTAGTGGACGCAAGGTTGCGCTGAAGATTATTCCTCGGCGGAAGTTGTTGTCAAGAGATATGGTCGGACGGGTTGAGCGTGAGATTCAGTATTTGCAATTGCTTCGGCATCCACATATCATCAAGCTGTATGCATCTTTCCTTACCCTTCCGGTCGATTTGGCTAATCAAGTATATTTCCTCTAGATATACCGTCATTCCCACAAAGTCGGATATCGTTATGGTCTTGGAATACGCCGAGAGAGAATTATTCGACTACCTAGTCAAGCGAGGCAAGTGCAACGACGACGAAGCGCGCAAGTTCTTCCAACAGATTATCTGTGCTGTCGAGTACTGCCATCGCCATAAAATCGTACATCGAGACTTGAAACCAGAGAATCTATTGATTGATAGCGAGAAAAACGTGAAGATTGCAGATTTTGGTCTCAGCAACATTATGACGGACGGAAACTTTCTCAAAACTAGCTGTGGAAGTCCTAATTATGCCGCACCGGAAGTCATTTCAGGAAAGTTGTATGCCGGTCCCGAAGTCGACGTGTGGAGTTGCGGAGTTATATTATACGTTCTACTCGTGGGCCGCTTGCCGTTTGATGATGACTATATTCCTGCACTATTCAAGAAGATCGCTGCCGGAAATTTCCATATGCCTTCGTATATCTCGCCAGGAGCTGCCAGGCTCATCCGAGCCATGCTACAGGTTCACCCGGTTCACCGAATCAGCATTGCTGAGATCCGACAAGACCCATGGTTCCTCGATGGTCTCCCTAAATATCTTCAACTACCCCAAGAGGAGTTTGTCACCACTGGAGCCGATCCAAATAAAGCAGTCGACCGTCGCAAGTTCGCACCGGGCAAGTCTACCAGTGTACAGCAAAAGATTCACGATTTTGCCATCAACAAATTGGAGCACAGCATGGGTTACAAGAAGGAGGAAATCGAAGATGCTTTGCGAAAGGCTGAGCCTAGTGCTGTTAAAGATGCATTCTTCATTATTGCCGAAAATGAATTGATGCAAACAAACTGTTTGTCTCCCTCTTATTTACTATTTACTGGTACTGATACAGCACAGCTCCCCAAGAAGACTCTCTCGATATGTCTTCTCCGCCAACACCCTCATCCCCCATGACCAATGATAGTAGTGGTTATAGTTCCCCGCGAGCTCCAAAATCTGCAGCGGCTGCACTTCGTCAAGAAAACGCACTTACACCACTGACACCTCACACCCGGGAAGCAACACCGCCACTAGCTCCTCCAAGTACCTGGGGGGCCATGCCAATGGAAGAAGAGCCTCGCTTAAGCCACGTGCGTATTCTTCCTACCAGTCTTCCATATGTTCACGATCAGATTATGGAGCAACGGGATGGTATCCGAGAACGCGCCAGGAGACAAAGGGCGGATGCCGAAGAGAAAGCTGGCATTTCTGAAGATCGCACTTTAGAACAGCAGGCGGCAACGTTCAGGGCTCTCAAGCCCCATGCTCGTAGCGTCGTTGATCTGGATAAGCTTCGATTAGAGCCGCCGGAGAAATTCCATGCGGCGCCTATGCCATCAAAGAGGTCAAGAAAGTGGCAGTTTGGTATCCGATCACGTAATCAGCCTTATGAAGCCATGCTATGTTTATACAAAGCTATTGAAGCGATAGGCGGTGTCTGGGAGATTATACCAGCCGAGCCAGGTGCGTAATTCCTTTGAGTTAAATGATATAGACTAACAGAAACAGAGGGCGACGCACCATTGGAAGAACTCGATCCGAACAAGCCCATGCCACTGCAACGAAAATACCCCGATCTACCATCAGACTACTACATCCCCAAAGATCCATGGTTCATCCGCGCACGTTTGTTAAAAGAAGGCGTTACAGCGCCCGGAGTATCACTCAGCGCCCACAGCAGCCGCAGTGATCTAGGTGATCTCCGCCGCAAAGTTAATCTCATGAACGCCTCTATCAGCGCCGAAGACAAAGCCGCCATTGCCGCCGCAGTGCAAGCCAACGCCGACAGCGGCGGTGGCGCGGGTAGCAGCAGCATCCCCAGCGCACCCTCATCACTGGAACATGTCCAATCAATGCGAATCTCGTACGGAGTATGGTGTTTCATCGACATCCAACTCTATCAACTCGAAGCTACCAATTACATGGTCGACTTCAAATGCGACGGATACCAAAACGTGATTCGAGCCGATATAGATGGCGAATGGCGACCGGTCAGCAAACGTATTCGCAATAAGGAGAAGGAAGTTACTAGTCCTTATCCTTATTTGGATGTTGCGTCGGATTTGGTTGCTCAGCTGGCGATTGCCAGTTAGGCAAGTATATATTGAGCATTTTTCTCTTTGGTGTTTTTGGTATACTTGCGTGAACGAACAAAAGGGAAGACCCTTGTCGATATGTATGTGGTTTTCTTAGCGGGGCGTTTCTTCTTTTCGTTTCATCAGTATGGACAGCGACGGTGTTTTCCTTTTATTTTTGTCTATCTATTTTCTGTCTACTTGATATCCTGAGGTTGATAATCTCCGTTTGAGATTTCCCGGTACAGGTGAGGTACAGAGGTCTACGTGTTTATTTTTGTACTTTTGCACTCGAGTGTGTGAGTGACATGTGTCATGGGCACCGAGTAGGTAGTTGAATAGTTAGTTATAGGTATAGCCATGAGTGACGAATTTCATTCTATTTATATTTCTTGCACGCTCTTGACACCTGCCTCAAAAGTTTTTGTCAATGAGTCAAATGTACATGTAATTCAGGATGGTCATTTATTTAGATAGGGTTCCGGGTATCCCGTGGCATCAACCACAACACTATATATATGGATAGCGACTGAAGTGGAGTAGACTAGGTATAACACAACCCGTGTGACTTTTAATGGTTAAATCGGCGATGTTCTCGGAGGATAACGATCCGATTGATTCACTGTCGGGATATACGTTTTATCTGCATACGTAGGACGGATACGTGACATCGATAGTCATGATCAATCGAAGGATTGTTGAAGTCCAACGTACATAGCCTCGGTTGAGCCGGGATTGACAACGCCAGAAACAGGATAATAGACAAATATCCCAGCCACCCAATTACTTTTCGCGTGGGCCTGTGAACCAAATGTGTACTAACCAAGATGAGAGAACATTCGAACAACAGACAGATGGGGGGCCAGAGTAACAGAAATAGACGTTGGTTTGACGTCACCACCCCTCCAACCCCCCTCTCCGCCAGCCCTAATCAATGTGATCATACCACTTTAGGACCATCAAGAAAGCTAATGGAAGAGCCAAAAACCAGAATTTTCGGCTTTCTAGCTTTCGGAAGTTTTATCCATCCTGTCCTTGTAGTTGCCAATTAGTCAATGTAGGCTAATAATGGTGTTGCGTAAGGGGAAGTAATCCCATCATGACAGGGTATGGGTCATGCTACTATAAATTCTCTGTAGTTCAGCCTATCCCACACGGGTTGGTCAGAACCGGGAAGTACTGGAGAATATCAGTCTGGTGCTAGTAGGTGGATGGTATATCGTAGCTGCCTGCCCCTCTCGTCTGGATTCATTCTACTTCTTTTGTGTTTGGTTATGGTTGGGGAATTGCTTCGACAAATTAAGGGATATCACTACAATACACTCTCTACGGATCAATCAAGCCTTGGACTGAGCAAAATCTACAAGTATCGAAGTCTTCAATTGATATAATCTTATATAATCGTCTACAACCATGGTACGTCCTATCCCACCATTCTGTCGGTAGCATCCGAACCAGAACCATACAACACGGACTCTGTGCTAAAAACATCACACTATAGGCACCCATCACCCTACAATCCCGACAATCAACAACCTCCACGTCCGACACATGCCCCAGCAGCCTCTCCGGCGGCGCAATTGCCGGCATCGTCATCGGCAGCATCGCCGGCACATTGCTCATCATCTGGCTCATCAGATCCTGCTTCCTGCCGGGGGCGCCAGGTAACCGCGACCCTGAAGGTACCGGTAGTGCGCCTGTGGTGTACTCGTCAACACGGCCAAGACGTCAGCGACGATCGAGAAACTATAGGGATGGCCCGGATTATGTGGAGTATATTGAGAAGTCGCCTGTGCGGGTGAGTCGCAGTCGGACGAGGAGGGGGAGTGTGGTGAGTCAAGTTAGCAGGCCTGAGAGAGTTTACATTTCTTGATTCAGTCTCTACCTGCCTACTTCAAATTGATTAGATTGGCCGGATGCGGGTGACAGTGTGATTGAAAGAAAAGCATATTGACGGATGACTGTCCTGAGAGAATGCAATGATGTACGTTGTTTTTCTTAATGTTGATGGCTGATGAAGATGATGAACTATTTTTGTATACCTACATATTATATGTTAATAATGCATTTACTACGGAACATAGTACTATGTACTGCTGAAGGATAATGTAGAAGAGAACATGACGCAATGATAGGGTAGGGTAATAGACTAGGGCAGGGTTATGAACGGCACGTGCTGATTGGGCAGGGTCGGGTCGGATTCACGGCGATTCTCCTTTCCTCGAGGCCATCCCAATTAAGCAGTTCGTATCAGCGCGTCACAAGGATATCCCAGACACTAGTCAGTCATCCTATCTCTATCTCTATCTTCTTCCATGCGTCTCAACATCTACTCTTCACAGGCACCAGCGCCACTGTCTGAGAATAACCGTGGAATAAGACGGGTCACAACTAGCACACAATGGCCTGGCCGTACAAGTCTGATACAGGGAAGATTACGCCGGGAACACAAAATAGATTAAATAAGGGGCACTTGGCCGGAGATGAGCCCAATCAGGTGAGACGGCAGGGGAAGTAAAATGGCCCGCTATGAGCCTCATTGGGCCAATGTGCGGCTGCCGTTGACCACTACCTACTATAGTACATAGTAGGTACGTAACAGGGGAACATCAATGCACGATCTTCTCGGCAGTCTGGAGATAATGTCAGCATGCAATCAAGCTGTAAGATAGAGCAAGGAAGGTCGATATCCATGTACTAAAAATTGGAAAGAAGTACATATTATGTCCGGTCGAACGTGGGCGATGTGTTGATGCGACAGAATCAACAACGTCGCAGAACTATGGTAGAAAAAATCATCGTAAAAATCGTAAACATCGTAAAATACGTAAAATACGTACGGAAGAATATGAAAAAAAACCGCGGCGTGCGGCGGCGCCAGACTTGGTTCAGGCACCAGCCAATCACTTGCTCTATGTCCCTTCTAGCGCCGCAGCCCCCTTCCTTTCCTTGCTGGACTTCTCGCTCTCAACCTCACCCACAGACTCCTCTTTTGCCAGAGAGTCTCACTAACGTCTCTTAGCCTGATGGACTGGGGGGCCCTTTCCCTGACCTTCACTATGTAGTTTTACTCTCCGTCTTCTCCCTATGGTCCACCGCCAACGAGACCAGTCCTGTTCGGGAGAAAGCGTTATCTGCTGTGGCTGCAGAGGAGAACACCCCGTTCCTGCCGCCGCCTCGTTCAGTCTCATGCAGTAATCAATCTCTTTCCACTCTCTTCTCCTCTCACGACACTACTGTTTGACACTCTCTTTCCGTCTAGACAATTGAATTTCCCCGGTCCTTTTCGATGTTGCTCTTTCTGACCGAGTAACTGTCATTCTTTACTACTCTCAACAATCATATATACACTCATTTATATTACCCCGGGGCTCATTCCTTTGTACCCGTGTATACAACACAGATTCCTACCACTTCAGTAGGTAACGTGTGGAGAAGTCTCCCACAACGCCTTTCTTTTGCTTTCGATTCGATTATATACAGTCATGATGCGATCTTCAGTATTGGCTGCCCTCGTGGCTGCTCTCGCCTCGACCGTCTCGGCACAGACATCCACGTCCTGTCAACCCCTAAACGAGACTTGCCCGGCGGACCTGGCCCTCGGTACAACACATACCTGGAACATCAGTTCCAGCTCGCAACTAGACGACACCTGGAACATCACTAACGGTGTGCTCAACTACACCAACGACGCCGTCGGATTCACAATCAACAAGGCACTCGACTCGCCAACCATCAGATCAACATTCTACCTCTTTTTCGGCCGTTTGGAATACCACGTTCGGGCTGCTCCCGGCCATGGTGTGATTAGCAGTGTGGTGCTTCAATCAGACGATCTAGATGAAATCGATTGGGAATGGGTAGGCTCAGAACCTAACCAAGTTCAGACAAATTTCTTCGGAAAGGGACAGACCATTGCTGGTACGGCCGAATACTTCAATATCAGCAGCAGCACCCACGACGAATATCACAATTACACGACATGGTGGGACAAGGAAAAGCTCGAGTGGTGGGTCGATGGGCAATTGCTGCGCACTGTAACACCCTCAAACGCCTCCAACAGTACCTACGACTGGTACCCTCAGACTCCCATGAACATTCGTATTGGGTCATGGCCCGGTGGTGACCCTTCTGAGCCCAAGGGTACAATTGAGTGGGCTGGAGGTGAGATTGATTACACTGCTGGTCCATATACCATGTATGTGTCGCAGGTTACGGCACAGGATTTCACCACGGGCAAGGAGTACAATTACACCGACCACACGGGAACATGGGAGAGTATTAACGTTGTTTCGTAAGTCTATACACAAATGATAATGTACGTCGGATCTTGGAAATGAACTAACAGATACAGTGGCAACTCTACGGTCGAACAAGAACTCAATGCCGTGCACCTCACTCTCTCCCAGAGATGGAACAACCTCTCTTCCGGCGCCAGGATCGGTATTATTGTCGCCGCCGGCTCGGTGGTTGGTCTCAGTGCCCTCGCCTTCTTGTTCTGCTGCATCCGCCAGCGACGACTCGGCAAGCGTGAATGGAATGCCCAAAACAACCAGTGGACGCAGGAGCGTACAAATATGATGAATATGCAGGCCGAATGGAGACAAAAAGGATACGTTGAGATGAAGTAGACATCCTATATATATCTATCCAGTTGATATATAAAGCTATGTCTCGATGATGCTTTTGCCTTTGCCATACTTTTCTCTCTTTGATCTTGTTTTCAGGCGAAGAGAGAAAAGCACCTTATGATCTTTACAAATTCGCTTCCGCTAGCGTTTCGCTTCTCTGTCTATATTCCATTCTTTTCGTTTTGACGCATCGTCATCATCTCGACCTCCGATACCACTATCCTGTCTCCGACTCATCTTCACCTCTCTCTCGATCTTTCCCGCTCACAATCACTCACGTCCACCCGTCATTCGACCTTCCCGACCTATCGATGGCCCAAGACCCATCTTCCGCCCTTTTCCTTATTTCTCGTCGTCCCCAAACCACCGTTTCCGTACAGAGGTGGTGGGCGCTCTGATATATTTCCAATTCTGGAGTTCGTTGTTTATTTACTGGTGTTCTTTTATTTGAAGTACAATCTTGACTGAAATTTCCTGACTATTTATATGTTTTTATTCTGATTGGATGTTGTTGCTGTTTCTTTGTCTATAGTAGATGTTAGGAGGGGTGCTATGGGGAAAGGGGGAATCAGAATTGATTGATACGTTCATTACTCGCGTATACTGTATTCTCCATTCACCTTTTCAGTAACGTGGCCTATCGCCTATCCGCATCAGTGTTTCCAACGTCGTTAATGTGTGTAACTCGAGACCATTAGTCAAGCTTCTGCTACTGACCATGTTCCATATATACACCGACAGAAGTATCACAAGATTTGACAAACCCTTCACCTTGAATGCTTTCGTGGTCGTCTGACATGTTTCCACAGAGTCGTAGAAGAAGGATCTCAAAAGCGCGAAATTGGCAGCTTGACAAACCTGGAACCCTAGAGCTCCAGCCTAAGAGGCTCTCTATACACATATCTTGTTGAATATAGTACTCAAGGAAAAACGTTCAGGACTCTCAGTCCTCTTTCGATTAGGTAGCTGAATCATATCGTTTCATTGATTCTTAGATCACTTTTTCCAGTTCTAAATTTCACAGGGAATCCAAGATTGAATCGACGCTGGTACAACAATTCATGGACAGTACCTAGGTACCTATGGATGGATGGATTGAAAGGCCATACCATATATATCATTCGAGACAAAGTGCGCTTAGCAAAGCTATCAAGAAATGTACATAGTTTCCTTCATCTGGGTCAACATGTCTTCTTGTAGTTAGATGGATATGGATATGTATGGAGTGGAGGGTGTATGTAGGAGGGTATTATATTATCTATGTCGAAGAGTAGAGTAATAGAGACGTGAGAAGCGATAGGTGGTATGCCCTTATGCAGATATTAAGTAAACGATCCCTTCTATGGCTCAACCGGAACGCCATCAATGAGAAGCAAGCAGAAAGTATGAATGGGGAATCAATATACAGAAAGATAGAGCAGCCTAACACGCAGCAGCCGCACTCTCAACATCCACCTTGGGAGGAGCATCCTTCTTCCTGATATCCTTCCAACCCATCCCCCATGACACCAAGAACATCAAACTGGCGGCACCAGCTGCAAACCAATACACCGCATCCACACTCTTTGAGTACGCAAGCAACGTACCTGCCAAACCCACAGGATCATTACCCACCGCAGCCCTCACAGCCGGCCCCGAACCMCCCGCCGCAATCACCGCGGCTGTATTAACGCTAGGTGCATATTTCGGGATATTTACTCGCAATTGATTTGAGAGGATGGTTTCGCCAATAGCCAAAAACACAGCTCCGCCAAAGGTCTGTCCGAATGTGACAAGGGCCATGGCGACGGGAACGAATTTCGGGTTTATGCTGTTTTGCACGGCGATAAGGGGCATTTGCATGCCTAGGCCACGGCTGAAACCGAGTAGGATTTGGTAGCCAATCCATTTGCCGGCGGAGGTTGTGGGATTCAGGGTTGAGAGGAGGCCGAGGGCGACGGCGCTGAGGGAGGACGATGCCACGATCCAGGGGAGGTAGTAGCCCAATCTTCCGACTTTCAGATTGTTAGTTAAATGAAGATATACAGAGGGGAAAAAAAAAAACCAGAAGGAGGGGGGGGGGAGGCTTACCAAATGCGCCAGAACTGACGGTAGAGATCAACTGACTCAACACATTGGGCAACATGTGCACACCACTCACAATCGCAGTCGAGCCCCGAACCGTCTGGAAGTAAATCGGCAGATAATACGACGCAATCTGCAAGCAACCAAAGAACAAAAACATCACAAAACAGGACGTCCAGACATGTCTGATTTTCAGAATCGAGAATGGAGCCATGGCATTATCGCCCTGATAGTATTCCCACACCCCGAAAACGATGGTCGTCGCACCGGAGCCGCAGAACAAGCCGATAATGGTGGCGCTGTTCCACGCGAATTTACTTCCGCCCCATTCCAGAGCCAGAAAGACTTGGATGGCTGCAGGCGCGAAGAGGAAGAAGCCCATGATATCGAGTTTGCGGGTGATGATGGTCATGATTGAGTCGGTGCGCGGTTTGACTACTTCGGGAACGTCGATGAAGAATAGCATAATCACGCCTGCGACGCCGCCGACAGGGAGGTTGATGTAGAAACACCATCGCCAATTAACGTATGTGGTGAATGCACCGCCGATGATTGGGCCTAGAATCGTGCCCATTTGAGCAAAGCCCATCATGATACCGAAGTATTTTGGGCGTTTGTGTAGGGGCATGGAGACCGATAGGATAGTTAAACCACCGTTCATTAGTCCTGAGGAACCGATACCTGCAATGGCGCGGCCGATGATGAGCATTGTAGAGGATTGGGCGACGCCGCAGATGAGGGAGCCGACTTCGAATATGAAAAAGCAGGCAAGGTAGATGTTCTATCCCGGGATTAGTTGAGATCGTGAATATGGGATTGAAAGAAGGGTACCTTTGCGCGGAAATTGGAGTAGACTTTTCCGGCAAGTGGTTGCAGAGAAGCACTATGCTCATGATGTTAGAGATGCATCAAGTCTGAGGTATGGAAAGCGACATACCAAGCCAACTGATACGCAGTTCCGTACCAACCCACATCTTCCAATGAGTTGAAATCACTCGTGATCTGGGGCACAGCCTGGTGTCTTTATTAGCATCATCCCTTGTTAGCGTTCAGATGAGGTGACATACGGTGGAAACAATAGTGATATCAATCATAACCAAAAAGAAGATCAAGGTCATGGATGCCATGAGGACATATAGCTTCATACCCTCGACATAGTGTACGGTGGACGTCGTGCGCGTCAGACCTGCTTGGCCGGCGGTGGCATCGTTCACTTTCTGAGAATCTTGCTCTTCTTCGTCTTCGGTGTCATGATTGTGTCCTATTTCTTTCTCTTTTTCGTTTTCTTCATAGCCGACGGCGTTTCTGTCCATGGCTGTGGTTGTGGTTGTATCAAGACTTGCAGACTCTGCATTCAACTTCTTTGATTCGTGGATCGCTGTGTTGTGGTTGCTCTCCTCATTATTCAATGTCGGAGTCGCAGAGACTGATGTATGATCGTCTGCCATGATGTCTAATATCTTTGACCATCAACTGAAATCACTTTTACCAGAGATGTCAGGCTGAAAGGAAAAAGTTGGGTATTTATCCCATTCGTCGTTGGAGGATTCAATATTTATTCTGCATGGAAAGGGAAGTAACCCCACGGAGATAAGCGTCGAAATTATTAAGTGCGTGTAGGAGGGTCGGGATTGCTGGACTTTCCGAATCCCGTCTGACTCAGACCACTCTTCATTTCCTGACTAAGTAGATGTTCAGGAGAGCTGATGCTTGAAGTCTTAGCTGTATGAACGTGGAAGCCTAGAATGCCGGAGCTTGATTTGAAACAATTCTTAATCAGATGTGGTGAGGTTGTTTTACTTCATGTTTGTGAAAACCGAAACCCGGCTTGAGGAAGAACATTGATAATCAACATGTGTTTGTGTAACAAGTGACATAATCCTTTGATTGAGTGCCATGCAGTACTCCGCATGGGGATGATCTATCACACTGAAGAGTGTCAAAGATTGACCAAGCCGAAAGAACATGCGGCAACTTCCCTCCAGTTTGGGTATTATTGTATGATCAATCTACTCGGGTCCTTGATACAGTGGTTACGTATGTAAGGGTCGAAGGAATTAAGCTCACTGATTGATTTCCCCGTTGGATGGCTTGTACAAATTAATTTTTCTGTCATGAATATTTTTCATCGACTTTGATTTGATACATGGAGGCAGTACGCAGGCAGCCGTCTATAACTGTCTTAGAGTTAGATGCACACTTCTACAAAAATCGGCTTACGGCCGAACCCACCATCGTATTCGTCCGATTCATACTCCGTACTGCCCAATAAAAACGTGTATAGAATTTGTTTGGCTTACTGGCTTACTCCCTTCTACCCAATCGAAGCCTATCGCTAATACGAACCCTTAAATCCTTCTGAAATCCGTCGAGAGTAGTCGAAGTCCGTTCCTACTTGGCCACATGCGGCATCTCTGGCCGGCGGTCATAGCTCTCGGAATATCGGCGAGTAAGCAATTAAGAGCTTAAGCTTATTTAGTTGGTGGTTGCGTGTTGCTGACCGCAATCACTGCTCGACCGTCGGAAGTCGGCGATGTGAATCCCGCTTCCCGCTTGAGACGACTGTTTTCCTATTCGGGTAAATTCAATGATTTTAGCTCGTTTGCTCGATCTGTTCGTGCACTATGGAAGCGCTGGAGAAATCATTCAGTATAAAATTGAGATAGATTGTGATAGATTCGTAAAAATTATTAATATTATCCGTATATCTTCCCCCCATTATACAAATCCCAAAACCCGAATACATCCTCCGCCCAGGGCTCCTGATTGAAATACGGAAACATCTCTGGCGGAAATGGGGGTTGCATTTGTTGCGCCAACACCGCTGCTGTAGCTGCTGCTGTCGATTGATTTTGCCCGTTCATCATGAGCATGTGCGATGAATCAGGCTGTCGCGTAGTCTGCATCTGTTGTTGCTGTTGCTGTTGCACTGACTGCTCCCGTCGCTCCTGTCGCTGGGTCTCCTGCTGCTGCTGTCCATCAGACTTCAAGCCTGGCCACGGATTCTCTACACTAGGGGGCTGCGTCGGTAGTCCCGCAAAAACTGCATTTGTCCAATTCATTAATCCGACCATATGCTTCCGCGACCTTCGATGAATATCTTCTTCATTGTTCGATTTCCAGGGTTCTAAATTCGCGACGTAGTCCAGATTAGAGCAAATAACATCAAATACCGCCGGAAGATTGATGGCCTGCTTGACGTGCTCAACGTCCCAGGCGGGATCCTCGAGGGTCGCGAGGCGCATAACCGTGTGAATTACGAGGCCGAATTGTTTCCAGAGCGTGATGGGAACGCCGATGTAGTTTGTTGGTCCTAACGTCAGGAACAAATCTTTCCAGGAGCGAAGCGCTTGGGTGCAGGCGATGAGACATTGCATGGTCTCAAATTCGTGATCGGCGGCTAGCGGGACGTATTGCACGCGAACGAGGGCGGTCTCGTAGATAGCTATTTCGACGTAGAAAGTAGTGAGTTGTACATCTTCTGTGATTGATTTAGTCAACATCGTATCATGAAAGAAGCCGTGTAGACGCACTATTCTCAGCAACATAATCCGGCATCTGATTCTTCAAGCTATTCAATTGGCATTTCAGCGCCCGTATATACGGCACAATCATCTGCGTCGTTGCCTCATTTTCGCAACCACGCAGTCGCGCGTATAATCTGTTGATATTGCTCAAAATATGCATGAACTTCACGTGCGTAACCTGAAAACCATCGGCGCGCGTCTCTTTGCCTTCGTCCAAGATTTTCAAAACCTCTTCGTGGTATGTTGACCAGGGGATGGATTCGACTTTGCGGTGGAAGAAGGCGCAGCTTGTACAAATTAATGATTGATCTTTAATATTTATGAACAAGAAGAAAGATACCTTGCACTAAAACTATACGCAGCCATAGCAAGTCGGCGATGCTCCATGGTCCTCGATTCGGGAATACTAAATTTGGCGGACCATTTGGGCAGCAATTGTTTGCCCGGATGTTTGTTATATTCACTTTGACAGGGCTTATCCAATTCCAGATCAACCAGAATGGCAGCGGCGAGGTGAGCGAAAGTGGTAAGTATAGGACCGAGTGGAAGGAAATAAAATGCCCTGGACAATAAGTACTAGAATATCATGAAGGTAAAGGAAGACACACCAATGACCAAATGTTAGTATAGCCAACAACAGATCCGTCGTCCTCTCTCCATTAACAATGACCTCGCGAGCAACCAACTCTTTGAAAGCTCGTCCTAGGCCCAACTGTTTCGATACAAACGGACATGCAACAGCCAGAGCCCCTAACCACAAAGCAGGTTTGTCCTGCCGTAACTGCGTGGATGATGTATTCTGGATATAGGGAATGGCAAAGGGGACATGTTCCAAGTAATAGGTCTGGAACGTGTGGAACCAAAGTTCAGCCTCGTCCACCGTGGGCTCAACATCACGCGGAAGAGGGTATGTAAAAGATGAAGAGGAGCTGGACGCTGGTGTGATGGGCGCTGATCCGGTTTGAGGTCTGGGATTTTCCGGGTAGGATGCTTGAGCAGGAGCTAAACATGATAAAGGATGGGGTTGTTCATATCCATGCCCATATTTGGATGAAGATTGGGGTGATGGATCAGGGGTGCCATTATCAGTATCGCCAATACTTGCGTTTGGTAACGCGATTGCGGAGATGCTTGGAGCCAAAGCTTCGGTAGCCTCAGCAGATAGACTTCCTTGGGAATTAGCTTTGAGCAAAGACACAAGTCCGTCTAGTTTCTGTTCCAGACGAGCAGTTTGCGACGAATGTCTCGGCGTAGCCTTCTTTTTCCGTACAGATGACGAAGGTCTGCACTCTTTCTTTAGGCGGAAGCATCTGCAAGCTTTAGTATATACAAAATTCAGGATGATGTAGGGAAAGATACCTTTCACAAATCTCTCCTCCATTCCGAAGAATACATTTACATTTTGCGCGTACACAATTAACGCAAGCACGGCCATATGGCGCCGGTCTGGAAGTCAAGGTCGACGCCCCTGGCCCTAAGACAGCTGCACCTGCAGCGTCATCGGCAAAGTTACGATCCATAGTCAATCAAACGGGACAGGCATTCAATTCTTCCTGAAAAAAACTCCGAGTCTTGGTTGCGTCCACATCAACTCCGCGTCATGCACAAATGGAATGTGTTTGACAGCTGGATTCCGTCGGTATCGAAGGATCCGGATATTGGATTTAAGCACTAAAGTAAACGATCAGCCCTGCCAATTGATTTGTAACCCAAGCCTTTTAGTTTGTTTTCCAGAAAAAAAGATTAATAATGTAAAATACAGGTCAATAATTGTCCATGTTGAAGGTCTTTCAGCTTGGGCAAAACGAAATCCGGCGGGGATTTCAGGACGAGCGGAATTCGGAATTCTATTTTTTCCCAAAGCCGTTGCCCCGCAATTAACTCCTAGGCTCGCAGATGACCAATCACATTGCTTTTGTCGTCACGTGAAAATCGGGCTCGCCGCCTGGCCTCAATGGCCTATAAATACGGGACGCCGAATCGGGCGATGAGCGACGTCTCTTCTTCGACCGTCTTTTTGCAAGACTACATCCTCCCTTTCGCGCAGTATGTCTGCACCGAGCACACGAATCCCCAGGCCGTGAAATTTGCTGAGATCCTCGAGCTGAGTATATCCAGCATTCTTCATCATTTGTCTGGCAAGCGAGACATCTCTGCTTATCAACAAGTTGCTCCCCTAATTCGGTCTCCATGATTCTTCCGATATGACCGTAGTCGCGTCTTTTGTTTGGATGTGCTGATTCTAATTCGTCAGGGGTCTTGGACCACCATTTACCATTTATTTGAGGTGTATATTCTTCTGATGTTTTGCCGTTGGCGCGCCAATTCCAGGGTAAGCGGACTTTAGAGGCTTGTTGTGAGTCCTCGAATTCTGCTTGACTCAGACCGGTTGAACTCCTGGTCAATTATCAGTCTTTTGCGAAACTTGTATAATTCGTGAACCTAGCATTCTACTTACTTAGGGACTGGCAAAGGGGAGACGATAACTTCGTCTGCGAGAGACGGAGATCTGGTGACAGCTTCGTGTTCGTCTTGAGGAGACTTGGATGTGGCCACGACTTCCTCTTGAGAAACAAGGAAGGACTCTGGCTCCTCTGGGGAAGATGGGATTCTGGCAACATCCTCCTTCTCAGGAGTGGGCGCTCTAGTCATAGCCTTCTCTTGATAGCACGGTTCATTGGCTATATGTTCTTGAACAGACGGGGTCCCAGCGATAGTCTCTTTCTGAAGAGACTTAGATTTCTCCAGGCCTTCATCCTGATAAGGGGAGTTGATTGTAGGCCCCTCTTGAGGATTTGAAGATTCCGCATTTTCCTGACGGGGTGATTTGGCCAAATCATTACCCGCCGAATTGTTTGTATAAGTCACAAAAATTCCAGACCTTATCCTGCGGAGGCGGGCAAGAATAGAGCTTGCCATGGTTACCTCGGTATATATAGACGATTGATGCAAAATACAGCTGAATGGAAAAGAATTGATATAAGAAGAAACAAGTATGGGCGCGAGGCCCGTAATTTGACTCGAGACCACCACAAAAATGAGGTTTTTCGCGTCGAGAAAATTGATTAGTCCAGTTGGTTACAGTTGTGGGGCCGGGGAGATCAGTTGTTTGGTGCCTGAGGCATCAGTATAGTCTCATGCCCCTTATTTCAATACCTTATTTCGGTCCAGTAAAGATGTAACTATGTACGACTTCTCATATCAACAACCAAAGGCTCCTCTCCCCTCTTCGCTCTCCACCGATTCGTCGACTCAATCAATTCATCACAACCAACAAGCATACAAGCCCACTTCTTCACAAACCCTTCCATCAATTCCCACGAATACACATCCCACGGCTCCCCCCAGACAATCATTCCATCTCTCTCATCATGCTTGCTCACCTCCTCATCATACATCGTCCCCAAGACATCGTCACAAAGGTCGCATTCATCAATCGTGCCTCGGAGTCGTATGAGATTATCTCGTAGAGCGGGCAAAGGAAAAATATCAATCCATGCTTCGTGCGGGATTGAGCGCTGTAGTGGTGTGGGTATAAGTGTTGGTGGGATTGCGTTTTCTGGAAGGGGGGTGACTTCTAGTAAAGGCGCGGATAATGAAGCGATTGTTGTTTTGGGCTCTTCGCAGCTAAAGAAGCAGGGAAGGGACAGGATGGTCATGTTTGTGAGTAGGGCGCGGAAGACGTTGAAGTGGACTAGGGTGAGGAGGTAGTCCGTTGAGAGAGGGAAGTAGAATGGGCGATGCCTTGAAGATGCCGAAGCCGAGAGCATTAACATCTTCGTTCTATCCACTTCCGAGGATGTGGTGGATCCTCGAGATGACTTGACTTGCTCCTTGCGACGTCCTAAACCCCTGTAAGAGTACGCTTTGTTAGGATGGCATCCTTGACTACTTACGACGCGCTCGCTGATTAAGTCTGTTCTGTCTTCTGCGCCGAGCTTGTGCATCTGTAAGGCCTGTCCAATTATCATCATTGATCATCGCCTTGTATCTCGTCAGTACGAAGTATCGAAATAAAATGGTTACCAAGGAAAGACTGACTTCATCAAGAGGCCGCATAGGCCGCAGCAAAATACGTGTCTCCATTGCTACCAAAAAATGAGGATTTTTAAATTCCGATAAGAAATATGTTGCAATAATATAACTCAGGATATGCAGCCTGCTGACATGCAGCGGAACGATGTTTAAATAAATTAGAGTCGACGCTAATCATGCAGCCTGCTGACAGAGCCCGCTAAACCCTAAACGTGTGATGGGGCGTACTCCCGAAAGGGTAATTTTCTCTCATGTAGATGCCAGAAGATCAATTGATATGACATGGTGACTTCAATGAGTAGTAGAAGCTGCTAGAAAGGATCGAGCAAGGGACTATAAAATCGAGGCGTTTTCCCGGCTCCCTTGATGTAAGGTCAAACGTTCGTTTTAATCATACCTACTATCTACTGAGTTGTGAATTTATATTCCTTGGCTAAGAAGAAAAAGATGGCCGAAAAGCCGCTCGTTCTCGTCACCGGCGGTACCGGCTTCCTCGCCGGCTGGATAATCATCCTCCTCTTCCGTCAAGGCTACCGCGTCCGCACAACAGTCCGCACCTTATCTCGAGCCGCCGCAATAGAATCCTCCCTCCGTGCAGCCGACGGAATCACCGAATCTCAAATCTCATCTTTGCAGGTCGTTGAAACTGATCTTCTCAAAGACGACGGCTGGGCTGAAGCTGTCAAGGACGCTACATATGTACTCCACATCGCATCCCCATTTCCGGCTGCCCTACCAAAGCATGAAGACGACCTCATTATTCCCGCCCGTGAGGGTACGCTGCGTGTACTTAAAGCCGCCCGCGATTCGGGGTGTGCTACTCGTGTTGTGATGACTAGTAGCTTTGCGGCTGTTGGATACGGACATCCTAAGGAACGTAGTCAGAGTGGTGTCCCTTATACCGAGAAGGATTGGACAGATCTCGGACCTGGAAGTACTGTGCCGCCATACAACAAATCAAAGACTCTAGCCGAGCGCGCCGCATGGGACTTCATGAAGAATTTGGAGAGTCAGAGTAACAGCAAGCTTGAGCTTGCCGTTATCTGCCCAACCGCCATACTGGGACCCGCACTCGGTAAAGACGACGCCTCTAGTCTAAAGACCGTGGGCGAGCTTCTGAGTGGTGCTCTACCTGGATCTCCAAAACTACAATTTGGTATTGTCGACGTCCGCGACTGTGCTGATATGCACTTGCGAGCTATGACAGAGCCTAAGGCCAAGGGAGAACGATTCATATGTGTGGGCGAAGGAAGTCTTTGGCTAGAAGATATAGCTAAGATTCTAAAAAAAAACATGGGATCAAAAGCAAGAAAAGTACCGACTATGGTGCTGCCAAATATAATGATGCGAGGTGTGGCACTTTTCTTGCCTATTGTGCGGCTTGTTTTGGGAGACTTGGGGGTCGCCAAAGAGATCAGTAATGCTAAGGCGAGAGAAGTGCTTGGTTGGCAGTGGCGATATTCAAGTGAACAAGCGGTGATGGCGTCAGCTGAAAGTCTTATTAAATTCGGTATGGTCAATGTGTAGAGTGTGACGGACTGGAATCGAACAGGAGCATGTCGTCGTGCACTACTAAGGTTACTGTTAGGCAGGGAGTTATCATACATTCAACTAATAATTATCTACCTACTCATTATAAGGGCCTTAATCTTCTTTCCCAGCTTCATTTCCACCAAGTTGCTCATCCTCAAATTGAACATAGGCGCAATACGCGCCTTCTTATTACAAAGAAGTCGACTTCACAGCCTCCATTATTAGCCTCATGCCCGCTGAGATCCTCTCTAAATCGACTCTCAAGATTCCCCTTGAAATAACAATTCATATGACCAGCCGTAACAAGTACATTCTTTGTACATACCTAGGTAGTCATTGTGGTCAAGATTTGACTTGTGTCCTGTTTGTATGCATACCTGTAATCAGGAGTCTAGTATTTAAAATCACCATACACATTTGCGATTAGGTTAATCAAGGAGATTTCTCGAAGGCTATTTTGAACATATAAAGATTGTATGGCCACGTGAAGCACTAAGCCCTAATGGAGGGAGCTCGAGAAGTCTAAGGATAGAGTAATAGCTAACAAAGTAGGATACAGGAGAAGAAAGAAAATCGAACTAATATGTAGAAAAGAAGTAAAAATATGTAAAAGAAGAAGAAAAGGGGATAAATTATATAAAAAAAGGGGGGTATATGAAGAAAAATGAGCTGTCTATTGAAGGGGTGATGGGGTTCATGGATGGATTGATAATAGACCTTATAGGAATACCGGACTAAATCATTCTCATTCTTCGACAGTATGGTGGTCCACATCGTTCAAAACTTTATCTATCGCATCCTGAGACAAGTGCTTCTCCCAGCAGTAATTGTCGGTACCGCCAGGAGGACGATTGCGGTATAAGAACCCGTTAAGTCCATCGACAGTCGGCTCAAAGTCATTGTGGATGTTCTCGGGTGAAGTAACCGAGCCATGAAGAAAAGTGACTGTAAATGCGATCCATTTCTCGATCAAATTGCATGCTGTTGTGGACCTTGGGCTCCGAAACTCAATCGTATATTTTGGGTTAGAACATACTGATGGGTCATTCGAGTTGTTTGTGAAATTCCAAGCGTACTTTCGTTGACTGAAATCGCTTCGCCCATCCGGAGGATTCATGATATAAATCAGTTCTTCAACTGTTTTAGTCTCTTGAATGACGGAAGAAGGACTTTTTCCTCGAGGCAGTTTGTTGAGAATCGGGTTATCTCTCAAGTTAGACTTAAGGAAAGCTTGCGTGTAATTGTGATTGGGGAAAAGCGTATTCAGGGGGTTATCAAAGTGAATAATTGCTTCAGCGATGCGTTTAAGATCGACAAGGCTCCAACGACCATTAACAGGCGAGACGTGGATATGGATCCCAGTGGTATCATCCATCTCCGGTCGTGTGTGGCGAGATATAAAGTCCGACAACCTTTTGATTTGATTTGCCCATTTCAAGCCGTTCCTGTAGTGAAAGATAGGCGATACAAATTCAAAGGAAACTAGAATGATCAGACTTGAACAGCAATAATGAAGGATAGAAACTGACAAGCTGGAAAAGACTGCCCGCCATCCATCGAGTGTTCATCCACTATGCTCCAAGCTTGAAAATCTTCGGTCTGACCCATTGAATATCCAGATTCCATTGAAATATGGTCATCAAATCTATTCCCAGCATCATTCCACAGTTTTGCGAGTTGACCCCGAACCTTTGGTCTATCAAAATATGTCCTTTGATTATCTCTCAACGTCAAGCGATATTCAAGCTCGATGCCAAATCTATAACCGTCTGCATGGGAATCTTGCTCCATTTGATACTACAGCAAGAATTTAGTTGGCTTGACTGTGGCGTCGATGTTATTGTAACCTAAGCTGCTACGGGAACAGCTTCTAGCAGTATGAATCCTTTTCTCCTGTTGGCGGCTGTAGCAGAGAAAAAAACGCTGCTTGTAGATTCTGAAGAGCTTATACTACGCATTGTAGAGGAAAATGAGACTCTTAATATACCAGCAATACATCATCTTGTAATGGGATGTTTGAATCACTGTATGACTCTTTTATGTTGTTCGGACTGTTGATGACAGTGTGAAAAACTATGCCAGTCATTCTGCATCATGAATCACAGTTTCAGGACATGAAATTGTCTGTATCTTTGACACAGGTGGCATGGTAGGACAGAAGATGCGAGTTTTAGGCCTGTGGTATGACCTAGCATTGGTTAAAGAGGAATTTGCTGAACAGAGGAAATGAAAAAAACGGTGTGGCAGTACTTACGTAGGTCTGAGTAATTCTCCTGTTCAAATGTTTTTGTCATCATCCGAGAAAGTTGGTGATCGTCTATAGTCGAGCTCATCTGAAACCCTGCATAATTCTATGTAGGTATTTCCGGCGAATGGCAAACATATCTGTCCGCCGTCATACGTATCGCTTATTGACATTCAGTATTGCTATTTACGGGGAATAAATCAAGCTGTTGAAATTTCACTTCAGAAGTCTCGGAAAGAATTGGATACATAACCGTGAAACGTCGTTCAGGCATCGCTGTCACCTTGAAGGGCAATGAAGGTGAGTAGGGCAAGTTCAGGGAAAGAAATTAACTCGCGATTAGGTACAATTCTGGAGATCTAGCTTTATTTCAAATAAACTGTATGCCAATGATGTCCAGCTCATCATCAATCCGAGTAAACCCCCGATATTTGCATGTCTATTAATGACATTGCTAGGAAACATAGCTGTGCGTCGTTTATTCTTACAATAGTTGACTCCTTTATGAGCTTTTGGGCCGAACCCGACAAATTTGGATATGGCAATGGATCTAGAAGTCGATCAAAGCATACCGACATTTGAAGAATAGGGGGACGTTGATTGGAATCCAGCCCGAAGTTTATTGTCCGTGTTTCACAAGGAGGCCAGTAGACCATACATCAAACATCTTGAGGCCGTGTTGGTTGTAATGATGTTACACTAGATTATTTATTAAGATATTTGACGGGATAAGCACGAGTGGGAGGTGGACGGATGATTTCAAGTTATAAGAATAGGATGAAAAGCCTGCTTTTGTCTGTTTTCGGCAAAATTTCGAAACTAATATTACTCACTGCGAGTAATTGCATCTGAAGAATCGTTACTGTCATGCTCTGTATAGTCATAGAAGAGTAAGATAAGTATGACTCCAAAAACCTTGGCTGTAGCTTCAAGAAAATGCTACAAAAACAGGGTTATAGCTATGGTATCTTTGCAGCTCTACAAGCTCTCTATCATATCTCTTATCGACTCAATCCTTCATCACAAAATTGTTGATCTGAAGAGACAATTCTTTACGCCTTTCTTATCAGAATCCACACGCTCAAAATTAGGGGGAGAAACCATGGAAACACGAAAATCCTCTAGCCCTGACACAGTCTTGGGTCCTGAAGAGGTCGAAGCATTCTCTAAAGCCAAGGATAAACTATTCATTACGCTATATCGCAAGCGGGCAACCTATTTTAAAAGATGGCTGCGAGTGACTGACAGGTATTTTACTGCTCTTGAGGAACACGATCGAACAATCGAGAATATACAGAGAAATTTCATCGATGATGTTATCGACAAGTACGCCATGAGAATTGAACACAGAAAGGAAAGGTTCAAAAACAAATTCCGGCATGCGGTATCTGATGACGGTAAAACTTTACCGTTTTTGAATGGTATGGATTTGTTGATATGGCCTAAAAACAGGGCTCACCGCGAAGAATTGATCGAGAAGGAGAATGAATACCACCAGAAGAACCAGAAAATTAATCCTGATACACAAATGCAAAAGAAGCCGGTGTCTGAGGGTACTCCCCTTGATGGTAATGCCGCGGTGCAGGCACAAGGCGGTTCTGAAGACTGGGAAAGGCAAGCTGAAGAAAGCGACACTGGATCGTATGTCCCCTTCTCTGTATTTAAGTTGTTACTTTTGTCAACTCACTGACATATTACAAGGGTCTCTTCGATGGAGCCATAGCCATTTCCGGTGCCGGGTCCTGACAGCTGCTGTGTCCTTAGCTTCAGGCTAGGAGAACCAGACACATGTACGGGAGATCTTGAGCTTTTAAATAGGTCCAATATAATAATTTATCCATTATCTTTCTTCTTCCTCTTCTCCGTGATACTCCGTTGGAAAATGCAATTAACAAACCCTAATGTGCTAGTCCGTTTAAGGCTAAGTAGACTCTTGAAAATCATAGGCTAGACCGTATTGGGAACAATATCGATGTTAAGAGTTGCAAATCTGAGAGATCGACCTTTCAGAGGGTCCATGTGTTGATTACCTTTTCTGGAACAGATTTCTAGATTTTCTAGAAAGCCCGTCAATCATGGGAACGTGAGAACTTGAAAGTTGATATACGGAACCAACCGGATCTACATTCGACTACATGATTTACCATGCATCGAACACATCATGCGGCTTGCAATGATACACTGAAGTATAGTCTACCGTTAGATTTAGTAAGTAGCGAATGGTGAGATTCAAATTTTGTTTGGCAAAAGCTATGTACAGAAGTGAAGTGAAGCTACTGAGTTTACACAGAAAGTGTTCAGTAATTGACACGGAGGAGCTGAAAGCTCAACAGCCTATCTATACTTTTGTCTAGACGAAAGATTTACTCGTCAGAGTTATAAGCAGAGCCGATGGTGCTCAAAGAGCTACCGCTGGTCAAATAACCGTCGGCAACGTAAAAGTAGGCATAACGCTCAACGTAGCTGGTCTCATCCAACCAAGGGATAGTGTTGCCAATGAAAGTAGCCTGAGAAGCATCATCAACACCAGTCTTCTGGAACTCGGTGATCCAGATCTTGTAGATACCGTGGCTGGCAGCGAGATTATAGGCTTCGGTGATGTAGCTTTCAAAGTCGGTGTCGACGGCATCCGCGTACCAGTGGATAGCCATGGCAGTCTGACCGCATTCACCATTGCAGGCCTCAAGGTATGACTCCATCCAGGTGAGACCTAGAGGGGCGCCACCGTTGGTCACGGCGGGGGKGACCAATTCAGCTTGGTCCTTGTAAGGAGTGATCCATTCCTTGTACAGAGCAGCGGCGGTGGCAGCGTCGATGTTGGATTGGGTGTCGAGATCAGGTTCGTTGAATCCGAGAATATGGGTGCTGCCGCTGGCGAGGGCGGCTTCGACGTTGGTGGTCCAACCGGTGGTGTCAGATCCCCAGAGCATGGGTACGAACTCGACGCCGGAGGGGAGTGTGCCGCCGGAAGAGCTTGCCCAGTTGTAGGCCCAGGAAGCGTCACTAACGAGGCTGACGAGGCTGGCGTCGTTGTAAGCAGCACCCTTTTTGGCGTTAGAACGCTTGGTGAGGGACTTGGTGGGAGCCGCAAAAGCTGCTGTCACCATCGCAGAGGCGACAATAAGGCTGGAGAATGAAACCATTGTGATGTTTTTGTTGAAAAGAGGGACTTGTTAAAAAAGGAATGAATGTACCAAATTCAATTTGGTGTTGAAAGGAATGTAAGGAAGGATTGGAACTGAAGAGACCTTGATGAGCTGGCTGAAGAAAAAAAAGAGAGAGAAGGGTTCATGGAGAGGGCAGATTGGTGGTTTTTATAGAAGAGGAATAACACTGAAACAGGTAATATCTCATGGTCATCAGCTGGATACTACCTAAATAGATATTGTTAGGGTAGACTAATAGTCTAGCATAACGAACGAATGTCCCGGGCTGTATGCGCCTGAGTAGTTCAGGTACAAATCAAATTCTATTGAACCAATAGTTGTTAGAGTGCCATGTGCTTACAGATTGCCTGGAAACACGAATTACCGGATAAATTCTTCTGTACAGAACAAAGGTAAAGTTTTCCTCCATACACACTATCAGATCGCATGAATACATGTCCCGAACCCCAGGTTACATAGGCTGCTTTGTAGCTTACACGCTAGTTCGTTTTCTATCTCGACGTATTCTAGACGCCTTTAGAGCCATATCGCATTGTTCTTAGGGCAGATGATTGGCTCGGAGAAAAGACACAAAAGAATCTAGACACAAGTAGACTGATTTAGCATGGATGCATCAGATACTGTAAGCTTTCTACTAGGAATCATCCACTCGTATCTTGACATCTACAAACCTATCTTGGATGACTATGACCATGACTTGCGCTATGCTACTTTATAAAAAGCAGTAAGTACCCCCACGTGCTGCAACAGCTGATCTGGCTGCGAAAGAGAGCGTCTGATCTTGATCTAGAACTCGAACACGAGAATTTTCACCAGCGCATAAACATTGACCAGTAAGGCGACCACCGCTCCCTAGTCATCAAACATCATCGAACCCTTCAGGGAAACAAAAAAGGAGTCTTTACAGCGGGGCTAATTTTAGGTCCAGGATGAGTACAAACCATTGACACTCTCACGAAGCAAGTTTACGAGGCACGAACATCAGTTGGAGGCGTTGTGGCTTKTTTAGAAGCTGTAGCCTGAGGCTAGCATAAAGCTTAGTTGCTAACGAGCTAGGGACTGAAGGATCGGTATTCAAGTGTCATAGGTTGGACAGAGTATGATTGCATTGAACAATGGCCTGTGTATGAAAGATGTTGGACAACACCTGTGCCAACGGTAAGACCGACCGGAAAATTTTTCAGTCAATTCAACTCTAAAGAAAGCTTGCTTCCCTTTTCCAAGCTTTCTATGACACTGATCGATGTTCGCGGTGCATCTCAAGAGCTCAGGTACAAGTTACACCTGCCAGGTACGCAACCTAATTGATTGGCTTTCACAACCCATACCCTTTGAAGCATTCATTGTACAAGGCTTATGAACGAGCAGATCTCCTAATATCGATTGACGTCGCATTCATCTTACCCTCGATCCTTGAATCTAGCCATAACCAGCATAGCTCTCCCAACTCGTTACATGGAGTCATATAGACCCTACTTTTCCGTTTCGTATTGACCTATCAACTGAGAGGACTTGCTATCGTACATTGCAACTTAGCCCTAGTGCTGACCTGACTCGACTGGACTATGTTTAGTTCAACGTCACCTAGGGTACGTAAGCGCACTACTGTAAGGGACTAGGGCAGAAATCGTACACACACCAACGAAGTTTCATGGCTTGATCGGGKTTGGTAGGCTGTCTGCAAAACATGATTCGTTTCAAGTCAACAAGCGGTTTGGTGACAGATTTGATTTGAGCGCCAACGAAAGCTTACTTAGGGTTGCAGCTGATTTTGGCCCCCGGGTACCGTTGTGGGCCTACAAGGAGTCCCTAACACGGTTGTTTCTGTTTCTGTCGAAAGGGCTGAAAAAGAAAAGGCCTGGACTATTTGTACGTGAAAAATTTTTATGTTTGTGTAATATTTGGAGATTGAACACTGGGAATTTATCTAAAGAGAATCATTAAATGTTAGGCCGCTATATTTCCAAAATCCGAAATCGAATCAATCAGCTTTTTCCTGTCCTTTCCCAATAATTATCAACCGAAATACAGAGTACTATACTAGCCCTTTCCCGAATCCTGATGATGACCCTGCAGCTTCACTAGTTATCCGCTTACCAACGATAGTCCACTATATGTACGTAGTGAGAATGGTTAGGATCACCAGCTCAAGGGCTCAAAAATCGGCCAAGCTTCAGAGCCTAAGCCGTTGAAATATCTGGTAGTTAGCAGCTGTGGCGTATTCTTGAATACACAAAATACGTTCATATACAACTCGCGGATCTGTAGAGTATGTCCAAACTGGAGAATTTATACGACCAAAAACATCCTTCGCTCATTATTGCTCTTACACCTGCGTTATCAACCAGTAAGCATACGCGTATATTCATTTAAAATACTCCTGTTTCTTAGAGACAATGGCGCTGACTGGTGCGAATATTCCCGGATTGTTGGAACTTGTTGTAGCCACAAAGTCAACAGCCTCTAAACTACTGAACGCGTAATGTGGCGTGTTGTTGTTGCATTTCTTTGCTTCGTTTTCTCCTCGTTTCTCGCTATGTCCGATACTACGATGGTGCTATCGATATGGACATGGGTGAAATTTAGAATAAACTACCAAATATAATAATTTACTAATATATAGAAAATAATCTTCGTCCTGGTGAAAGCGGGGCCGTTTTTCGCTTCGCGTTTGTCACGGACCTGGATCCATCTTAGTTAGGTAGACAATGGTTGAATGTCTACACGTCAATACAGTGTTCAACTCTGGCCGGAACGATCAATGAACATTACATTCGATAAATCCAGAGCTAATAGTACTCTATACACCTTTTAAATACAATCGCCATCCGGAAATTATACGTAAGGCGCAATGACAGTGCATAGAACCTGCTGATGTACAACCTACCACCCCCGTTGCATCTTCTCACAACTTGTAGGATACTGCACGGCTCTTTTGATGCTTGATTTCAGCTTTTTGGCGTCAACTTCATACACATAGTTGACCAGCTGAAGAGTTTGTTGCCTCGGCATCAACGCCTGCTGGTATACGTGGACAGTGCCATAGCTTGGGCTGGACCAGGCGGTGTCCACGTCGAGGTAGAACTGCGTGGAATTGATAACATTGCTGGGATCCAGGACAGCGAACATCGCCGTTTCATCCCAGAATGGGAAAATGGTCCCGTAGTTGTTGTACATCAAGGTCGTGTATTTGTTTTTCACCTGATATACCGTGTCGAGGTATTCTTGGTCTGGGAAGACTTGGTTTGCAGCATTGCCTACGATTGCTGTTACGATTAGCTTCGATCTCATAAGTAGCCAAATCAGGTGGATGCACTTACTGATGTTTGGAAACGAAGCTGTCAGGGCAATTTTGGTTGCCTCTGGGTCCAACATCAAATTGATATCACTGTTGATGTCGGCCTGATTTACAGATCCGCTTGCTTGGTACAAGTTGACATCAATATATCCACCCATGATAACGAGACCCTTAGCAAGCGAAGCAAATTCGGGGTCCATGCGCACGGCTAGGGCGATGTTGGTCAAGGTGCCACCAGAATATATCATAACCTACTGAAAAATCAGCATATACATCATCGTCACCGATTGGCTAGCCAAGATAACCTACCTCTCCAGGATACAAATGCACCTGCTCAATCATCCATGCCGCGGCGTGTTTGCCTGCAAGGGTGGCATTAGGGAAGCCCTCAACGAAAGCAGCCGGAGAGATCCTTTGGGGGTTGCCCGAAGTTGGGTCACTGCCCAAAGCCTCTGCTGTCAAATTCTCTGGCGCAAATACACCTTGCCAGGGCAGATCTCCATGGATCTGCTCCCACATAGCAAAGAGTTCCGGTGTGTTGAGGAGAGGAAAGTCGGCGCCCTTGTATACTGGAATGCAGGACGATAAATTCCCAATTTCAAGCGTGGCCAGACCGTGTAGACTGGTTTGTAGGGCCCATGAATTGGCGGTGTCACCGATCAATCCAAGAACGTCCCATCCAGCGTCAAGAGCAAGGAGGAAAGGGATAAATCCCGCTGAGCTCCAGTCATTTTCAAGGATGACTTTTGTGCGAGTGGCATTGGGATGGGCGGCAGCAGAAGCTGCGGCTACGAAAAGAACTGAGGTAAGCTTCATTGCGAATCCAGGCGAGTTTCTTCCAATGTATTTTTCCCGATAGCCCTCACTTGAACCACTCCTGTCTGAGGTATTTATAATTCATAAAAGCACTGACGACTCTTATCTCTTTGATCAGATACAGTCGCACTAGCTGTATATAGGTAGGCCGTACTTTGGGTTAGGATCTGAAAATGAATGTCTATGTACAAGTATGTAATCGGGGAGGAGATTTCTAATGCGACTATATTGAATAAACTTATTACGTATTTAGGATCAGGGTGGAGAGAGATAAGCCTTCCTAAATCTGGGTTACTAAACCGTGTACAAACTTTGAAGGCACTCAATAAGAAGGCGGGCATTTCCGCCCGTACCTTGCCCTGGGCATGTGCTATGTGGTCCTGATTATAGTGGAGGTAAATGCTAAGCCGAAAGAGCATGAATGCGACGATTTGGGAAAATCAGTCATATAAGCATGGTGGAGGACCCAGGGCAGTCCTATTACTACTTCGTAGAAAGATAGGCGGAATTGGAATTAAACACTACCCCAACAGTGCTTCACGTACATTCCGAGATACGTAATGATATGTAGAGCTTTCTTATTCAAGTAGAAAGATAGCTAGTTCTTGCTCACTATGTTATGTATTAAAATCCAACCTCATTGAGACTACGTACTTTGCACCGTGGCGCTAGTTCAACGCTGCATTCGGGTCTTATCAAGGCACGCGAAATAATGAGCTCTCATTGGTGATATCACCATAGCTGTTATCAGCCATCAACGGAGACTTCCGACTTCCGACGCAGTTCCTACTTAGAGTTATCTCTATGGTCTAATTGCCGGAACGTCAATATCAACTCCGGATATCTGACCCCGGCACCTAGCAACTACGCACCTACCGTGCGTGCTTTGGTGAATAGTTATTCCCTACTGAAGCATGTACGTGCTATTAACTTTTTATTTAGTTATAATATATTATTAAAAAAAGATATATGAGGTCTTTAATTTTTAAATATATTTACTTGGTAGAAGAATTATCTACTCATTCAATTGAAGTGCATTCTTCAATCGATCATCCCAACTTTGGTTCCTGGATCCTGCGTTTTGGTCATATGCATATCACAAATCTATCGGACGAGTTCCGGCTGTATTAGGTCGCCAGGATTTCTAAAATATGCATGTTATCTTTTCAAGAAGGGTCACCAGATCTATTCTATAAACCTATGTTGATACCATAATGTTGAATATAGCCCGCATTTGATGTCGCGGTACATAGTCTCTATCCGCAGGAGCTGTATGTCACATGATCCGTGAAAAAGTCCAAGGATTCATCAATAGTGAGGCCTACCAAAGTGCATATCTTGCGTAGGGCTTCTTGAAAGCTGGAGTGCTGTGACTTGCATTGCTCGTCTTGCGGTGGGACTTTCTGTTGGTATTCGAGACCATAAAGATTTTCTCTGACCCTATTATTCCTTTGACCACATGCAGGTGAACCAAATATTAAACGCAGGTCATGCTAACCAAACCCTACTCCTTCATTTCCCATCAATTCTCGGTCTTGAGGCTATACACAACACTAAATCGAGGTTGCGGTCAAGCACGGAAACTGGGCTGTAAATGCTGAAGGCATACAATTAGGAAGATGCTTCAAAGGAGAACGTTGGATTCTTCGATCGAGTTCCACCAAGATTCATGAATGGCCAGAATGAACCAACAATACGTCTCAGGTCTACATCAGATGCGTCAGACAAGCCAACCGAACTTTCAATCCAACCAACAGCCGGATTCCGTCCACACACTGAGTCAAAGATAGCCTAGAAACGAGTAGACTAAGGGACCGTAGTATAGCCAAACTAAAACCAGCAAAGGCCCAGTTATCATTCCTCGTAAGGATTATGATATCTTATCCATTTGCTCGCCGAACATCCGCCATCGGACTCTCAATCCACTTCCTCAGCCTTTCATCCAACACAACCCACACCCTCCTGATAATCATATACGCACTCTTCTCCGACCACCACGTAGCGCACTCCTTGCCTAGCAACGCCGCATAATGCGCAAGTATAATCAAGGCGATGGGATGTTGTCGTTCCAATAATTCGATATATTCCAAGGGAATGCGAATGAGCCATACAAAGACTTCGGCCGTGACTCGACTGTCGACAGATGGTTTACTGGATTTCGTAGTACCGCCTTGAAGAAGCTGGCTCTCCTTTGTCGTATTCGACTCGGGTTGTAATGCATGCATATATTCCGTGACATTGGATCGTGTTGAGATCAACGCAACATAAGCTTCATCAAAGGCTTCCCGGTCTGCCTTTGATATCTCCTCCTCCAACCCTTCTATCGATGTCAAGGGCTCATCACCATGCCATAATCGCTGCAAATTCCGCAAATCATCTGCGAGATCCTTATCTTTCCATTTCCCATGTTCTAGCACAACATCATTGCGCATCAGTAACCCCACGGATCCACGAGCCAACTCATCTAGGTTTTCTTGACAAAGCACCAGTATGCCTCTAGACAAGTGAATCCATTTGAAATCCATAATCGCTGCTCCAGACGCTCGAGTCGTTATGATATCGATCTCCATCGCATCAGAAATCTCATCTCGCAGCGTCGCAATTGCAATCACCGAGATGAGCACGGACAGCACAAAAAGAGCTTCTCGCTGCCCACCGGCCGTCGGACTCACGAGCGCCCTCTGAAATAAACTCACTGCAATAGTCTGATGCTGAGCCGCATAATCCACCAACTCTCTATACTCTTTTGTCGAAGAAGGTCGCGTATACGCCACATGTAAAGCGGAAGTAGCTAGTATGCCATGAAGCAAGAATCGGTGTTGCAAGGCGATTTGCACAATAGTTCGTGCCCATACTTGTTGCACTTCAGGCGTGGGCGAGAGCGTAAAACTGGTCTCAGTAGACCAGTTGTGCATCATGGAAAGATCTGCGAGATTGAACTCCCGGGTAGGGGTGCTGTTGTATTGGCTGAACAGTTTTGCGTCGATGTCGACGGGTGGTGGGATTGATTCTGTGACTGTGGCTGGGGCTGTAGCTGTGACTGTGACATTGGTACATGATGGTGATGCTAATGATGATGAAACCGCTGAGGAGGGTGTCGGTGGCCCAGATTTGGAGTATATGACTGGCGATATGGAATTGTGTCTGCTACTGCTGTAGCTACCACCTGTTCCAGAAATCCCAGTATTTGTAGCTAATGATGTCGGTATACTAGGAAGCATGCGCAGAAAACTGCACACACGATTTGTTTGTTGGCAGTTGCCGCATGACGGCTTGAGCTCGTCGCACTATTCTTTAGTCAGAATCAATGGTAGGACTCAGTCGCTTCGATATAGCTGCGATGGCGGATGGACAAATGCATCCTCGGATATAAGCGCACAATTGAAAAGCGTACCTTGACATGTCGCTGCTTGCATTGCATACACCCATTACGCGACTTTCTATGAAATCTTCGCGTATCTCTATTCAATACTCTATCTGCCATTGTATCTGAAGGAGTAGAAAACAATAGAATTTGATGACAGTGTGTCTTATCGCATGATTGCACCGCCGATCCGAATCAGCCCGCAGATTTTGTCCGTCGTCAAATTTTGATGGTCGCAATGACCCGGACTTGAGGTCTTCTATACTCTCAATTGCCAGCGCGATCAATGAAATGCGACACGAGAAAATCGATTACGATTGAAAGCACGCGAATGTAGAATTTGTGAGGCTGAGAAAAACGACAGTACCAACAAACTGCGATACGATAACAAACGGTCAGCGAGATCACGTGCTTTAATTTGACATCAACCTTAAATCCGAGGCAACAAGCAATCGATCAGCTTCATCCATCATGCTATTCTTACGTCTCGTTCAATGACTTTTCGATAACCGTTAACATGGAAATGTGGTCGGCGATTGCAGGTGATGAGAAAAGAAGTCTCAGACGTACAAAGTGGATGAGTCATCAGGGTTATTTAGGGTTAGGATACTGCTATCTTTGATTCATTGTTTCATGTCTCATGGAGGACTACCACTAATCACTAATTGATGCATCGTTTAGTCAGCTTCAAGATGAAGATGAATGTGCTAACCATATCATCAAATCAAAATTTCAATCATGCCATGATCAGACAATTCGAGGAAATAGAAAGGAAAAAGAAAGAAATCTTCGGAAACATCACCAAGCAGAAGAGTCTAGTCGAGATCAATCTCCTCCTTGCGGCGACGGACGAGAATCTTGGCCTGAGAATCAGACGTCATCATCCATCCCATCTTGAAAATCTTTGGTGGAGGGCTGCCCTCGTCCAACTTGAAGTCGTACTTGAGCAAGATGTGCGCGAGAGCAATCTTGACCTCATTCGCAGCAAAGAAGCGTCCGGGACAGGCCTGTTTCCCATGACCGAAACCGAGATGCTGAGGGCTCGTGGCGACAAGATGTGACATTTGCTCAGTCTCTGGATTCTGAGCCATTTTGTAAAAACGATAGCCATCGAACTGATCAGGGTTCTCGTAGATCAAGTTATCCCAGCTCCAGTGTCCAGAAACTGCGACCATGCTGTCTTTGGGAATGCGGCGGCCGTCTTTAAGGGTGACATCTTCTGTAGCAAGTCGGCGCATGGATACTATACTAATATAAGCTAGTGTAGAGTAAACAGAGTGGATGACACTCACCCATTCCAGCAGGCTTGATACGCTGGCTTTCCTTGATCACACTATCCATGAGCTTCAAGTTGTAAAGCGAAGTATGCTTCCATCCATTAGTTCCCAAAACGGCAATAGCCTCTTCACGCAAAGGTCGAATCAGTTCTGGATGCTCGCAAAGATCATAGATGACCTGGGTGATCATGTCTCCCGTGGTATGAATAGCTGCCATGGAAAGCGCGAGTTGGGCCAAGGCCGCATCGTAGTCTCCTCCGTTGGATAGTTCAAGCAGCCACTGTATCGCATCGGTATGTTTACGTGTTGGTTCGGTGAAACTATCCTGAGGTTTTTTCTCGAATGATAGCTCATACTTGCGTTGATCAATCACGGGTTGAATGATACGACGCGCTTCGGCCATCTGGGCGCGGACAATGCGAGCTTCAGGCACAATCCATTGAGCGAAACGGTGTAAAAATTTGGGATATCGCTTCACCGCTGAAATTGCCATGAAAATATTGACGGTGTATTCGATTGTAATGCGCTGCCAATCCTTGTTGCGGCAGAGTTCCGGTCCGAGAAAGACGCGAGAGGATAGTTGAGCAATAACCTCGAGCATGGTTTTCTTAAGGTTGATTGCATGCCACTGAGAATCGTCCATCCATTGGTTATGAATGACATCAGTCATCTCTTCCGAAACAGCTTTAGTGATGAGTCCTGCCAATGAAGTTAGCAAGCACGACAATATAGATTTCAGGGGCCTTACCCAATGATTGCGTGAGTTTTGTTCGCACCATGACGTTGACCATATTGCCAAAGGTTTGACGTTCGTCAAAGAGTTGAAATGTAGAGAGATGGCCCAGGAAATCCTATTATCATTATGTTATTCGAGGGAGTTTTTGGAAACACATTCCGATGAACCCACCTTTGCATTGTGCTTTCTAAAGTTCAAACGTGGATCATTACGGATCTCGTTTGCATACTCGGGGGAGAGGAGAACGGTACGGGCCATGTCAGTATCGATAACATAACCTTTGGGTGACTGCTTCTGTCAGATGGAACTGTTTGTAAGTTCGCTGCATGATCGACTAGGAACATACCTGGTGGAAGCCATCAATAAGCAACTGTTGAGCGTTCCAGAGATAGTTTTCCTTTGCCTTGGAGGCATTCCACCAGCTGGACTTATTGATGAAGGTGTATTGCCAGAACTTGTAACTCTTCGCAGTCCACTGAGCGAAAACAGTGAGTAGCAATATGGCGCCAATAAGACCAAAGGCAAGATCCTTGGAGGTCGACAAGGAGGCCAAGTCGATGTCTTGAGTGAGGCTCTGCGCGTATTGGTGAGTGTTAACGATAAGACGCGTCGTGAACGCCATTTTGAGTGCGGGGATGTGGTTCAAGTCTTATGGATTAGTTTTGTCATGTAGACTGACGAACAAGCAGAAAAGGAGTTGTAAGTGCCTTCACACTCTTTTTAAAGAGGCGAAAATTTGATAGCTGAGGATTATAAGAGGATAGGAAAAAGAAAGAAAGTAAGGCAGGTGTCTCTTTCTGCGCGGTTGTTGTAGTCTCACACGCGGCTACTACCTTCCTTCCTATTCAGGCAGGTCACAGGTCATAGGCTCACTTATGCACAAATGGAGTGGCATTAAATGGAGTTGTCCAGCAAAATAGTAAACCAAACAGCTACAGGGAGACACTCTCTATATGATAGTATAACCCTACATCACTGACCCTCATATAATACCACTACGGCCTTAAAGTGGCTGCTGCTAGAGTACATAGCAGAACTGTGTCTACTATGACTGGATAAAGTTTAAAAGTCCACCAAGCTCAGGGTGTCTCGCTAAAACTAAGCGACGCAATCGGAGTTGACAGGTACGTATGCATGCACCTCCGATATCTACATCACATTTGCGACTATTGAATTTTAGGTTGTAGATCGAGCAAGCGTTTATTGTTACAGCAGCTTCGTGGTTAGTAGAGTGCCTATAAATATACTGGTAAGAATTTGGCAAAAGAGAGTGGACTGTATAAAAGAGATGGAAACGACCTATCCTGTTTTCCCTTGAGACAAAGACGGGTCGAGTCGATTTAGGGCTTAGTTACTGGTCAGTGTGATGGTAAGATCGCCGTTAAAAGGGACATCGCCCGGTGCAACTACGTACCCTCCTCAGCTGATCGTACGCTACTGTCATTTCTCATACAGTTTTTTGTTGCTGTTTGACAAACCCGGAATAATTTGACATGTTTGGGTACCGCGCAGACCGTCTTTCGAGCCCCTGTCGAAAATGGCCAATGCATCAAGATGCACCGGATCCCTTGAAATCGGGTTACAGCATGTTCCTTCACTCCAGCCTAATTCATGCCGGTTGTTGCGCCTGCATGCATATACGTCGCCGTATAGAGCATACTTTAATTGGTTCTTTTAGTTGTTGTTTCTTCCAAACATGAACGAAACACAAGAAACGAAATACAAAAAAGAATGGCGGACTGACTCTATTCCGCCGGATGTACGAATTTCCTACTTAGACTCGCCCTTGTTCCGCCATACCTAGGTGACTATACGAACTTGCGAAAAAACTCATTGCTGACCGTCACAGTTAACTAACTCACTTAGTTAGCTGCTACTGATACCAAATGAAAAAGTATGTCGACCTGTGACTGAATAGAGTCACCACAACGTTCCACCTGGGTCGTGGGATTCCCTCTAAACATCTTCCTTTGGCAATGTTTATTGGATTCTTACAGTCCGAAAAGGTTGGCTACAAGTTTGCCAGGCAAAGAGAGATAAAAGCAATCAATCATATCATCCACTCATATACTAAACAAGAAAAGCATTGTGCAACGCTCGAGTACGCAACCACTGCTATAGTCATCAATGGGTCGGTCGGCTCTCTCGTCAGCCAGTATATAAGGTGATGATGATCATTCTGAAAATGAAAAAAGGAGAGAAAGAAAGAACGAAAGGTTGATACTTAGCAGGCTATCAGGTTAGTTATCTGTCAATTTTATGAAGATGCATATAGTTTAGAGGGATTTGACTATTGGATTCATACTCTCGTTGGTTTTTCAGTTGGGGGCTCAAGAAGCCGGACCGGCCCGGTAACGGCAATCATCTGGACGCCGCAAAAATTGGAATTGAATGCTATATAAGGATTCAGATCTGCTATCCTCACTGATTTTGAAGATACCGAATTCTGAGTCGGACTTTAAATGCTTGAATGTGATCGCTTTTTCCTCGGTGCATAACCACGTCTTGATTATATTACATATTGGACCGTATAGGAGAATTTTCAGCAATTCGGAATTCTTGATTCGATACTTATAGAGATCAATCCTACCAATGGGCACAAACGAAGATGGTCTGGACCAGTCAATTGAAGGCTCTGCATTGGCCTCGACGAATAGAGAGCCGCAGAAGATCAATTTGCAAGATCGTGTTCCCCCGCCACCATTTTCGGTCTTCTCACGATTCGAAAAAGGATTGTACATTTATATCGCTTCCTTGGCAGCTTTCGCATCTCCTGTTTCTTCCAGCATTTATTATCCAGCCATGAACACGTTAGCCGAAGATTTGCATACTAGTCTAACCAATATCAGTCTTACAATTACAACTTATTTGGTACCTTCCAATGCTCTTCCTCTCTATTTTCTACGAAGAACAACCACTTACGATTGTGATAGATATTTCAAGGTATATCACCTACGATAATTGGCGGCTACTCGGACCGGTATGGGCGAAGGCCAGCTAGCCTGCTGTGCTTCACAATTTTTGCTGCAGCTAACATCGGCCTAGCACTGCAGACAAACTTTGCAGCTCTATTGGTACTACGGTGTGTACAAAGTGCTGGTAGCAGTGGCACAACCGTTATATCAAGTGCGGTAGTTTCCGACCTAGCCACCAGACAAGAGCGAGGCAGTTATATAGGGCTTGCTGCACTTGGGTCATCACTAGGGCCGGCACTTGGTCCAATCATTGGCGGTCTATTAGACCATTTCCTTGGATGGAGAGCCATATTTTGGTTTTTGGCAATATATGCTGGTGTGATGTTCACAGTATACCTCATTTTCATTCCAGAAMCCTGCCGCAACATCGTCGGTAACGGTTCAGTGCCGCCACAGTACTGGAACAAGCCAGCAATACAATATGTGAAAGACAAGAAGAAGGGAAAAGATAATCGTGATGGTGCACAACATGCAACCATCTCCAAAAAACAGAGACCCGGCCTATTGTCTTCTATCCCGATCATCTTCCAGAAGGAATCATTCCTGATTCTCATTTTCGGGGCCATTCTTTATTCTGGCTATATTGTGATCCTCACTGGGTTACCGCAACAGCTTTCGTCAACGTACAATTACAATTCAATTCAAGTCGGCCTGTGTTATATTCCTATCGGTGTCGGACCAATACTTATCAGACCAATAGTCGGTCGAATAATGGACGCCAACTTCCGTCGCCATGCCCGAAAATCAGGTGTCGCAACTATTGACAAAAATGTCCAGCAAGATATCGACAAAATTCCGATTGAGAGAATTCGACTTGAAATTTCATTGGCGTTTGTCTACATTTCATCAATTGCGATTCTCCCCTATGGGTGGGTGATGGGGTTGCAAAAGCCACCACTTCCAGCTGCACTTGTTCTTCTGTTTATTATGGGGCTCTGCACCTCTGCAGCGGTTCAACCTTTGACTGCCCTAATCATTGATATCAACCCGAAAAGCCCAGCTGCCGGGGGCGCTGCGTTCAACCTAGTTCGATGCCTCCTTGCAGCGGGAGGTGCAGCTATAGTCAATCCACTGCTTAAATCTATTGGTCGAGGATGGACAGGTACCCTCGTTGCTCTCAGTTGGATCGTGTTAAGTGTTTGCTGGTGGGCGGTCATCATATGGGGTCCAAAGTGGAGAAAGCAGGCGAAAGAGAAAAGCTGAATTGAAACGAGAAAGCGTTTAAATCAATGACGCGCGTTGAATGTAAAATTCAGAAAAAATATGACTAATTGACTAGCTATCGCTCAACGTAATCAGGTGGAATTTGACTATGTTGACCATGTTCCTTGTATATAGAGGGGAGACAAAAGTGAATCTAGATTTAATATCGTGACTATCAAACTTGTAGAGGAGAAGTGGTTAGTGGTGATCTAGTAGAAGTGCCAGCGCCCTGAAGGCATACATTGTGCTCAGTTCTACTCAGTGAGTAAAAGCGGTAAGGGGGTGGCATATATGGCTTAACAGAAGAAGGCATTCATTATTTTCCGAACACGGCGTTGACGAGAATTCTTAAAATAGAGAAATCTCTGTACATGACCACCGACATCGTTCATTTCGGTTAGAAATGTGCTCTTGTATTCGAGGGGCTCTCGGACTTCAACTGTGCATGCACTTATACGCCATAGGTCGCAACGAGATCATGATCTGGGCAACAAAATGTGCATCTCTGCATGGAAACCTAAACATTTTCCACGGGTCAGTGACCAAATATGTGGACAAAAAGCTTATATACGCTGGATGCTGAGCGTCCAAAGCCTTATAATATCACCCTACTTGTTCACCGCAGTTTCTTCATCTCTTCCAATTTCGCAACCTTTTGAAACACCCTCGTGGCTTCTCTCACTGCCTCCTTCAGATAATCTGCCAAATAAACTCAGCCAGGTTGTCTAATAATTCATTTCGACATAATAGCCACTTACAGGAAGGAATAACAATCCAGATGAAGTTCATGAAGAAGTAATATACCCAGAAATAATAACTCTCCGGACGCGAAAACTCAATACCGCGATGGTGAAGATCGAACAGACTGGTGGCATAGTATAGCACATCACCATATAGTTGACCAACGGAAATAACTGTTTGTAGGATGTATCGCGCTGGATGTTGTACGGCAATGCAGTAGGCAACGAAGAACCCGAGCGGACCCCAGCAGATCTGTAACCAAAGATTGTCAGCTTAAGACAAAGGCTCTGCTGTGCCAAATTGGCCTTACCGCTGTTATACTCTCCATGCAAACGAGGAATGCATCAGACCGAAGGTACCGCGAATCCGAGAACGAATACTCTTTCCACAGTTCGGCAAACAAGTGACTTTTGCCCCCAATCGTTACATGATTCACCACGAAATAGCCTTCGAAAAATAGGTGGATCGATGCAGCTGATCAATCTGTCAGATAAGCTTCTCTTTTCATTGTTAGATCAAACATACTGAAGCAAAACCACACAAAGGCTAGATGGTCGGCGTTGCTAGCGTCAGGTCTGGAACGAGAGATAATCAACCACGCGATACCGACAATAGCTGCCCAGAGCAACGCAAATTGACCTATAAGGGAGAACACAGAGGATTCATTTGGCAGGTATCCGGGTATGTTGACACCGAGGGGGTAGTAAGAGTGTAAAAACGTGGGCATTATGCCTTATTGTTCGAAACTAGGCAGGTGAAAGAAGGGTGAAAACACAATTTGATAGCAGATCAAATTATATGATCGTCAGATGAGTATATGTACGGCGGTCGTTCCATAAAATAGAGTGAGAGGTTTGTGTATTTGAGTTGTCTTCCAGGCTACTCTCCGGGAACTCGTTTTCCGGATCAGCTCATTTCCAAGGTTGCTAAGCACAGCGGACGATCTTAAACACATCGGACTGGATATATAGATTTGTGATACCGATTGCCGAATCTATACAGTACTACCAAGAACATTTTGCACGGTCTTCAGTCAAGAAATTGGTAGCCAGGACACTTAACCCCTACCTAAATTTCCGGCAGCTTCTTTGAAAGCAGCATAAATCTGATCTTGTCTAAGCAGCATTCAAGGTTGAATGATGACTAAGTAGCTGTATACTTTTGTTAAATCGTTTGGCTTATGTGGTCCATAACACTAAGATTTCATTCTACTCAATTTGTGTAGGCTCTATTTCTAAGGCCACGATTCATAAACCTGTGAAAGCGCACGAAACAAATATCCTAACCATTTAGCCCTAAACCCAATTCTGTCCAGGATCCGTCGCCCCCCATATTCAAAACGAACGAACAGGATGAACTAAAACGACCGGCTATTTCTCCGCCCCCTGTCATTTAAACCTCGAGTCTCGCCGTCTCGGTGCACATTTTTTAGCTACGGCCAGCTTGCGAGGTGATTGGCCAGAGCCGGGGAGATGGACATCACATGGATGTTTTTAAGCTTATTTACCCCACAAAAGGATGTAACCCAGGCCGGTAGTTGAGGTCGCGGGTTTCTTCAGAAGAAGAAGGGGATTTTTGATGTTTCTTTAGGCTCTGGGTTGTTGAAACAGGTATGATTCCGTGATGTCAATGAATTCAGTTGAGTACATGTCTTGAGTCTAAAATTGATCGGGTTATCAATCCTGTCGGCGTGTCTGTCTTTCGTTCAGTATTATCTTTGTTCATCCTTCAATCATTCATTATTTCTAGTCAGTTCCGTGGACCATAAATTCATCATGTTCCCTTCCATTCTTTTCCTCATCATCACCTTTCTCTTGCATGTCCACGTCCAAGCAGTCCTAACATCCAACACCACCTCCCTCCTAACCTGGTGGCACTCTTCCAACTCTCAAACCCCAACCGGCACAATCGCCGATGACACCGTCCGCAAATCCGATCTATATTATGTTCAAGTGAGCGCAAACACCGACCCAACCTACTTCTACGACTCCTTTGTCTATCTGTCTGTGCCCGCAAATGGCATGTCCGATTATGTGCAGTACTCCGCAAATACTGCCTCCACGCAGGCGTGGTCCTCGTTTCTGACGTCGGAGGATGTGGTTGTGCGTGTGACGCGGCCTAGTGCCGCTGTCGCTAATGGCAGTGTAGTCATTAGACCTACGACTTTGCTTGATCAAGGGTTTGGCATTTCGTATGACAGCTCCGATGATATCAGCGTCTACATCACTATCCCTTATAGCGAGAATGGGTGGCGCTTCTCCGTCGAGTTCTCAGACGATCTGTACACTCCGGTTGAAGGGGTAGCGAATACGGAGCCGCAACATTCATTACTCATATTCGCAAGCCCCATGGAAGACCCTTCCATTGTACCTGTAGCCACCAACAACGAGAACACGTTTATTGCGACGCCGGGCCGTGTGTACGATACGAATGTAACCAGTGCATCAACCGTCATCTTCTATCCGGGTGTGTACTGGTTCAGTGGGACGGATCACATCCTTCTCAGCGAGAGCGTGACATGGATATATTTCGCGCCGGGAGCGTACGTCAAGGGTGCCGTTGAATTCCAATCTACTGCCACCACAGTAAAAGTGACGGGTCATGGAGTATTGTCCGGCGAGCAATATGTCTGGTACGCCGATCCCGAGGATGGATATCAGACATCCTCCAGCGCCGACAACGACGGTCTACGCATGTGGCGCGGCACAAACACTGGTACACAGACCTTTGTGTTGCAAGGCGTCACAATCGCAAACCAGCCGTTTAATAGTATGGACTGGTCCGGGAACCTGGACGGCATAACCGTCCTGGTTAGCGATTATAAGCAAGTCGGCGCGTTCTACCAGCAAACCGACGGGCTGGAAATGTATCCTGGTTCTGTGGTACAGGACGTGTTTTATCATAGCAACGACGACACAATCAAGACGTACTACTCGAATGTCGTTGCGCAGAGGATTGTGGTGTGGAAACTTAATGTTGCGCCTGTTATACAGTTTGGATGGACGCCGCGAACCACGAACAATGTGACCGTCGATACGATCGATGTGATCCATCAAAGCTATTCAAATGCCAAAGAGAATCCGGGGTTGATTGGTTCTGATAATAATTATGTGTATGCCCCGGGTGGACTTTCAGATGACCATAACACGGCCGATACGAGCCTGACAACAAGCGGACTCACATTTTCGAATATCAGAGCTGAAGGATTATCGGGTTGTTTGTTTCGAATCTATGCGCTTGAGAACCTCGCCTCGATACATATACGGGATGTATGGATTGAGGAATTCCAGGACTCGAGTCTCAACACAACGGAGAGTCTGTTGCCGGCCTTTTATGATGCGACCAGCGGTGCGTTGGTTGCAATCACGGATTTTGTGGTTGAAAAGTTTCAGGTTGGTGATTATATCATTTGGGATAATGATAGTGCCATAAGTGTGGGCTTGATTGATGTTGATTCTATTTATAGTGAGGCTGTTACGTATTCCAGTACCTAGCCCCAATCAACTTCCCACCCGATAATATATACACACATACATACATGAAATGGAAATATGTATCAAGCTTATTTACCACCTTCCTTAGAATCAACATAATCTCTCACCCGTTTCAAATCCAACGAAATGAAATTTCTAATCCACTCCTGCGTCCAATTCGGCATCGCGCGAATATAGCTTGCGACCCCGATCCGATCCGGGATGCAGACTTGTCCGCTGTTCCCGCTCAGGACGTGTTTGACAATTACATTTGAGACGTCTTCAACCTCGAAGATTGGTTGTCTGAGTTTCAGGCCGGAGTCGGTGATGGGTTTGATCATGGGCGTCTTAACCCAGATAGGGTGGACGATACTACCTCAATTAGTATTTTCCTAAAGAGGAAGAGGAGGGACGGAAGAAAGCGTACCTGGTGCGAACTTTCTTTGCCTTATACCACAACCTAATTTCCTGGGTAAGCCCCTCATGGAACGCAAGCGCACTAGCTTTACTACAGCTATAATCCGTCATCTCCCCCAGCCCCAAAAAGCTGCCTGCACTCGCAATGGTGATGATATGTCCGTGATTGCGTTTCAGCATCGCTGGCAAGAATTCACGCACAGTCCAGTAGTGCGATATCGTGTTTACCTCGAACACAGCTCTGATTACACTTTCGGGTTTGTCGAGGATGGAGCCTTCTTTGCCGACACCGGCGTTGTTGATGAGCACAGTTGGATCGCCGTGGTCAGCGCGAATGAGGGAGCCGGCTTGTTTGACGCTGGCGGAGGAGGKGACGTCGCATTTGTAGAAGAATGCGTTTTTTGCTATATCCTCGTTAGCTCAGCATTACAATCCAGCAGACACTAAATAGGACGCACGGAGAGGAGTAGTAGGCTCCTGGATATCGGCGACAATCACTTTGACGCCTTTGCTTGCGAGGCCCTGCGTAACGTGCTGCCCAATTCCACTACMCCCGCCTGTCAATAGAACAACTTCGCGGGACCAGTCGTATTTATCAGACGTCCAATTATTGAGCACGAAGCTCGACAGGACACGATTGAACGTTCTGAGGAGTGAGAGCGCAAGCACGACTGCCAGGACATTGCGTGTTGTGGATGATAGCAGGACGCTCTGCACTTGGGGAGGGAGTTTTTGGACGAGCTCAAGGAAGAGGTTTTGGGCGGTTGTAAGTGCGTCCATTTTGTTGCTCTCAATTGCAGTTTTTATTATGTTAGAACTTTAGAGTGAGAATCCGGGGGAAGCCCTGGACATTAAGTGCACAGGCACCTATTTATCACATCTGGAGAGTGGCCATGAGCCTCGGTATTTTGATATGGAGCACATGGTGTGGTTCATGCTGAATGAGCGCATAGATCTGCAGATCAACATTGTTGGGGTAGCCTAGTCTCGTCGAACCAGTTAACTAGATCGAGTATATTCACACATTTCGCCGAAAATTGAGGAGCTAATTAAGCTTGGTGGAGGCACAGTAAATCGGCTTGAGCCGAGGTTGTGCACGTGCGTCTTCATCAAGGGTTAGGGCTAAATCTACGAAACAGATCATTAAGATCATAATAAGATTGTCATATTACTAGAATTAAATATAGCTAATGATTTATCGCACAGTGTAACCTCCATCAATCACAATATCTGCGCCTGTGGTATACGAGCTGGCATCACTGATCAAATACACATACGCCCCCTTGAGTTCCTTTGCATTCCCATTTCGTCCCAACGGAATCATCGAATTCCACAAATCCTGCGTCTCCTGCGGCACAAAGTCCGACAATCCAGTATCAATATAGCCGGGAGAAATGGAGTTGACACGCGCAAAGTCGCGCCATTCGTTGGCCAACGAGCGCGCAAAGTGAATGCACCCGGCCTTTGCGACGTTGTATGCTGTCTGTTCCTGCGGGAAGTTTGCAATGTGTCCCGACATACTGGCCGTGATGACGAAACTGCCCTTTCCGCGAGACTTGAAATGGGGTCCCACGGCTTTGGCGCAGTGGAAGGTTCCCGTCAAATCGGTCTGGATAACTTCCTCCCAATCCTGCACGGAGCCATCCAATATACCCTTGTCTGCTGTGCGGCCGGCATTGGCCACGAACCCATCGATTTGGCCAAACTCCTTAATAACATCAGCGACAAGCTTCTCGACGTCCTCCCATTTGCCGATGTTGCATTTGTAGGCTTTGGCTTTGATGCCGTACTTTTCGGATAATTCGCGGGCATTTTTCTCGCCGCCTTCGGGCCTGGAGCTGTAGGTGAGGGCGACGTTGGCGCCCATCTCGGCGCAGCCGCGGGCTGCTTCGATGCCCATGCCACGGGGGCCGGAGGCGCCGGTGATGATGACCGTCTTGCCTTTGAGGCTAAAGAGGTCGGTGAGGGAGTCTGCGGAGGGGACGGAGACGGGCATGTTGTCTGTTTTGTTTGATATGTTTTGGAATTTATGGGAAATGTTTGTGTTTAGTGAGTTCGAGAACCGTGGATGAGACGAACGAACGATTGAGGGGTATATATACGCCAACATACGACTACAATGCAATCGTCATACTACCCACCCGACACAGGCCACAAATCAGGTCGATTCTCCGGCTTACACATCAGGTTTTTTTGTTAGTAAGGCTAGGGTAAGCTGTGGATAAGCCAACAGCACGCTGTATATACGGAAAACTTGTCCAATGCCAGTGTCTAAGCCAAAGTGGTTACGATGTATGATGTCAGCCACCGGACGGAAGTACGGAACGGGAAGCTCGGATGGACTACGAAGGTACTCTCTTTAGTCTTTTATGAAGAACGGATACTATATCCATTACACAGTAGAGGTTGGATATAATTCTCAATAAAGGCGAAAAGAATAGACTATAATATGGCTATATTTTACGCACTTCCAAAGGTATGTAGGATCTTTAGATCGTGGATTGGCGGGCATGCGGGGKTAGTGCTTACTATCGGTACATCGGAGGTCCTCCGAGGATCCTTAGTATTCATTGACCAGATACATACACTGTCTGCAATATATGCATGCACGTCTTGTCACTCACCTAGACACTAAAAAATCAGGGCTGAGGGCGAGATTAGGAAGGGCACTCTCAACCTCATACCGTCATACGTACTCCAAAAATAGTGAAAGTACACACCTAAAAAGAGAGTCCAGCAATCATAGCTCAAAGTAGGAAGATTGCGCAAATTTACGAACGTATATGATGTTGCGGATATGTCAAGTAGGTGGGAAAGGCTCAAACGAGTATCAATTATTCATCCACTCGATACTGTGACGAGACTAGAGCATGACTAAATCAAAACGCCGCCGATATGTATATACACGCCTTCTCAAACAATCCGGACAGAAAGAAAAACGCCTACATCCTCATTCGTGTGTTTTCGGAGAATGTAACCCTTGATGTGATAGGAAAAAGAAAAAAATGAATGATGATATATGGACTTGAAAGGAAAATCGGAAAAGAAGGGCTATGTGTGTGGTGGTGATTAGGATGGATAACGACTTCCCGAATTTTCAATCACGGGCGTCATCCGCCCTGCTCCCCTGCCATATCTGGACCCTCCACCGCGCCCACCTCGAGTCATAGCACCGGGTAGCTCAAAATCCGGATTTCCTTCGAGCAACACATCCTGCACTCGCGGTCCTCTATTTGCTGCCGCGGGCACAGGTGGAGGTGCGCCCTGCCATTTCGGGTTTATGGGTCGCTCCGATATCGACGTGAAGTGACTTCCTTGACTTATATCGCTGATAGCCGGTGAGCCAGGTCCAAGATCGCCGACGTTCTCACCGGGAATTTTGATGGGTGGTGGAGGAGATGGTGGAGATGGGTGACGCTCACCAGCTGGTCTTCCTGCCATGAGCACCGAGGGCACGTGTTTGCCGCCGGTGTTGTTCTCTTCTGCGAACCGGGGTTCGATGTCTTCATAGTATTGATCGCCTGATCGTTGGCGGGCGTGGGCGGGACTGTTGCTCATGCCGCGTTCGGGACCGCGTTGCCATGCTGCGCGTGGTGGGACATATTGTCTATTCAATTAGTATCGTCTTCGCTTATGATTAGATAGAGTACCTTAGATAGGGAAACTCACTCATTGCTGTATACACTGGTTGGGCTGGGAAGAGACTCGTTGTTGGAAAATCGCTGTGGCTCAGCCAGATCTCCATTCCGGACACGCAAATTTGGCTCACTCGATTGCGGCATCATTTCAATCGCACCACCATCGCCCATTCCCGGCAAGTTTGGCTGTGAAGCAGACGGATTGCGTGCTTGGCCAGGTCCATACGGCCGAGAATAGTTGTTTGAGTTGCTGCGAGCAGGACCAGGGCCGTAGGGCGCACCGTCAGATGGACGTCTACCCACGGCTGCATACTGATCGTATCCGCCTGGCCCACCACCTCGTGGAGGGTAGCCCGGTGGCGGCCCACGATTACGGGGAATACCGCCAGGAGGAGGTCGCATACCACCGCGCATTGAACCGCCCCGGCCATTTGGTGGAGGTCCGCGTCCACGGCTACCGTAAGGACCAGGTGGTCCTCCTCGATATCCACCGCGAGGAGGATAACCGCGGCCTCGTTGGGATTGTCCAGGAGGGCCGTATCCTTGCGGTCCTCTTTGAGACCCAAGACTGCCATCTGAATACTGGTTTTGCAGCATTCGATCAGAATTCGACCTAATCATACCTGCATCAATAGCACCAGCGGCTGCAGGAGAAATTGGGTTTCCATATTCGTCCCGCGGTCCATGATAACCGGGTCGCACAGGTCGAGAAGAATTATCGTAGAACGCAGTCTCCTCTCCGCCATTCAATGGGATTTCATCGGTCGTGCGACTCGAAGCATAGGTGGTAAAAGTCGGTGCTGAATCTGAATGCGAATTTCCAGTGATCAATGGAGCCTTCACGTCGGTATTGAGAGGAAGGGGAGGCGGAGATTCTGCCTTGGCAAGTTGTGCAGCTGCAGCGTCGGCGCGTTGTCGGTTGTAGAAATTCTCACCGCTCATTTCTGCGTTTTCTGCGACAAGCTTCTTGCGGGCTTTACGACTGACTAATGTACGACGCATGGCACAGGTGACGACTCCGCACGCGACGAGAATAATTGTCGCAGCGAGAACAATCCATCCTCCCCATTGTAAATGCGGTACAAATAGTAGAATATCGACTAAAAATGCCAATAAGCTGACCAAAACCGTCGGTAGAAGAAGAATCAAAAGAGCGAGCAGGTATCGTGGCGAATGGGATGGTGAGTGAAGGTGAGAGGTCACGGCCATGATAAAGCAGACCAGAGTCAAAAAAGCGGCGACGGGATGGATGACCAGAATTGCGGAGAGAGAGTTTCGAGCGCTCGAGGGGAGGTTAAAGTCGCCATTATCGCTTTCATTCGTGCCGAAGATGTTTCCTATACCATTAGCATAATTCGTTCCGCGCAATTACAGTTGACATACCAGTGTCGTATCCCACGCGAGCCGGTATACATTGCGATCCCCTACAATATCCAAATACACCAAAATCGACATTCTGGTATGTCGCCAATGGAATGGCTTTGATGACAGGAGTGGAAAGGGTGGATAGCAAAAGCAGCGCAAAAGCAATGAACAATAACACGGAGAGCGGTGTTGCTGGTTTCAGCAGCATAGCGGCGGTGATTATCGTGTCGCAAATACAATACTACCAAAGAGGACTGTAGATATCTTGCGCAAAACAAGCGACGAGACGAAAGCGAGCCTAATCAGGTGATCATGGAGACGGGAGACATTGGGATGGTACGGCAAAAGGTCGTTTAATCTGGGATTGAGCTTCGATATCTTCAGGTCATTGAATGGTGCCGGTGAGAGCTTGCGACAGCCGTAATTTGTAAAGTATTCTGAGGAATAGAGTCGAGTTGGAGGTAGTATCTCAGTCGAGGGTAGAAGATGAAGCAAAAGAACAAAGAGCGAATGACGGCAACGAGCGAGGAGGTTGGTTCGGTTGAGGTTGGAAAGACTCTGAGCTATCGAAAAACAACTAATACTCTCTGTATACACGACAGAAACAAGAAACGATGAGCAGACTGCCAGAGCCTTGAGTTGATTGAATTGAGGCTAGAGAGTTGCAACAGAGGAGACTGCGGGTAAACTGTTTCCTAGTCGTCTTTAGCCTGGGCTAGCAAGATCCACTGCAGACAGCCCGCCAATAGCCACACCCTCTAGATATCTGTAATCTCACAGTCGCATTCACAATTTGGTGGCTGAGTGTCAAAGCGGGACAAGTCAAGATTAACGGCTACCAGACTTCTGTCTGTTATTTTGACCAATTCGACCAAAAGACCTGGGAGAATCCGAACCTATACAAACGGATCCTGGACACGTAGACATGACCGGACAGATAATGAAATGAAGATCGGCTGGGCCACGGAGTTTCACAATGCGTCGAATCGGTTTCAAATCTCCCGAATAATCAAGTCCAAGGTTGAAGCTATTGTGGCTTGCTCGCCCCCTTGGGTGTTATGGCTGTTGGCCAATTAACGTGCAATGACAGGAATGGAAAGCATTATCTCTGGAGTCTGGACTGGCCAGTGGGGACTCTGCCATCTTTCGCGGGATAATTAGTACACTTGTTGGCAAATACTACTTACATAGTAGTACTAGTAGGCCTCGTAGTCGACAGTCTACGAAGGGGACAGGTCACTGTTGTAGGTAGCATCTTAGATGTGCTCTACTGTCTAGAATGATTCTGAGCTCTCAAGATAGTTTCTTTGTGATCAGTTGTGGGTACTATAACCCTAACCCTAATGACGTCGTGGCCCAGGTCAAGCTTTTGGCCGCTTTCCTCAGAAGAGCAGTGATCATCTGCCTCATTCTATTTCTTCCATCCTTTATAGCTGGTTTTTGCTTCTCTCGTCATGAATAATCTCATACGTCTGATTGACCACAGTCAACATGAACGACCCAGGCTTAGATCCTGCCATCGCCGAAACAGCCAACGAAGTCGAGCATCGTGACCAAGACGGCCACAAGGACGATGGCCAATACGTGCACTGGTCATCACCACACAGAGAGCTCACCCAATATCTGGAACCGACAAGATGGTGGTATGCCAATACCGAGATTCCTCTGATTGCGGCCACCTTTGGTCCCATGGCCAATGCATTTAGTGTCTGTTCCCTGGCACAGAAGTGGAGGGAGATTGTTAGTGATGGAGAACCGCCCTATGGTGGGCAGCCCGTTGGTGATCCGGGGTGGGAGGTTGCGATCAACGCTGTATCGCTTGCGGCGGCATTATTTGCGAACTTTTGTTTGTTGTTGACCATGGCACAGAAAATGTCGTTCAACATGGCGCTTCCTATTGTCATCGTGGGATGGTACGTTGCATCGATACTGCTGGTGATTATCGTTGTCATAGTCGGCCATGACACGGACTCAGCGGTAAACGCAAGCCAGGGTATGCAGATGACCGAAGCTTATTACTATGCATGCATTGCTGCTGGTCTCTACTTCACCATCGCCAGTTTACTGATAGTTACCGTGTACGGAGCGATAAAGGGCCACTATAGCCGACAATTCCACCTAAGTCAGAGTCAGAGAACGTTAATGATTCAAAACATTGGGTTTTTAGTCTATCTGCTTGCAGGAGCGGCGGTTTATTCACGCATCGAAGGCTGGCGATTTAACGACGCCGTGTGGTGGGCAGACTTCACCATTCTGACTATCGGCATTGGGTATCCATCTCCATCGACGCACCTAGGCCGTGGCTTGTTGTTCCCGTACGCATTTGGTGGTATCTTGATCATCGGTGTTGTTATTGGGTCTATCAGATCACTTGTTCTAGAAAGAGGCAAAAACAAAATGAGCAGTCGTTTGCTTGAGAAGACGCGCAGAACATTCACCAAAGCAATGACTGGTACCGGACAGAATGGTGATTCTAGAGCTTTCAAAATCTTTCCGGTAATGGACGGTGATGTCGAAGATAAAAGGGAACTTGCAAAACGTGAATTTTTTGCAATGCGTAAAGTCAGACATTTGTCTCATATGGAGCATCGATGGCTTTCCCTGCTGATTTCTGGAAGTGCTGTGGGAACTTTGTGGTTCATCGGAGCGTTGATATTTCAACATGCCGAAGCGACGCAGCAGTGGTCATACTTTGAAGCATTGTATTACACATACACCAGTCTGCTCACCATCGGCTATGGCGATATATACAATATATCGAACTGGGGCCGAGCCTTCTTTGTCTTCTGGTCTCTCCTTGCTGTTCCAGCAATGACGGTGTTTATTTCAAACCTGGGAGACACTTTCATCCGCCAGTTTAAAGATTTTGCAAACTTCATCGGTGAATTGACGGTTCTTCCTAGCGACATGGGATACCGCGAACGATTCAGACAATTCTTCAGCGCCGAAATATGGCCCTTTACCGCGAAGAAGCCCGACTTCAAGAGAAAGTCAGCCAGCAAGAATCCTAATAAGGATGCCACCCAGGCCATGGAACGCGCTGAATCAGCACTTGAAGAAGAACAACTCAAAGAAGAGCATGCTGCACACCGACGGGGCGACGTGGTTGCTGAGAACATCCATCACCATCAGTACCTACTGATGCGCGAATTACGTGAAATGTTCAAATGGGTCAATGCCAGCCCCGCTAAGGAATTTGACTATGACGAATGGGTTTACTTTTTGAAATTGCTAGATGAAGACAGTTCAGTGGAGGACATGAAGCGCCTCAACGACGGCAACAGTCAAAATGAGGGAAAGGAAGAGACGAAATGGAGCTGGATCAGTCACCGAAGTCCGCTGTTAGGTGACAAGTCGGAGGCGGAGTGGTTACTGGAGGCATTGGCCAATAAACTTGAAAAAGAGTTGAGGAAGTTGAGTGATGAGTATCGGCAGCAGGACGACAGGGAGTCGGACGACAACAAGTTTGAAGGATCTAGCAAGCAAAAATAATACTCATCCTGTATATTAGTGCTATTTAGTTGCGATACCTCGAACACGATGATCGACTATTCTGTCATTCAACTTCTAAGCCACTTCCTGAACCCAGTCGGGTGGCTGTTCATCTGATGCCGTAAGGTACAGTCATTCGGATGTAAGTTTGACACAACACGTTTCCTGACTATGATCTGTGTTGTTCGTCCAATATTCTTCAGCTACTTGATACATCCCATTCTAACTCCAACATCTTGTCACCTTGTATTCTATAAAATTGACTCATATCCATGATTTTCTTATCTAAATTTGTTACTTCATTCTTTCTTAAAACCGTTCTCTGGTACGGCCTATTTTTCGCTGTTCTGGCTGTTTTAATAACCGAACTTTTCATTCTAGCACTTAGTATTTACCTAGATATTTACGCAAAGTCTTCGATACAATTTCTTTCATAAATTTGTCTCTCACTCGATACTCCTATGTTAATGGTTGATAGGGTCAAAATCAATTGTGCGATCCTTGGAGAATTGTATGACAGAGCCATTCCCCCAACGGTGACATGGTAACTCGATGACTCTACTGTGACTATATCTTTCCTTCATTTCACTTCTTATTCTATGTTCCACGAATGTTCTGACATTGATCATAGCCGTGGTGAGTTTCACAGGTTTCGAGAAGCGAAACATGGACAAAATCAAAAACAAGAGGAAAAAGAAGAAGATGAATGACAGATTATATCTCAAGATATTGACCTCTACTTTGTTTCTCTTGTCTTGCAGATCTCTATTTCTTCAAGGAATTATTGCTCTTGGATTCATATTCAGCATCAGCTTTCATATCATGGCCTCATCAAAGATAACGCCAACAAGGGCGACGAGGAAATTGCTATCCTTCCGAATCCTGTTCCTTCTGTTTCTTGTTGGTATTGACTATCTGCCGTCAAGAAGATATATCCCCTCTAATATAGTGCTATCATCAAGATCACCACTTGGAATCGGCGTCCTCGCTGATGTGGTTTTGATGAGCACCTTTGTCGAAGTCACCGAGACCGTTCTACCACCTCCCGCTGCAACAGCAGCGCCGGCATCGGCTCCAGATGGAAATGCGCCCACATATCAAGCTACGGATGGGGTGACTAACACAGCGTTGGCAGCATCCGTAACAGCGTCAGGGTTGGATAGCTCACAGCTGACAGGGAGTGGCGGAGGACAAGCTATGGCTCAAATCCCCGGTACTACCATCCCTACTCCTACAGCAGCCGCAACAGCAGCAAGGACAGCTACCACCACTGATTCTAGAGAAGGACAGGTATCAGGCCTCGTCGGGACAAAAACTGCCTTGGTATCGATTCCCGGTGCTCCATCCGGTATTTCGACTTCTACTACTCGCGGGAAATCATCACCAACAGCTGTATCAACCCCTAGTGCTACTTCAATATTGGCTTCAGCATCTTCCATACATAATTTCCCTACTTACGCCGCCGGCCTAGCCTCCGGAACGGCCATAATCGCCGCAGCAGGTCTATTCACGGCGGTATACCTTGTAAAACGGCGTCGTCGCCAGCACGGCCAGCTACGCAAGCCCGGCCCCGTCACGGAAATCGGCCAAGTCAACAGCCGTCCATTCTCAATCCGCAAGATTAGCGAAGTCATGAGCGTGACGAACTTGAACCATAAGCCTTGCGGAGTCGGTGGTGGTAGCAACAAACTAACCAGTATGGATCCTCCACCCGATATTGACCCGGAGACAAGTTGGCCAAGAGGCCATGTGCCGCCTGACCCGGAAGAGCTGAGGGAGATGATGGATGATGAGAAGAGACGTAGCGGTGGTAGAAACGGGTTTGATTCGGCGGTGGATTTGGGGATTGGGTATGTTTCTTCTGCTGCGGCGACTCCGAGCGATAAGCGGGAGGGATATTTTGATGGGTATAGTAGTTATATTACTATTCGCCCCTTATCGACGATGTCGATGCCGGATCATATGAAGCCCATCATGACGCCCCTGCAACCACGGCATACGCAGGACTCTGTTCCCGACTCTATCAACAGATTAGACACTATCTCCCCCTCGATTTACTCTCGTCGTGATAGTATACTTACCAGTTTCGGTGAAATACATGCCAAGATTGAAGGCAATAACAACTTTAATTTGCAAAGAGAAGAGTATTGCCGCCGCAAGGAACAGGCTCGGCGCCATTTTGGAGACCACAGCTTTGTGGAGGAGGAGTCTTGCGATGACTGGTCAGAACCGAATAGAGGACTGGAAGCGAGCGGGAGACCGGCGGCGGCGACAGTGGAGGAATACAGCAGTCCTTATACCGCGCATCTTTCCACCACGAGTCCGAAGACAGAGGAGGGAATAGGGCACGATGATTATTTCTCCATACAGCACTCTGCCGTGAATCAAAATGCGGAAGGGCAGATCCAGAATGATTATTTTTCCGCACGCCATTCCATTCTAGCGAACTCAATAAATAGGGAAAGTCAATATGAGGATATCGATTTGAGTCAAAATGATCCTTATGTCGAGGAGGCATCAAAAGGCGATAAGAGAACTTCTGGAGGCTATTTTGGAAGGTTTTTTCGGTAAAGCATCGAGAGCTGAATTGACTATTGTCTCTTTCCATCTTCTCTTCAAGGGCCAGTGACATGATTTTCGATCAGCTCATCTGTTACTACTCCATACACTTTTTTCCAATCTATTACATGCACACCTACTTACTGATTTAGTATGTCCTCTTTGTCTTATACTCTCTTTTGACCTGGCCCCAATCTTGCTATTGTAATTTAATATTCGGATTTAAACATGGCAGTGTGTGTGTTCTACCTTCGCTATATCAGGAGTTAAGGGGAATGATTAGGTGTGTACGATAGCGGTCGCGCAGCTAATGATTTCAGGCATGGATTGAGGCTCCGAGTAGTGCGTAGAACTCTTGAAGCACATAAATTTAGAAAATGAAAATCAGGTTAAGGTCTCGATCGTCGTTCTGCCCAGAACGTTTGTTGTATTTCACATTAGCCTTGTCCATGTTGACTTCCCGGCAGTACAAGACGTTGAACAAGATGATATGTTAGTCAATTTGACAATACAGGCGCTTTTCCAACCCACTCAGAGTCTTCACCCATTTCCTTCAAGACCCATGTTGCCAAGCTCTTCCTAGATAAGGAAATTCCATCTTTACCTGACCCAGTATACGTAGCTACTACCGGCAAATCAGGCCCATTAGTCAGAAAAGGGACTCGGAACACGGTCCACTTGAGTTGAGTCACGTCCTGAGATGTCACATATGTGCCGAGTCCTTTGAACTCGTCGTAAGCCGATCCCCCTATAATTTTGACTAGCACAATTGACGCTTTCCACTTAAGGCCGCCTCTGTCCTCTTCCGACTGAAATGCAGGCGTACCAAGAATCATTGCTCTCCTGTACTTGTTGTTGACCAAAACCGGGAAAATTTCTTTTAAGGCATCGGTGACAGGCTACAACACGTCAATTTTCATACTTTCTTCTCGTGAATAAGATAGAATCAGCAAGTATCTTGACGTACCGTTCCTTTTAATTTTCCTACCGGGCCAGCAAACGAGACAAACACTGTTGGGCCTGATGCTGCAGCACGACGGAAGTTAGATACGTCATCTAAAGTTCCCTTCCAAACAAAGACACCACTTCTATCGGTAATATTGCTTGGAATTTTATCTGGATTGCGGGCGTAAATGGTTAAAGTATGCCCCTGAGTCAATGCAGCATTGCAGAATTCCAAGCCCGATGCACCTAAAACGTATTGAGTATGACGATACTAATGGATTGATTCATTTTTTTTGAGAAAATTTCTCACCTGTAGCCCCAATGATGAGGATGTGTGATCCCATTGTCCAAACACTTCAGAATACCTGTAGGTCGGATTGCGCCTTGCTGAAATCAAATAAGAGAAAGGTGCGGCGTACCAGAGTAGACATTACAATGGGCAGAACCTGCCTTTTAAACATTCTATAACCAGTGTAAGAATTCACCCCTCGACGTCTGGTAACTGGTAATTATCACATATAATGATGATGAATAATAATCGGGGTAGGTCAGGTAGTTAGTTACCTAATCAAGAAATTTGTCAGCCGGGTGCAATTTGCCAGCCGGATGCAATTTGCTTCCGACGGAACTTGCCCCCCACGTCTAGAAAGCAGCCACCTCGTATTTAGCAGAATGTCTTGATATATACACGGACACGGTTGCAAGGTAGCTACTTGTCAGATCCAACCTTCGGAAATGAACAACTTCTTTGAGCGGAAACAACATGCCTTCCAGAGATCGTTATACCAGAAAGACTACGAACGTAAGCACCTGTCAATCTCACCCTCATCCTTTCTCCTCCCCGATACCGACAGGTCACGGGGCAGTTCTTGACTTTTCTTACGAGCTTGCGATAGGCATGTTTGCAATGCCGACGGGGAAAGAAAAAATGTGACGGCAAGTCACCAAAGTGCTCTACGTGTGCTGAGCGCTCTTTAGAGTGTGCCTACAAGGAGGTGAGACGAAGAGGTCGAGGGAAAACGTACGTTGACTGTAAATGGTGTCACACTCTACCATGCTAATTATGTATTAGGCAAGCATATTTACAGACACTCGAGGCAAAGGTGGCTGAACTAGAGGACAATATCCAATGTCTTGTAAATCTACCGTCGCTTTCGGAAGATTTGAAGACACACCCAGGATTAAATGCAATTCAAGGATGCTGTCCATGCTAAGATGGGTCAGACATAGTTTTGAGCGATCTCCGCTGTTCACCATCAACAGAGCAGCCTTCAAAGCCGAAAGACCCTTCAATGGAAATAGTGGGCCGTCTGCCTGCCAGGTATGCTGCAGCGAAGCATAGACCTGGAGACCCAGGTATAAGTCCGTGCTCTACGAGTTCAAGTGAAACAGGTGGGAACCATCATAGAGCGGCGCTACCTATGAATGAGAAGTCTTTTGCCGCACATCTCGAGCGATGGACGGCGGAAAGCTCCAGGCCTCACGCCGACAACAGCCCATACACCATTCCTGTGTTCATTCAACTAATCCCGAAATCTCAGGCTCAAGACATGTTTGAAGTTGCCTTTGACGAGATCAACTATACTATCCCTCTATTTGATGTGCCTATCCTGACAAGCCTCCTCGAAGAGCACTACGCAGACCCTGATCCTTCTCCCGGAAAGAACCCTCCACGTTGGGCTATGATCAACATTGCTTTAGCAGTCGCGTTTCAATCTCGCGCATCCTCATGCTCACAATCTGAGATGGCAAAACTTTCGTGGGCTTTTTTCAAGAACGCATTCAGCATGTATCCTACAATTGTTCTCCGAGGAGATGGCGTTTTGGCAGTTGAGGCACTTCTCGCTATGGCCGTATTTACACAGGGAACAAACGACACCCGTACAAATTCCACTCTTGTTTCCGCGTCTGCACGTCTGTCGCTGACAATTGGACTGCACCAAAAGTCATACTATTCTCATCTCGATGCGGTTACTGCGAATCGTTGCATGCGAGCCTTTTGGATGTCTTATGTTCTTGACAAAGACGTTGAAACTTCGACAGGGATACCCTCAATATATGATGATAGTGTGACCGGTCTCCCCTATACCGACATTATTGCAGTCAGCCCTTCGAGTTTTGACACCAGTACTGATTTACCTTCACTGCTTTTCCGATCACGAGTCGGGTTAGCCGTAATAATATCTGATATCAAAATGCGTCTTGTCAATGGATTGTCGCGCAATGAAAGTTACCCGCAGGTCTTAGGAGAGGTGGTTGAGCTCGATCGTCGCCTAAAGGTCTGGAAGGAAGGATTACCATCAAGCATTCACCCTGATCATGTCAATTGGTCAAAAATACCGCTAGCGGCGAAAGAGTCTATCTTGATACTTTATTTTGTATACTATCAAGCTCTCATTTCGACTCACAATTTTGCGGCAAGCCTTGAACCAAATGGAGCGATTTCACAGGCTATATCATCAAAAGACATTCAAGCGTCAGCTGCCTCGCAGATCATTAAAATGTTGCATTATTTGCCTCCTCAGCAACCAGGACGTCTTTGGTAACTATGCTTCAATCATTAGAAATATGACCCGTCTGACCGTTCATAAGGCATATTATTCATTATCCTATATCTGCTTGCATCACGCTACTTACACTCATATTTGAGAATCCTGCCGACGCATTGAAGTTTTCATATACTCGTTGTATCAGTCATGTGGTTACATTTTTATCCCAAATTGAGCGTGACAAAGTCCTCGACGTTGGACCTTTACTACATTTATGTCGCGAGTTTGAGAATCAAGCAGTGAGTGCGGTTTCAAAGGCCGGGGATCACTCCAATTCTTGCGGCGCGTCAAATTATAATGCAAGTGCAGCTTTACAGGAACGGAAACAGGTATAGTTGAATAATTTTCCAGTAGATAGGTCACCATGCTAATAATGAGCAGAAAATCTTTATTGAAGTTAGCAGAGCCAAGGGCAGCATTCAACTTGCACACGGTCTTTTGGGAAATGTCTCCGGCCTAAATACAGCTGCTTATAAGTTTCTTTCTTGTCTTGATGTTGATTGGCAGGCCTTGTCTTTTCCTAACTGTCTGGTGCCACCACTACTGCTTCCAGAAAATTACGGCTTTGTCTTTGTGTAGTGGCGATTAGATTCCTGCATGACTAGAGGCGCTAAATATGACCCCCATATAACCTCTTGTTATTTACATCTCAAATTCTATAAAAGAAACTATAAGATATTCAGTATCAATACCATGATCCTAAAATAACCTAACATGTATTCGAGGTATTTAAACGGTTCCGTATTGCGGATCCGGCAAAATCCAAATCACTGCGGGATTTCAATGGAAGCATAGGAAAGAATTAGGCTTAGAAGAAGTCCGCGAAGAGACTTTTTTAGTTTCATATTTAAATCACCTACTCTCCATCCTAATAGCGTTCTTACAGTTCATCTAGTACACTGTCTAATCAATGCATGGCCGCTGCTGTAAAAATCTACCGGAGCGTTGCGAAGAATACTTCAAGCATGTCGTCTTGGGCAGATTTCGAATACTTGGAGACAGGAGTCGTTCATTTAGAGTAGAAGCATTCCGTTAGCCCGTGTGTTTCATCCTTACAATCACATTTTGCATTCTAGATTCAGCAGAAGGGCTTATTCAGCAGAGCGCATCGGAATCGGAAGCGAACTTATTTCTACCGGATGGTAGCAAGCTCATTATTAATATATTACGTTAGGCAAATTCCTGTGTACACCGTCCGAAAGTGATAATAGCGTTGTGCAACTTGCAATCTCAAATTCGAATAAGTCTACCGGAGCTTGTATCAAGGTGGTGTCTCTATTATACGTACATGAAAGGCATACCAAGGCCAAAAATACCTTCCGACATACTGGAACCAGGGGTGTTGGTACATCACCATCCAAGAAATATCTTTAGCTACTTTCAAGAGTAAATCATCACTCTAACCAGGTGCCTATGGCAGTCTTGAGCGCCTCGCTCAACCACGGTTCCTTCAAATGAACATCTGTATCAAATCCATGAACACCAGGTTGCGTAGCTAAAACCACCTTATCACCACCCTGCTTGCCTTTTAGCACATCTCTCGCTTTATTAACAAATCGCTCACTGGCCTCTACCAACACAACGTCGTCCTCAAGACCATGAAGAATAACCAAACCGCCTCGAGGTAACTTTGCATCTGGCTTGTCAAGCCTAGAGAGCTGATACAAACGGTCGCGATGTGGGGAATTCTCCGAGTCCCGCGTATAAAACTCCATGGTTCTTTTGTTTCCAGAAATTGCACTTGTCAGTTTGATACGCTGAAGTGTCGGATCAGAAGACACTACGTATCCTGGCTTCCGATTGGCGAGATATTCCTCGATAAATGATTTCGGCAAATCTGGCAAGAGTGAGCTTTTACCTGCAGGCAATAGAAGCGGATCATCGTAACCGAGAGCTGGATAAGCCGCAGTCCCGGCACGGATTTTATCTGGTTGAGATAGAGTGAGGTAAATGCTCAGCAAGCCACCGGCCGACTCTCCCGCAGTAAGAATCCGATCCAAATCAAGCTTGATTGGGAAATCTTCTTGCACTAGTAGCAATAGGTTTGTAAGACTTTCTGAGTGTATCCAAGTCCAGAAGTCGTCAATATCGTCCAATATCTCGAGCCCAGTTACTTCAGGAAGAAAACGGTAATTTGCCGAGATGATGACAGCACCATGTGCTTCTGCTAAATCCAGTAGCCATAGAGGAAACCAGGCTTCATAAAGAGAATCTCCTGTTATCTTGTGAATAAACAGCTCACGTTAGTATGGATATGTATGAAGTTATGCTGCAATGGAAGCAAACTTACAAGTCCACCACCATGGAAGTGAACGACGACTGGTGCTTTGCCTGTCGGTATAGACCTTGGAAATATCAGATTGGCTCGAATTTCATGGCCATCAACCACCTTGTATACGGTCGGTAAAATATTGAAATTGGTGAATTTCCCCCCAAAATCTGCGCCTGGTAATACCTTGGTAGCCAAGGCATTTGAACGGTTAGATACACCTACATTAGTAGGTGAATCTATAAAATATTGAGACATTGTGTAGGAAAAATACAGCTAGAACTGAGGGTGATCTATCAACGTTGAGGAATTATAACTTTTTAGGCTGTATTGAAAGGAGGCCAGCAAGTATTTGGCAGGAGCCAAAGGCGCATTTTATAACACATCTGGGCAGACATATTCGATCTTTTCGATTTGCATCATTTTGATCCTTTGCTCAGGAATGCCCACATTCGAATTCCGTGTGTGATTGGTGCCTGCATTTTGTCGCATTTGCATTTGCATTTGCATTTCCAGTCGTGTTATGTTTGTATTGTTTGGTGAGTATCAGCCACGAGTCATGGGCGAATCAGCATGAGTGCAAACATGTCTCGATTTGTATTTTGCACTACTGGTGTTATGTTTGTATTGTTTGGAGTGTATTAGCCATGAGTCATGGGCGAATCAGCATGAATGCAAACATGTCTCGAATAGCATTTGCGCCAGTTGTGTCACATTTATATTGTCCAGGGTGTCTCTGAATACTACGTTACTGCATCACTATCTACTGACGGGTAAGCCAACCATTACACCAACTTGATGACAGAGGACTGTAGATGTAAGCAAAAATTATCCCGCGGGCTTTTTAAGTTGTCACCCAATAGCAATATGAGTAGTAGGCTTGAACCCGATGAGTTTGGCCATTTTTTAGAAACATTAGTTCCACCATATTTGCAAACGAGTATCATCCTATGTTTTAATATCTAACCACGGGTCGTTGTAAAACTCCGCCGCACTAGGTCGCTGCTCGGGCTCCCACTGAAGCATCTTCCTGACGAATTGGAGAAAGAGCTGCTTATCCTCTCCTTGTAGAAAAGGTGTTAAATTGGAGAAAGTAAAATCTTTCGAAGGAAGTAAATGCTGATGCCTGAATTCGCCTAATAAATGGAAAACATTAGAATCTTAGCACTATTGTTGCTGAAAATCATACTATGATTAGAAAAGAGTTCAGAGTATATACTCTTGTTGGCTCTATTCAATAACTGTCGAGGTGGTGGATCAAGAAGCCGTATTATCTGAGCTAAATGTGCTGCTCGACTGTAATTATTACTTCTGCGATCTATTCCGTTAAAGAGAGTAGTCTCGGCAAGAAGCTCCTATAACTAGGAAGTAATTGAGTACTATGGTTTGTATATAGCGTATGCTTGAAGGTTTCTTATTATGGTATCTAAGTTCCATATATCCACACTGTACGTCCAAGGAGCTTCTAGAAGAACCTCTGGTGCACAGAAAGGCATGGGCTGAATATTGTAATTATGCGTTGTTGGGACATTGCCAAAGACAGCTGTATTAAAGTTGCTAATCTTGATAAGACTAACTCCCTTTCTTAAGTGTCCGAAATCGGGTTCGGATCGATATATTGGGTGGTCGTTGCTAAGTATGCAATCAGCCGTATGGTTCTGCTGTCGTTGAATGTAATCTTCGAGAACAGAACCATCTTCAAACCCGATGAGGAAGTTATCAGATTTAAGGTCTTTCATGGCTTTTAGTAAAGAATATACTTGGATGAAGAGGTACTAGCCTGTGTGTATAATATGATATTTGGAATGAAGGAAATCTAAACCTTGAAGCAATTGCTTTAAAAAGGCTTTTAGCACCATTGAGGGCACGCTGATATTTCTAAGATGTTTTCTTAAAAGCCAGAGGGGCTCTCTTAATGGCTTAAAGACTAGATATATGTGTTCTCCATTGGGACCTCTAATTGTAAACTATCAGTTATGAGCCTGATGTAAGCTCGACCTTCGTGGGAGGACCGTGGTTGTGATATATGCCGAGATATTTCCGCCTTTTCTTTAGCTGATTTCTGCTCTTCTTGTCCGCAGTTTGTAATCTTTAAAGCTACATATCTGTTTGATTGCTATTGCCACCTTCGTGGTGTTAGTTGTAAGGCCTTGAACAAATATGATTTAACTTACCGATTCGTATCTTTTGCCAACCACACTGTGGAATTAGTGCCCTAGCCGAGTTTCGAGATGATACTATATCTCTCAATTATTGTTTCTCCAACATGAGCAAGATGGTATTTTCTTGAGTCATAAGAGGGATGCTGATTCTCTTCTGGGATGGCTCTGGGGGTGCTAAACTGTGATGCAGAGCTCATGCTAGACATCAGGAAGCCACTTCTAGCCCTATTGACATGAGGGAGCTGGTAGCGGAACATAGATGCCAATAAAGCGAATGATTTGATGAACTTCAATAAAGAAGCTTTGTTTAGATACTGCAACTTCCTTCGGAATAGTAACATTATTTCCCGAGTTTTAACTAAAATCAGTTAGTATTATTTACAATATATTACTTATCAACTAACTATGTCAACTTTTGTCAACTAGAGCTTGAGATAGTTTTGATGGAAAATCCCAAGAGACAAAAAGAAAACGCATAAATCTCAGAAAGAGCGCTTTACATGCTTCGACCGAGCTCTGTAATTGTGATCCTGATCGCTGAACACATAATCTTACCCAGCTCCCTGACTGCTGTATCGTCGGGGAAGTATTCATTTGCTTGTTTCCCGCCATGGTACTTCGGCTTCGAAAACCATACCTGCTTCCCTCCGAGTGGACTTGGATAATAGGGTGTCTATGTTACGGGTTGGCCGTCTTCTGTCATTACCCGAAAGTTCGCATGGAGAGGATTTCGCCGGCCATCAGCTTTCGGCGTAGAATGGGGTCTCGAGCTTTGTTTATATTCAGCATATTGTACACAAAATATCAGCAAGGATCGTTTCAGTACTCGCCATAGCTTTCTTATAATAGAAACTCACCCGTCACCATCCAAGAGCAAAGGTGGCTTCCTTAACAGCTAAAGTTTCAAATTAACATTACTCAGGTTGTCCCGGGATGCACCAAACGCATTCGAATCTCAGAAGCTCTTCTCATAATAGCTTGATCATCCCCTGGCGCGACCCCAGCAAACAATTCGTCAAATTGAACTTTCGAAGATTGTTTCCCAGCCTCTCCAACATTGTAAGACATCTCTTCCGGGCTCATTTGAATAAGAAGGTCTGCGATAGGGAAGTGACTATCTCTTGACGTCTCGTACCCGGAGGCTGCCACATGTACCGCCAGCAAGAGCAACAAAATGGCACCGTACAATCCAGCATAGGTCCATACCGTCCAACTTTCCGGCACAGCGCGCTCTTCAGGAATTGCATATGAGCCGCGCAAATAATTCTCAGGCAGCAAGCCTGGTTGGACGGCATTCGGCGAGTTACTTGATAAGATCATAACGGAGTTACAGTAGTATAGTGGAACAGCGAGTAGGTTCCGGAGATAGTCTCTCTGAGTGCTGATAATGGGATTTGTCGTGTAGGCAGATTGATTAAGATATATGTAAAGGAACTCAGTGAGTTGGGATTGTGGTGTGAGAGAGGAGCAGTTGCCTCCGTCGGAAATATTGTCAAGTGGTGTGAGGATAGCGTCATAGACTTGGAAAAGATCCCTAGGTGTAATGCTCTGTAAGACTGGCGTCCCTAGGTCTCTAACTTGGAGGAGCGCTAGGTTGGTTCGAGACGCTGCAACCGTGGCGTTGCAACGATATATTGTGAGCGAAGTGTTCCACGTCAGCGATGCATCCCAAGAACCGGCCTGATTGCAGTTGCCTGAGTCGTCTAAGCTAGTCGGACACACTCGCCATCCCGCATATATCTGTTCATTCATCTCAGAGCTTGTGGCATTTTGAATACACAATTGCAAAGGTATAGTCTTAGAAGCAAAGGTCGAGGCATAGATCTTGCAGGCATCTGAGTTCCAAGACACATCGGCGCTAAGAGAACCAAATTCAAGGAGGTATGAAGGGCCACCTTCAACAACGTAAGCTGACAGCTCTGGAGCTGTCGAATTTACAGGCCAGGGCGAGACGGTCTGGACACCGCCTGGTAAGAGGTATGAGGAACAAGATGCGTCCGACGCTTTGCATGAGGAACTGACCGACTGAGTCACATACGATATCGAAGGATCGCGTAGAATGTTTTGAACAAGTGCAGAGATGACCGGTCCAGAAGCTTCCTGGAAAACCCGGATGAGTGATGTGTTAAACACGCCCATACCCCCACTGATAGGGGAGAACTGGGTAGGAAAGTAGAGTGACTGGACATTAATTTCGCTCATGATAATGATCCCAGGACCAGGCAAAAGAAGGATAACAAAGAGCCTAGAGACTTGTTAGACTGAACGATGTTCGTGGCGCCGAACGTACCTCAAGAAAGCCCAAGTCCTTTGATCAAGAGCTCTAAACACTCTTCGTTGTGTCATAATTCCAGTCAAGCCAAGCCAGCCTATGCCAGAGCTGAGAGCAAAGACTGTAGACAGTGAGGTCGGTGAACGGCGGAAGGTGACCATGAACTTGATTGCGCTCCAGGCCGAGTCTGCCGCTGTTGCAAGAGCTACGTCTCCCGCTTTGGATAGGATATTCAGGATCAAGATTCCGTGTTTTGGGGACACCAAACCGAGCGGAGAATATCGATAAGTCGATGTCGCCGCGCAGTAGAGGGTTACCGCATAGACTATAGCGGGAAATACCAGAATTGTCGAAGCGACGAGGGTTCTATGTAAGCTTTTGGATGTAACTGCCATGGATCTCGGCGTTGACTGAATCGTGTTTGTTCGTGGAAGCAATTCTAGGAAAAGGGTGTGGGTTAGTGTGGCCATTCACTGAAGTTACGCTGACTATACCTTCTGATGCGCGGGGTATTGCATCTTCCATAGGCTGAGATATTGCTTGTACGCCAGACATCGTCGCTTTGTTATGCTGATGAGTCAAAACGCCAGTTGATGGCCGAACTAACCCGCTCAATAATATGGTACCGGATATTGCAATTCTTCGAAGAGACTTGGACTGGCGGTTAGGGATATACAGTTTGATTCAGGACATTGCGCCGAGTCGGCCTTGGGAGGCTGAGCTGACAGGACCACTGCGCTTTCGGGGAGATTAGAAGCATACTATAGCAAATGTGGTGAGAACTGGGGGCCAACTTCCAAGGCAGCCTGGCTATAGCGCCGAACCCCACACGATGCAACCAACCGCAAAGTGACGCTTAGTGCCGTCCCTGGCGTTGATTTCAAATACATTCCGCTATTTAGGGGTTCCCTTGTTGTCAACACACAGCCTTGGGGCTTATGCTGCACCTCTTACTATTTCTGGCTGACAAGCCTCGTGGCAGCCTCGAGTCACAAAAGGCTCAGGCAGATACAAAGACTGAGGAATTGCTTGATCGCGCACTGCGCTGTTGTTGTTTCTAAATCGACTAAAATTCGCCTCCTCGACTCTCGACTGCTTCAAAGATACTACTGCTTTGCCTCAAATGCCCACGGTCAGCGCTTGCTGTCTTTCTCACATCAAAGTCCGTTCCTCCACAACGGACCAACTCGAACTTCATACTCTTCTCGCACGCAATGTCAGCGGTCACCACAGTCTATTTGGATTGCGCTGAGGTGCTGCCGAGCACTGTGAGTCCCAGCGTATTTACTACATGGACCACTCCTTCACCTATACCAACTTGCGATCTTTCTGATCCGAACATTCAAGACGGAGTAGATTTCACATTTGGACCTCCATCAACAACTGGATCGACATTAACTCTTACATGTCCTGTTGTGACCATAACTAGCACTTATTGTACAACCGCATCCTTGTCGACTAGTTTCACATCCTCGTCAACCACAACCACGTCCTCGTCAAGCACATCTTCAGGGCCGACATCGACTTCGATAACGACCACGACTTCGATAACAACCACGACTTCGGGCTCTTCGATCTCACCTTTGACTACTGCGAAACCGACTTCGACCTCCGGGACATCAGCGGAACCGGCAATCTCAAGGCACTTATCAAAGGAAGGGATGATTTGGCTGGCAATTACAGTTTTTATCTTGGTCTGAGGGTTTACTTCCGCTCATCATGACCAATGGTCGACTTACAAAGACGATCCTTCTTAGACACTGGATATTGGAAGTTTATGGCTTAAACTCCAAGCTCTCCAGACGGACTACGGGTGGGGTTCAGGTTTAGTATTCAAATTTTCTAGACTGACTGCATCAATAACAAGTATTTGAAATAGATCGGCCCACAGACTGGTGGATATCAAAATTTTCTACATAATCAGGACACATAAACTTATAGGTAGTCATTTAGATTATATAAAGGGTCACATCAAGTTCATTTGCCTATCACTTTCAAATACTTAACGGATACCATTACATGTTATAGTTTTTAAGCCTTCTCGCCCGTAAGCCAGGGTTCTTGCAAGAGTTCTTTGGCCGTTGCTCTTTTCTCAGGTATCCAACTAAGTGTCCATCGGATGAATTGTAGAAAGCCCGACTTCTCTTTCAACTGAGTCTCGAGAGCCTCCAATGTCCTGGCATATGGGATGGGAGCGAGGCCTAACCAGCTTCCTGTGTTGTCATGAGTCAGTAAGGATTTTTAATGCAGATCGTCTTTTTATATGTTTGCGTAATAGTTAATTTACCTTGCTCATCCCAAAAGTCAGCCCGTCTATTCGGATTTTTGGCGAGAAATTCAGGGGGTGGGGCGGCCCTAACGCAGCAATCAGTTGAGCGAGATGCGCAGCATAATAAAGGTCGCCATCCGTGTCCCGCGCTGTGAACAGTCTCTTCGGTCCTAGGAGATCCCACACCTTTCATCGGAACATCGTTAGTCCAAGGGAAACTAGGGACTGTATTTGTCCGAGAGAAAACAAGTAGAGCCAAGACGAACCGTCAGACCAAGACTCCAAATATCCACGGCATAACTCCATCCCACATAAAGCAATGTTTCTGGAGCTCGATATTCCAATGGCATAATATCACCAACGTGAGGCCCCGGACCGATCCTGGCTTCTCCAAAGTCAGATAGCAACATTGGACCTTCCTTAGGTCGCATAATCTTCGTCGAATCCATCCGGCCGAAATACCTGCTTCATATCACGAAGACTCATCTGCGCCGCTTCAAAGACAAGGATGATATGCTCGCCATATGGACCAACAATATCGAAGGAGTCTAACAATTTCCAGATATTACCACATCCCTTATGTGAATTGTCCGACATATAGTGAGCAATATGGCGGTAAAATGGTAATTCACGATGAATCAAGGAGGTTTGAACATATATTTTCAGCGCAACATATGCACGGGCCCTGCAACAGTTAACGAAATGTCTAAACGCAAAAAAGAAGGACATACTTTAGATCTCGAGCCAGCCAACTAGTCGAGGAAGAACCAAAACCCAACTTCGCAACTACTTGGTACCGGTTTTGAAAAATATTACCCAGTCAAACACGATAGGATCGATCAGCTTGGTAATCAGGCAATTCCTCCTCTTCAACGAGCTGACCAGCATCGACGGTTTTGAATCCGCTTTTGGGAAGCAGACGTGGCTCTTCAATAGCATTTGAGCTTGACATTTTATCTACCGACGGGTTCAAAATTGATTTTAATGACGACGTGATGCTCGCCCATAGTGAGGACATCCTCACACTAGTGTGAACAAGTAATACCGTTTGAATTCTTGTCTTGGTACTGATCCTGATAAGAGTCCCGCTTAGCCGTCTTTGATATGTCAATCTTCGTCCTAGAAGGCCTGACATAGTCAAGTAGCATTATCTCACGGAATGTGCTGAGTGTCGATGTTAAATGCATTATATAAAATGTAGAAAAATGTAAATGGGTAAAATACTAATTTTGTCGTTGAGGTCGAAATAGGCAACGGTAATTTGGCGCCTATGAAGTATGAACATTCGGAATCTAAATTACACAAAATTGCCGAAAAGAATGTTTAACTAAGGAGGATATCAAGGTCCGTGACATTACCCGTGTGCGCAGCTTACCCTGAAATATGTTAACATATAAATACCTAGGTAGTAAAGTTCATTGTATGGTTTGGTAATCACCTGGATGATCAGACCTTACCAAAAAAAAAAAAACATCATCGCTCAGGTTCCGGAGTATGTCGATGAGAACTATCTAGCTGAGTTGTACCATTGAAAATAGGCGGTGAAAACAACGGGGAAATATCACTCCGAAGTCCTTTCTAGTCTGCCAATCATAGCCTGATACGATCACTTTGTCCGAGCGCCAAATTGGGTACCAAAACGTGATAAATGAGTAAAAACTTTGCTAAAAGCCGATATTATGTCATTTCGATTTGTAAAAATGCGCAAGGGAGTTCTAGTAAAAGTAATTTGTCAGCGACCCATACCCAGGTAGATTAACTAAACCAGCTTTTCCCAGAGGTGATTTATTTTTCCTACTGTGTACGGAGTGATCTTGATCGTTTATCCACGTCATTGAATCGCTATTCAGATTCTCTACAAGATTAGGGCTTACAATATCCTCTTCTATTAGCCACACATTGGCTGAGAGTAGCAGATTATCAAATCTTTGAACTGTGCCCCGTCGTCAAACCCAGATATGTTCGGTGGACCAGAAAACTACGGTGCGGAAACAGAGGGTCGTCCTGGCCGAGGAAAGAAAGGTCGTCCCAGAATTCAGGGTGGACAAGTGCCCCATGATGTAAGACTTGCCAACTGTTGACGATGCACAGGCGCGCTGATCAAGAAAAAAGAGAAGGAAAACTCAGCTCCGACTAGCACAACGAGCCTACCGCTCACGCAAGGAGGCCACATTGCAGTCATTAAAGAGCCGTGTTCATCAGTTAGAAATGATTGTGGAGCAAATCAATGAGACATTTCTATTCTTCCTCGACGAAGTTATGAATTGCAACGCGTTGGCATCGTACCCGGATCTTGCAGAGAAACTTCATCAAACCTTGGAGCAGTCTTTGTCTCTAGCAAACCAGGCAATTTCAGTAGCGCATGATGACGATGATGAAAGAGATTGTAACACTTCCGCAGCTGATGCTGAAGTACCAGAGATGCCAAAGAAACAAGTCGCACCACCAACATCCAACATCCTGGAGTGCGGGCATCACGTACAAGGGCTGCCAAGAGAAGAGAAAAGCAAGGACTTGAATCAGGGCTCCCAAAATCAATCCAATATAAAACTTCCCGAAAAATTGACTGGAGTAGTCCAGTCTTTACCGATGCAGTCGTCAATCCATGTCCCGCTGACCAGCATCTACGAACCGGAACGGGGAGGTTTCGCTCATCGACTCCATCGTTCCTGCCTTGAATATGGATATCGAAATTTAAGAAATCCATCGTCTCAGACTGAACAACTCACCCGCAGGTTCAGGCTTCCTTTGACAATTATGACGCCACTGAATCTTATACTACATTTTGAAGAATCCCTGAGGTATGGGGCCATGATGGAGTTGAATATGCCGTTCTTTAGCATTGGCGGGGCTGGAATGCACTTTAAACACGATCAAAGGAGCTATACTAGTGACAATGGTACTCTGCGGTCGGACGTAGTACACATTTCGCCTGATCAGATCGGTCAAGACATGGGCGGGGACTGGTTCGACTGTTATGATGTAGAGGGATATCTAAAAAGAGCCAACATTGTCCCTGTTCGGGAGTTATCACTGTCGACGAAATTATCTTCTGCGCATCTATTGGATTCAAACGCGAACCTTCACGCGCGATATTTCTCTGACAACAACGACAAAGTTATTGACGAAATCGTCTTCATTGAATGTAGGTCCCCTTGTCAAATTGATTGGAACATAAAGTGTTTCGTAGCTGACAGCTGTGATAGTGCTGACTAGATCTTGTTATTGTCTTGGTCGAGCTCCTGGCTTTGCCCGAAGGACTGTTGAGTCCTTCATTATGGAGCTCGCGAAAAGTTGTTAAAGCTAACGATGGGAAATTGTGATGGTTTCAACATCGCGTTTACTCTACTGTTTAATCAGGTTTTATGTCTATATTATGGTTTGAGGAAGCTACTCGTTAGGGTCAGGTTGGGTATTCGAGAAGAGATGAAAACAATTCCACCATGCAAGGTTGTTACAGACCGTGTAACTATTCGTATAACAATTATGCGTATTTTCAATATTGGCGGCCTCTGAGGAGTTGTATTCCTAATCCCCGGTATGCGCCTCTACTTTGGGATGTGCTTGTCTTTTATGTCTTCCTTATCTGACAAAGGGTTAGAGTTCTCTCAAGCATTCTATCAGCTCCCTAGATAGAGCGCCTACCATCTCTTTATACAATGTGTTTCCTCCATGTCGTCAAGTCCCTCTTCTATGGGAAGAGTCCGCCAATGCCTTTTACACTTCCTAGGAAGAAGACCGTTTCCACAGACGCTAATCAAGGTGCTACGACACAATAATCGATTTCTCTATTCTCTCTATTAATTGTTCTATCTGAATATGACCAACCAAACAAACCTACTCCAACAAAAGAAAAGGATTCAGAAAACCAGCCTATTGCCTTCAGGCCCATGCAGGGTAAACAGTAGATAATACTGCTGGTGAATTTAATAAAAGTTCACTAACGAAAGTATGGGAAAGAGTCGACCACAAATAAAAGACCGGAAAGAGATGCTTAATAAGTAGTGACAGTTAGATGAAATACCTCCCAAAACAACTCTTTTCCTGTCGGGCATTTAAGACTCGGCTTTCTTGGTAGCCTTGGTCCTGAGTTTCATCATGATAAACACCAGCCCGTAAATACCAATCACGAAGACAACAACGATCCCCGCGTTTCTCCATCCATAATACTCCTGCTGGAGGTTCAGTGTACGAAGGTAATCGCCACCCTCGGTGTATAAGCACACACGACACTCGGTGGTGGCGTCAGGGTTGAGAAGATTCGTGCCCATCCCCATCCCGCGCTGGTAGATTTCAAGATATTGATGACAGGTTTGATTGGGGGCGGGGTTGAATACGGCCAGTTCGTCTGGTTTGCAGTGAACAGGTTTGTCCCAGGTAGTGAAGACCAGCAGGGAGCTCATGAGGTAATTGAAGGGGTCGATGTAGTACATCCTATCGAAGATGGTGTAAGAAATTGCCCACACTAGACTAGCAAAAGGAAATGAAATAACTATTTTCATTTTTCAAAAGAAGAAGAAAAAAGCGACAAAAAAAGGGTGGGGGAAGCAGCTTACCAGTATCTCCAGAACGGCACAATTTGGCTGTATGGGATCATGACGCCGCAGAATGAGACTAGAGTTGTGATCACCAGAGGGTTGACAAGTGATGCAAAAACGGCGTTAGGTGTATAAGCGGCAATCATCTGTCCAATACCAGTGTAAAGACACTCGTACATTACCTGCGAGGAATTGTAAGCTGCCACATTCACGAGATAGGTAAAGGTCGTGAAAAGATGGGGTGTCTTACAACAACAAAGAACACACTGCCAGCGTGGTCTGCTGAGGTGGGAAGGCCACAAGTGAAGTACCAGCAGACATAATACAGCAATGCGCAAACAAGTAAGTAAGGAAATTCCGAGACTATAAGACCAGTCACAAACGGAGCCCAATGGTACATTTTGCTCTTCTTCTCCCGGGCCTCGAAGATATCGCGACGGTCTATGAAGAGCGGCTGGAGCTGGGAAATGACACCTGGCGCAACAAAAATAAAGTTGAAGACAGTAAAGAGGTTTTGTTGTAGGTCTGTCAATGCATCTCCAATCTTCCAGAAGGTGAAGCCATTCAAGAGCGCCAGGCTGATATGCATTGCGAACTTATTATTAAGGTATTCAGTGTTCCGGAAGAGCGAGAGGTTCATGCGATGCGTCACAAGCTTTGTTTGGGTCCACATGGAAGCTGCAAATTCATGCCCGTCGTCATTGACTGCTGCAGGTCGAGCGGCAGCTTCGGTGACCATGGTGTCTAGTTCCTTACAGAGATTATCATGTTCCGGGGACTGCAGCCAGATCTGGTTCCAATCTTTGCCCTCGCTTCCTGACACAACATCAATCATGTACTCGGCTGGATTAGCTTCAGGAGGGCAAGGGGCTCCATAACGAGCAAAGTATTCCTTCATAATATTCGCATTCTGGCCGATATCTCCAAAGTATGCAGTTTTGCCGCCCTTAGCTAGCAATAATAGCTTATCAAATTGCGCAAACAACTGAGCAGATGGCTGATGGATAGTAACCAAGACGGCTTGTCCGGCATCTGCAAGTTTGCGAAGGAAACGAATAGTATTGTAAGCTGCCTGGCCATCGAGCCCTGATGTAGGCTCATCAAGGAATATCAGGATACTCGGCTTTGCTACCAGTTCAACGGCAATAGTAAGACGTTTACGTTGCTCCACTGAGAGACCGCTGCCTGGACGACCAACAAGTGTATGTTCGAGATCGTGTAGTTCTAGGAGGTCAATAATAGTGTCCACGTATCGCAATTTTTCTTCGGTGGGTGTATAGCGAGATTGACGCAACAGGGCCGAAAATTCCAGAGCCTCGCGGACGGTAGTCAAAGGCTCGTGAATGTCTAACTGTTCGACATAGCCGGTCGAGCGTTGGAATGCAATAGGAACTGGGCGCCCATCTACCAAGACGGATCCATGAATAGTACCCGCAGTTTTTCGTTGCGCGAGAACGTCAAGAAGAGTCGTCTTTCCAGCGCCGGAAGAACCCATTAGAGCGCCCAGCATGCCTGGTTTGACATAACCTTGTACATTATCAAGAAGCACGCGATCCCCGTCAGAAGTTTTAACGGTATACGTCAAGTTCTTCCACGTGAACACGCTCCTGTTGCGGAGAAGGTCATTCCCGACGTCACTTCCTGACGTATCGGATCCAGGGTTGACGGCAGACTTCTCCGTGGCTGGTGCTTCCTCGTCTGCGGACTGCAGCAGAAGATGGTTCGACTTGTGCTGTTGCTCCCGAGGAATCAGGAGTTTGTGACCACCTTCTCCAAGCTGCTTCCACCTGGAGGTGAAGAAGACTGTGAGTGCAACGAAGAACACCCACAAGGCGCAAATGATTCCGAAGTTGCGCCACACATGACTATGGCTAAAGGACATGGCTGCGAGGTATTCGTCGCCTGTGAGGCTCGTTGCACCAGGTGCTGCGCCATTAACTCCAGCACATGACTGACTGCCCTCGATATCAAGGTAGCCAGGCCCACTGGGAACAAGGTTAGGGCCATAACATGGGATGTGTTGGTTATGAAATTCATTTCCGAGCAGAGCTTCGAATGCATAAGCCATGGGGTTGATCCAAAAAATCCAGACAAACCAGGGATGCATCAAGGGCTTGATAATCATATAACCCATGTAGACAAATAAGGCTACAATCGAGAGTCCCGAGACTTTGGTCGCTGCATCAAAAGTAGGGAAAGCGGCGCCAATCAGACGGAAGAAGCTAGTCATCGACATGGCGGTCATGAAGTTGATGACCAAGTAGGTAAAAAAAGCTGCAGCTGTAGTCTTTAGACCCACCATAAAGTAGAGAACAAGGCCAAAATGTGTTACTTGGAATAATAGCATGGAAAAGTCTATGACGATTTGGGCGATGCAGATAGCAGCTGGGTGGTACATGGCGAATGAGCGGTGCTTGGCTAGAATAGGTCTGCCGGTGAAAGAGTCGGTAACTTCTGATAGGGCAAGAAGAGCGTTGTACAAGATAGAGAAGAACAGAGCACCGCTCTTGAGGAAAAGGCCGAGCGAGTTATCGGGAGCGGAATAGAAGAGGGAACCACCGAGGAGAGCCTGGATGACTGTAGCACCCTGCTTCATAAGTAGCGTCGCCTTGTCACCCCACATAAGTTGATACTGCCTGATAACGGCAGCCTTCACTTGAGTAATCAGATTAGTAGTGAGGGGAGACTTCTCGGAAACACCCCGATGTTTCTCAAGGGAGACCATTTCCTTCAAGAAAACCGTGTTCTCCGTGGCTTCCTCGCTTGCTGGATAACTTTGACACTCTTCCAGCATTTGGGCTTTGATCCTTGACTGATTGTATGCGACAAAGATGTCACGGGCGGTACGTGGGAACTTGTCTTCATATCCTGGGGCAATGAGGCGCTCGGTAGGGACAGTTACGCCTGTCAGGAAATCTGCATGGTTGGAACCGGAGTGTCTCACAAAGCCAAGGTCTTCCATGAATGGGACAGCGTCCTTCTGGGGTCCGTAGAACATATGTTTGCCCTCGTCAAGGACAAGGACCTTATCAAAGTGCTCATAGATGCCGTTGCCTGCCTGATATAGTGTGACAATTGTAGTAAGCCCGAGGACATCGGTCATTACTCTAATTGCCTTGATCCAATCGAGTGCCGTGCTGGCATCGAGACCTCTCGTCGAGTTGTCCCAGCAGAAAACGCTCGCACGTGTGGTCAGGCATTCGAGAATGGACACACGTTTCCTTTCCCCTCCAGAGACACCCCTGATAAAGGCGTCTCCCACCTTGGTATGTGCGGTATGGGAGATTCCAACTGACTTCAGGAGGAAATCCTTTTGGAACTGGATATATTCCTCGTGCGTCTTGATCCCGGATGGTAAGCGATAGGGAACCTTCATACGAGCGGCGAAGTCGATAGTGTCCTCGACGGACAGGGTCGGAAAGAATATTTCCTCTTCTGTATTCATGATGATCTGGCCTCGATATTGTCTGGCTTCCTCAGCAGACATGTTTCCATAGCTAACGTTTCCGCTAACTTCTTCGTAGCCGAGCCGATTGTTGGCGAGTACGCTCAGCAACGTTGTACAGCCCGCTCCGGGCCGTCCAAGCACCAGTAACATCTCTCCAGGCTTAACACATCCTGATGAATCTTCAATGATAGTCTTCAGCTGGGAACCTTTGTTGCCCTTACCAAAGGGCAAAAGTTGAGAGAGTACATTCTCATTGAAGGTGGCATTGCTGCCGACACCTTTCACAGTGAGATTCAACCAGGTCACGCCGAGCTTCCTTGGCTTTAGTCCAGCTTCTTTCTCCTGATCCTTCATCTTGTGCACTTCATCTGCCATGTGCCATATACTGGTACGGAGAATGGGTGGGTTTTCTGGCTCATCCTCGATATCCGACGTATGCGATGTTTCGTCTGCGATGGTGGACTCTGTGTCGGTGGATGACGGGCTGATATTCATTTCGAGACTAGAAAGATGTGATTAAAGAAACCGAATGCATAAGGAGACTGTAAATCAAATTTCAATAATCAAGCAGAGTTACGCTGTTTTATGTAAAAACATGAGAGCAAAAACATCTCAAACGGCCGAACCTTGTTTATTCCATAGCCCTAACTCGTCCAACTACACGGGCCGATGAGTAATATAGTATGAGACTCGAGGATCCGATAATCAGTAATCATCCCGAACGACTTCCTAACAGGGTATAAAGGGGCTCCACTACATCCGTCGGATTCGACGCTCAGGAACCATCCGCCTGGTTCTCACAAAAACACTTCAAATCAAAAGGGGAACCGTGGTAGAATTTCGGTTTGATAGTCGTAATCMCCCCGCCGCCACTATGATTATTTGATCCCGTCCTAGGAGATAGTACTCAGGGCAAACAAAGAATGTGAATATTGACATGGCATCAATATAGTAGGAGCGTAGAGGAGCAGAATCAGACTAAATTCGGGCTTGTTCTGTGAGTCTTCTTGTTGAGAATGGATAGGTAAAACTATTCACACAATCGGAATGTGAGGAGAAAAATTACAGCACTGCCATTCGCTAGTAAAGGGGATCAGAAGAGGATTATTGACCTGCTGTCTATAGCCAGTATAGTGGACGTCAACTCCACCAGGACTTATGCAGCAAAGTCCCCGATTTGTGGCTCTTTGTGAACAGGCCACTCAAGTACTAGGACAGCTATAATTCCAAGTAAATATTAATGCTACTCCTAGTGCTACTATGCCAAACAGTCAAGATTTCGCGGGAACAGATTCTTTAGCTATGGACTTCTCCGACTATGGATCAATAGACTCTATAATTAATGTATTTGCTATATTACAGGGCGAGGTAGTTGAAACATTCAATTTGTCCCCACGAATTTACCGATTTCTCTGACTCGTTGTTTCTTACCCCTCTAGTAAAGTCTTTAAGACATCAGCAGGTGTCCGTTTTGGAGCAGCGAGCTCCAGAATCTCCTTGCTAGTTGTAGAAGCTGAGCATTTCCCTTCCCATGCTGTCTCGGGCGCTCGCTTGACTGAGTAGATGACTTGCTTTGATTGCTTGGTAGCCGCAAACTGGTGCTCATATATCATGTCGATGAAAGAGACGTCTTTGTAAATAACGTCTTTGACGGGTGCATCAATGTATTGCTGAATCATTTGGACAATTTGCTTTCCAGTTGTGTCCTCAGGTCCGTTTAGAATGTATTTGGCCTTGTGATGCACGGAAGTATCATCTTGGGACAAGAGATGAGCTGCAATAACACCAACCTCGTCGGGGTCGATGATCCCGACGGGTGCATCCTCTGACAGTATCAGGCGAAGGGGATCCTGCTCTCCAGTCTTGCGATACTTTTTAATCAACTCCACAGCAGGGGACAAAATCAGTGGCGAGAAGATGTTTGGTTGAAGAGACGTCCAGTGCAAATGGTTAAACTCGGGTGAGCCGAGAAGAGCCTCGATGGCCCAGTGCTGGCGTGCATAGTAGGCAGGACAATCCGGACGCACATTCGCAGCCGTTGTCGAGATCCGCACAACGTACTTGATGCCGGCATTAAGAGCATTGAGAAGGAAGGTCGACTCATGAGGAAATTGGTCAGGCTCATTATGAGATGCAATGAAGGCTCTGATAACTTGTTGTTCACGGAGCCATTCAGCGGAGATCTCCACCCAGTTCTGCTCAATCACTTCGACTCCAGGTACTTTGGCAAGCTCGCGTGCTACTGGACTGCTCGACGAGCGAGTGAGAGCAATGATGCGGATCCCAGACAGATTGCTGCTTGATTGAAGCAACTTTGGCAGCGTCCGAGCGACAGCTCGGCCAGTGTTGCCAGTGGCGCCAACGATCAGGATGGAAGGAGTCATGGTCTTCGAATTACGGCATGCGTAGTTCACGTTGAGACATTGGCGAAATACCAGAGGGTGTGAGCTAGATACTTATACCCGGGCGTTTGCCTTGATTATCCTTGGGTAAAAATCCACAAAGATGGAATTAATCAGCGGGTATAGGAGTATACAAGTCATCATTTGCTTAMCCCGCCACTGCTGGCCGCCTCCCGGCATCCCACCCAACAAATTCTAACGGTACGATATCAGCACCGTTTCCAATAACTATCCACCTAATATTAATGATATCAATGAGATAAAAGTCCCATCTTATCAAACTACTCTTCTTAGTCGTCAAAGATCTGTGCGCAATTTTCTCATGTGACACGCCTCAAAGCGTGTCCAGATTTTCCTCCAAGCTTAGGAACGGGTGGGATGCCGGTGGGATGCCGGTGAGGGAGACAAGAAGTCCGTTGCAGCCCAGAACATCCACACAAATCTCATCAGGCCAAACTTTACCGATGGAAAGTTCAAACAACGAGACCAACTTTCTTCAGAGGTCTCCGGATTCTTTTGCAGATGACGCCTTTCGGTGTCTGTTTCCCGGGTGCAATGCCAAATATCGGCGCAAGGAGCATTTGAATCGCCACGAACGATCGAAACACATCAAGCAGCAGGATTTTGTCTGTTCCAGTTGTAATCTCACATTTCCACGAAGGTATTCACATGCATACACTCACCCTCTCATAACACCGAGCCTGACTCTAGAACGTTTAAATTAGTGATACCCTTCGACGTCACACAAAAAGGCAGCACAAGACAACAGAACCTTCAAATCGCGCGCACCGAGCCTGCGCGGGTTGCCATGCCAGCAAGACTCGGTGTGAAGGGGGCATGCCATGCAACGAGTGTGTGCGTCGTAACATCCAATGTTCTTCCCAGGACCGTGCTAGAATTGCACAAGTTCAACAAACCCGATCACCGACCCCACGTTCGTCTCTGAACCATGAACTGCCAGAGTTATCCTCCTGGGAGATGAAAGAGACTTGGGTTGATCGGTATTTTGAAAATTTTCATCCGACTTGGACTTTCATCCATAGAGGATCATTCAATGTGCGCAAGGAAATCCCGTTGCTTCTACAATCAATGATGGTCATAGGCATGTGGACATCAGGAGAACAGTCTGCAAAGTCTGCGGCAGTGGAGCTTTTTGATCAACTAGACTTTGCTATTCGACATCAAAGGGTATGTCGGGACACCTACAATCTATTATGTGCCTAATTTGCTGACGAGTGAATTACAGGAGAAATGGGATGCTTCAGATGTAGAGGAGGCCTGTAGTTCCTGCTTCTGGCCAATTGCGACATACCAGGCCATCCTACTACATGTTATTTTCTCAGTTATCATGAAGGCCGATGGCGTTGTCAACCTAGATCTCAAAGCGTCTATCTCCGCCGCTGATTTAACACTACTCAACTCACTTGTTGAAAGCTGTCGAAGATTGGGCATATTCTTTTATCCATACATGCTCGCGAAGTATAACGAAGCTGACTTACCGTCATTTGTTTGGGTGGGAATTGAGGAAGCCAAACGATTCAGTGTAGCACTTTATAAGCTTTGTGCGAAATTGAGCAGCTCTGCTAAGGAGGAGAGACCTCTGATGAATGCGAGTGAACTCCAATTCCCTCTGCCAAGCAATGACCAATTGTGGAATTCTGTTGGGAGAGATGAATGGGATGCTAATGCGAAGAAGGAGGATACGGTTTCCTTGAAGGATGACCTTCAGGCAAAGTGGATTTCAAACAGTGCAGATATCTTAGAATATCTTGGTTTATAATTGTCAATTTTACTACCACGAATGGACTGAGCGCGAATGGGAAGCTGGTGACTTGGAGGCAGAAACCACTGAATGCATCTATTGATCATTAGCATCCAGCAATCTTGGATCTGTAAATTCAACCGTAATCTGGGGCATCGTTCAGGATATTAGCCAAAATCGTCCTTAACGTCGATCTATTATACGCTGGCACCGGCATTTCCATCTCGCCCTCAACCCGGCCCTGCCGTCGTACAAAGCGTTCTGGCATAGCAGTACTTGGATTTAGGCGTATAACACCTTCAGCTTGAGCTGCAGCCCAAAGAAGCACTGATTCGTACCCATGCTGTGTCCTGAATCACGGAAATGTGTAACGATACAAGCAACCTACCCGGTCAATCTTATTGAGCGAATTCTCCCTGCTTTAGAGTGCAATGACGTTGTTCCAATTGATTCTGAGGTTCATGATTACCAGATCGGAGATTGAGTTGTGGCTAGATTCCATTTGAACAGCATAGAGGTCACGTATTTGCAAGATTTGCGAATATGCACTATTTCATCGCAATGTCTTAATCCATTGCCAAAGCACCTTTGTCGAGAAGCGCTTAGTGGTCTTTTGACAGGTGACTTTGCTCTCGATAGAATTTAACGACGGTCTCTAGTTCATCTGATCTTTCTAGGTTTGCGGTCTCCGGGGCTTGTTTCGGCCAGTGTAAGTCTCCACGCCGAAGTTGTTGGGCAATACATGTCCTATATACTTATGGAATTTGAGTATTAAAATCATGGTTATTCATGCTAGCTATCTCATATTCATGAGCTGCCTATTTTGCGGTTCCGTTAGCTTTTCTGCCGACTTGTTGTCTTCAAGGGTGTGTTTGTGAACTTGCGTAACAGTAACGATAGTGCACTAGGGTCGCAGGAATGTAATAAAAAGCTCAGTCGCTATAGTGGGTAAAATTGTATCCCTCTCTTAGTCTCTTTATTATACAATCACCCAGCCTTCTTAATGTTTACTTTATGGAATCCGTAGACGGCAGGCGTATCCATTTCATAAGGATCCTCGATTGCTGCTTGTTCATTAATCGTTGATTGTTATATTGTGCTTCTTTTGAGCCCGAAACCCCGCGGAAACGTCTTTACAGCTGTGAACAGTCAACACCATATTTTCCTGCTATTAAAGCAATATTGGGTTTTTCTCCTGATTTCAAGGAGCGTAGAGCTCATATTGCTCCAAGTACGAGCTCATATTGGTCCATATTGACTAATTTCCCGCGTTATGAAGTCTTCATGATTTTTCACGAATTGGGTAAATTCGTGTATGAGGTGGGTCCGTGTATGAGGCCAAATACAGTATGCTCAGTGGGTCAGTGAGATTTAAAGTTACGCTTTAAGCCGAGACAATGAGTCAGTCACTGAATCATCGATATATGCACCTCTACTTATATCCCTGTCCTTCAGGCACTCCACGGTCCAATTGACAGTAGCACTCATGTTTACACCCATGCGGAGATGCACGAGATCCCAAGGATGAATGATCACTTGGTCGTGGCAGGCTTGTCGATCTCTGCCTTGAAACCTCAGATTGTTGGAATGCAATTCAAGCGCGAGACCGTTAATGCTTTGATGCTACCCTGATCTTCGACTCCTCCGCCAATTAGCTTCCTTGTGGTTTCATTTCTCGCTAATCATAATGCGTTCACCAGAAGTGAGACCGCACCCATGCTCGAGACGTGCATCTGTGGGTGGCTGGTCCTTACGGTCGTAGCCCCTCCATAGACCAGCCAGTCACGCAACGATATCAGGACCTTTTCTATGAAGATTTTGATCCTGAATATAAGAGGATGCACAGACTTTCTCTGGAGGCGAGGCGTGCAGCTGTTATTCCGATTTAACCGACCACTTCGGCGTCCAAGGAGGCCGAGCGAGAAGTTCTACATATATATACTTGTCGATTGGGTACCTTTTATAATGCCGTTATCATTGATTCAATCAAAAAATTCTTCTTCGGCATTGTCCTTTATACCACATATCTACAATCCTATCATGCATTCACAAAGCATTCCTGTAGATGTCTCCTGGATCGAGACAATGGGCGCATATAATGCGACTCATATCCCTCTGCCATATCTTGCAGCCATGCTGTTGGCCGTCTTGGTACTGTCAACCTACAGGCACTCTCAGAAAAACGACATTATACTTAATCCAAAATTGCCTTGGGAGTTGACAAGCAGGAGAACCAAAAAGGAGTTTATCAGTCGAGCACAGCAAATGATAGAGGGCTGGTTTAAGAAAAACCCACACAAATCAGTACACGTAATGGCGGATGTAGGGGAAATGAAAGTGCTTCCGCCGCATGTGACAGACGAGATTCGAAATGATGATCGACTGAGTTTTGGACGGTGGATCTTCGTTGTAGGTTTGTTGATATACCTCTATTTAGATTAGATTGCTAAAGGGAACCTAGGCATTTCATGGGAATATACCGGGATTCGAGGGCTTCCGTGAGGGTTCCCGAGACTCTGGCATTGTTCAAACGGTAATAATGAGGGACTTGACAAAACAACTAAGTATATATATGCTCTTTTTGTTGCACACTTGCTACGTGTTCATATTTTAACATCTATTCAACCCACAGACAAAGTTACAGAGCCCCTTGCTGCTGAAACGGCTTTTGCTACATCTCTACTATTATCTGAAAATAAAGGTATGTTTACACCTGACATGCTCAGAGATGATGGGATTAATAATCACCATTCTAGAGTGGCATTCTATTGACTTCAAGGATACAATGTTGCAACTTATTGCCCGTGTTTCCTCGCGAGTCTTTCTTGGTGACTTACTATGCCGAAATGAAGAATGGCTTAGAATAACTCGAGATTATACAACCTCCAGTTTTATTGCTGCTGAAGAACTTCGACTATGGCCAGCACCTCTCCGCCCAGTGGTTCACTGGTTTCTTCCAAAGTGCAGTGAGCTTAGGGCATTGGTTCGAAACGCTCGTGAGGTTATTCTCCCGGTACTAGAGGAAAGACGACGCCAGAAAATGATGCTCTCTCAAACTGAGAGCGAGAAGTCAAAAATTTTTGATGATGCTATTGAATGGTTTGAGACAGTCGCCGACGGAAGACCCTATGATCCCGTAGGCGCGCAACTGATACTATCTACGGCAGCAATACATACTACCACCGATTTAACTTGTCAAACAATGACGCAAATAACACTACACCCAGAGATCATAGCTCCATTGCGTAAGGAGATTGTGGATGTTCTCCAGGAGCATGGGTGGAAAAAGACAGCGCTTTTCGAGATGAAGCTATTAGACAGTGTCATTAAAGAAAGCCAACGACTCAAACCATCCTCTGTCGGTAATGCTACCCGTAAAATGCCTTATTTACCTTTCGTGATAACTAATACCTGTGTTTAAGTCTCAATGCGACGTATAGCCGTTGATCATGTCAAGCTTTCTGATGGCACCGTTATTCCGAAGAATAGCCAGGTTTGTGTTACGTCTCGTAGGATGTGGGACGGTGAACTCCACGAAAACCCAGAAAAATTCGATCCTTATCGTTTTTACAACATGCGTCAAGAGGCTGGAACCAAAGCCCAACTTGTCGTGACGACGCCTGATCATTTGGCCTTTGGCCATGGCAAGCACGCCTGTCCTGGACGCTTCTTTGCTGCAAACGAAATTAAAATTGTCTTAATATATCTCCTTTTGCGATATGACTGGAAAATAGCGGAAGGACGGACACCGCAAATACACCGAGCTGGTATATTCATCACGACAGATCCACAGCTGAAGATGATAGTTCGGAGACGCCAGGAAGAGATGGCTATTTAGGCGGACTAAGTAGTTTTATGCAACTACGAGCGGTTCTGGGACTTTGAGGACTCCGGTAAATTTCAGGTTGGGCTGAATATAAGATACGATATACGACCAAACAGATACGTGAAATTAGCGCGCACAATGTTGTACTACATTATGTATGGCACACCTATGTCGATTACTTTCTCCAGATTGGATACGCAGAAAGCAATATATTACACAGTCTTAGGCATAGGAATGGAGATGTTATGAGATCCGGATGGACACCACCACATGAGAAACGACTCCTGACAGACTAGGATAGAGTTATATATATATACATCACTAAACAAATCCAAACAATAACATACTGTAATATAGATATAATGTTATCTATATTTTATATTTCATATAACTGATAATTTACGGCAGCTTTTAATTAAAAGTAGGCGACTCTATTGAAGTCTTAAACTAAGGTTTAAACTAAGGTTTCGGTGGTGAGGCAGGAAAAGAGTCATCACTGCCGTTTGTTGGATTAGGCGATTTCGAGAATGACTGTACCTAGGTATAGGCGTCCATTTTGCTACCCCTTGCAGCAAAATCTAGTAGTAAATTCTTTAACAAATCCCCCCTTAGAATTTATTTCCCTTACATTACTTAATACAATCATTCCGGCATCGCAAATGGAAGCAAATATGGGGCGTGACATAAGTGGTGACGTTTTTGACCAAGTCACGTCGTAATTATGGTTCCTTTCCGTGGGATCCGCACATCGACAAGCCATGGTGTAGACATATAAAAGCATCGAGCCTGAGTAGTTAGCCATATATTCATCTTAAGAAGTCATAAAATAAGAAAGCCTGATACACTCTTTAGGATTTTCCCGCCAACCAAGTCACATTTCAAGGATATCTCAACCACATGCACTTTCCTTCATCACATACACATCCATAAATCTGCTACATATCAACCAACCAAAGCCACAAAATGCCAGTCCTCCCTTCCCTCAAAGACTCGACATTCAACACCGACCTCCACGACCGCCACCTAATCTATGACTACGCCGCACAAGACAGCGAGGGCAATCCTGAAAAATGGCGTTACGAAATGTGGTTCTACAATGAAGACCGCATCGTCTACGCCATCCACGGCGGTCCCATGGCGGGKCGCAAAAACTTTCAGTCTGCAACATACCAATGCATTCGACCGGGAGAATTGTGGCAGTGCAATTGGCTTGAAGAGACGGGCACGATTTGTTCGCTAGTTTATGATATACGTAACAAGAAGATTACGACATTGTTGGGGTTTTCGAGGGGTCATTGGGATCAAAATGAAGAGGCAAAGGGGGATAAGAGAAACCCAAAGGATTTTGAGAGATGGAGGGGTCTGGCCAAAGTGGGTAAGAGCCAGGCGGATAGGGTGTTGTTGAGTGAGCAGGCAGATATCTTGGAGGATTTTAGAGGGAAGGGAGATTTGGAGGAGATTGAGATGAGCTGGCCTACCCTCTGAGGTTGTTGGGACCGCTTGAATGTATAATAAATTTTCTGCGAGAAACGTCATCACGTTTATTTTACTGATACTAGATGATACTTATTTTGTAGATATCAGAAGTACATAGTCCGGAGACAGGTTTACGTAGATACTGTTGCGGTTATGAACACCGCCGAAGCCGATAGCAGGGTTGTAATCAGTAAGGCTTAAACACAAAAGCTTAGCTCTTCAAATCTAAAGAAACTTATTCTAGAATAAACCTAGTCATAGATCAAGTACCTAGGTACATTTTCATGCCCCACTATGACGGCACTGACTGAGGGCGTCATTGCCGATATAGAGACATTCATATATCTCAGCTTCGCTCATTATTCAATCTCTGCCTCAAGTGCTTCAAGAACACAATGGAACCTCTACTACCACCACCAACACTACAATATCTCTTCAGCGTTCAATGCGCCGTAGACCCGCCTGTTGAGATTGGCAATGGACCATACGGACGTCGTCGCTGCGTACCCATCACCGGCGGAACAGTGAGGGGAAAGCATCTTAATGGAGAGGTCCTGCCAGTTGGTGCGGATTTTATGTGTGCTCCTTCAACAGCTATATGATCGTATGAAGACCGATGCGCTGATGTTAACAATAGGCTTGTGGAAGAAAATCAAACCGTACATGTCAATACCAACTATGTTATTAAAAGTGACGACGGCGCGTATATCTATGTGCGGTATGCTCCCTACATACATTTAAACACAGTATTCTCCTTTTACTGACATTTGATAGAACTGAAGGTCCTCGTTCCGGGCCCCCGGAAGTGCTAACAGCTTTGATGGAAGGCGGCCAGGAAGTCGATTCCTCGCAGTACTGGTTCCATCTGCATATAAAACTTGAGACTGGTCATGAGAAGTATCAATGGATGAATAATAGACTTATTATAGCACGGGCTACGAGGATTAAAGGAGAGGTTGCGTACGATGCTTATTTTGTTGAGAACTCATAGCGTGACTATGTAGTGATTTGAGCTATCAATCCATTGTATATGATTTCGCAATGTCCGGACGATGACTGCTAGAATTAGTTAGTAACTAATATTGAGTATATGGACATTTCAGTTTCCATTCTATCTATAGGATCAGCTCACCTCATGCGACTTGTGTACCCTAGCCACCCTGAATATTCCAAGGTTAAGGGGCCAGTGTCTATACAGCAACAACATCCCTCTCCTCAACCTCATACTTCGCCTGCGCCATCGACACCGTATGATCCTCCATGTTGAACAAAATATAAACCCCTCTAATAAACGCATCCCCAAGTACCTGGAAACCATTAGGCCCCGGACTAAGCCCAAACGAACATGCCTCCTCCCCATTCACCGTCACATTCCCACTATCTTCACCCAGGTAGGGCTCAACAAGCTCACTCAGATGAATCTTAACCAATGGGCCATTGTCTCCGGGGCCAAGCTGGATGTCAACTGTTGACGTAGTATCATTCGCTGCCGAACAGGGAATTAAAGAGTATGTGAGGTCGGAATTGTACTCGCCGCCGAGACTATAAATGGCGTTTATGGAGCCGCCGGCAGGTAGAAATATCTTGGGACTGCCACAGTCAATGAAGGCGGCGCCGGAAACGGTGCTGTTGGAGTACCAGGTAGTGGAGGAGGAGTTGGTGGTGGAGTCAATGGATGAGACGCCGAGGGCTGTCAGGTTGACATAGTATTGCTAACTCCGTCAGTATATCTTTTCACTTGAGTAATGAGTAGATACTTACTACATAATCACCGACATCGAGTAAGTCGACCGTCTGCAAGTCTCCGATATACTTGGCCTGGTCATAACCACCGAACAGGATGTTACCTTGGCTTTCAAGATCGTTCAAATACAACGAGAATGCAGCTGTATTGATGACCCCTTGGTTTGCCATGGTCATCACAGTAGTATTATACTGTGATAAATTCTGAGACGATGAAAATTCCCCAGATGGAAAGCCGAGGCCCATTATACCATACAACGGACTTATTCTGTACCCTTGGTTAAAACTACGCGTTCAGCGAGATCATGGCTAGGACTGACCCATAAGAAGCATGCGCAACTCCGAATCGAGCGTTTTGAATAGTCTGCCCGCCGATGGTGATGCTGTCGGTTACCCAGTCACCAGTTCCATTTGCGCCGCTGCCATAACTATACGCGAACTCTCCAGGCAGGTCGTTGACCAAGGTGGCGCTAGCATTCACATCAAATGAGCTACCCAGACAGCCATATGAATTATTGCAGACATTCTAATACAGCCACGTCAGCCAAGCACTAGATTGAAACCTCTGTGAGAGGAAGGGAGCATACATCGTTAGCAAAAATCCACAAGTTGGAAGATCCCGTATCGATTTGAACAGTGACTTCTTGTGGAGGCGTGCCGATGGAAATGTTGACAAGATACTGAGGACCTTCGCCGCCACCGCTTTCGACGAGTGTTAATGGTAACTCGATTGTGCCTGGGACGTCGTCACGCCTCTTGTGAGTCTCGGAGTTGTGGGCGGATATGAGGGCTGGGAGAAGAAGCCCTAAAAGGGTCGCCCCGGTAGGATTGATCATCTTCAGTACTTTCGAGCAGGAAATTTCATTCAATTCGAAGAAGGCTTCGGATAATTGTAATTCATGATCAAATGAAATATGTTCTCTTATATACCTTCAAAAATGAAAGCGATCATATTTACTAAATTTGACGTTACAGGCGTCATCGGCAGGATCGGATGCCAAACGAGAAAATTAACCCTAAGCTGACAACTGCTGGGACGATGTAACTTTAGAGTAAGCATCTTGCCCAGCTTGTCGAAACGTTTCGCAAATGTTGTATTTGCGGCTGAACGGTCGCAGCGATCAAATCCGTATTTGGATTTAAATCTGTGATTTAAGAGTGTGCTGCTTACTTTGGTGTTTGATCCAGACAATTTGATTCTTCCTAAACTAGAGGTTAAGAAGCTGGGAGGCCGCTCGCCTCTCCATTTTCTTGTCTGATGAAGTATACATACAACTATTGAGAGTCTTTACCAATTCCTTCGCTTCCGGAACCCAGGCTAGACGATTGTCGGGTGACGACGAAGCAAAGTCGAGGCAGCCAGTTCGTCTATTGCACTACAGACTCGAATTCGACCACTGGCTGCCGAAACTCGATTGGCATCATTTCAAAACTTTCTATCAAGCAAGCTTTCACTGGAGCTTCCGCAACACATATGTCATAATCCTCAAAGATGAAAACCTTCTTGTTCAGCTACCGGATACTCAAAGGTCATCCCCATTCCGACTTTGCGTGACCGATTGAAGTTACGAGCACGCTTTGCATTGGCTCAATTTCTCGTCTTAGATGGCGAATGAAGAGAGCAATGCTGGGTTATGAAATGCGTTCAAACCCGAGCGAAATCGAGGTTCACATGATTCTTCCGATAATTTTCGCAATGCTACCTGTTTTTCTCCTGCTCTGTAGTCGAGACTGACCTATGATTCGAAAAGTACCCCTTTTTCAATAGAGATGAGTTGTATAACAGTATCTTATACATTTAACATTAAAATCTGTGTTGTGGTATGCTACACGGAAAAGGTCAACTGGTAGGAATCAAATTGTCCGCAGAATTATTCAAACACTCCATTGTAAGATACAGACAAAGAACAGATTCAATTAAAGAAAGGAGGTTACGCCTAACATGCATTACTCAAGGTAATCTCCTTAAGCTCTTCTCGTTTTGAAATCGGTGGCCCAGCCATCCAATAAATTTCTATATCCGTGTCTAAGTAAGAACAGCTCTTCGTATGATACTAAACGAAAGCCAGCCAGAAGCTAGAAACATTGCACATGTGTAGAAGTAACAGAGAACCAGAGAAGTAATAGGGAACAAAAGAATGTGTGTAGCAATATTCGTCTCCATTGCGCAGCAACAGATATAATAAAAGAACATCGTACATAGAACATATAGAAGAAAGGAAGATATGACAGATTCAGGACGGGGGAGGGATAAGAGGTGTTTCTTTCACGTGGTGATGAAGCAAGCGAGATATGTGTAGAAATAATTATGGAGGCGTCATCTGTCATCGAGTCGTTCAAGGTAGATAATAGACAAAGCAAGAATCGAAAGTGTATATGATTAGTGTACATGATGAGAATGTACATATCTACAGCTGCTGAAAACGCTGTGATCGATGAAGGAGCATTAGGAGAGGAAGTTGCTTATATCAGCGACGGTCTCAAGGATATAAATGTGGATACTGCGCGCTCGTTGTAGAAGTGAGATATTTTGAAGGCTGATGAATGGTGATTATCCAGATATCAGAACCCACAAAAGGAAGAAAATCTAGGAAATATCAAGTCAGTGACATCGCCATTGACCACGATGAATGAAAGTAATGGGGAACATACCATTAAAACACCAAACATCTTCGCAATGAGCCATCTATTTCCACTCATTCGTGACCAATATTTCATCAACTCGCGCTGCGCACCCTCAACATTATCGACAACATCTTCTGTATTTGCATCAATCCGCTGGATCATCTCGGATTGTTCGCTGACCATGGTCGCTAATTGACCGAAAATACCACCCAATTCATTAATGGTTCGTTCGATGGCTTCGATGGCTTCTCCTCGAGCTTGGATGTATGTGTTTTCAGGTTGAGCTTCTTCCATCATCAAAAGTTGTTGGTCAGATGCACCACGACTAGACTGGCCTAGTACAGAAGATGAGGAGGGTTCGAGTGTGAGGAGATCAGAAGTGTTGCCGCCGCCATTGCGGAACCCCGGCTGAGGTGTCCTGCTGCGAGGTGCGCTATACAGAGGCGAATCCGATCGCTGAGGATCGAACTGTGTATGGCTTTTAGATGATACGGAAGATACGAAATTCTCTGTGCGTGAACGCGATGCTTGGATATTCTTGGTGCGGACTTCTAGCACTTCCTTGAAGTTGGCGCCTACGTCCGCAAGTTTGCCTTGTAGCATGACGACGACATTGTCATTGTGTTCTCCCTCTTGATCCGTTTTGTTTCGGCTTGCTCGAGGGTGCTGGGATAAGGTGAGAGCCTGTAATTGTGCAATTTGTTGATTGAGTGATGCGAGGTCTTGTTTGATGACGTAGGTTAGTTCGGAGATCTCGACGGGTTTGTCGTCGAAAAGCGTCTTGCGCTTGGCCACTGTTTCGATTGAATTAGTCCAACTCATCACTATCATGAACATTTAACCGCTGATACTTACACTCTGCCAAACGCTGCAATTTCGCTGTTGTGCCAGTAATCCCTCGACCAATCTCGGCCGCCCTCCTGGCAAACTCCGACCTCCTCTTTCCTGGGCCTTCTGGACTTCCGTTTGCTTGTCGGCGTTGTGAATCTGAAAGCAGTGCCTGACGCTGAGCGCCGACTTTGTTCGAAGCCATCCGCTTCTGGGCTTGCCCAAGAATGGACCGGAACTCAGTCGTCCGGTCCTGTATCGAGGCCATCGTCATTTTGAGGTCTGTCTTCTTGTGCGGCAAGCAATGATATCGAGTTGGTTCGCACTCGCGTCAAGGAAAGCGTATGTACCTATGCCGATTGATATTTGGCAAGGAGGCGACGAATCGAGGCGCAGCGAATAAGATACGTGGTCGCCTTAGTATGGCACGGAGTTCGAGGCAATTGGCAATCTCTGCTTCTGGTGTATAGGCGAAACAGTTCAATAATTTCTATGCCTTGCGAAAGTCTTCATGTGAGAGAATCAGGCGCTGATATCGAAAGGGAAATGTATGTCGCAGTTCTTCACGGGTCAACCCCGTACGGAGTAGGCAAACTTGGCTTGATGGCTGGGCATCCGAAAATGGCTTAGTGGCCCACTCATGTCACGTTTCATGTTCAAGCGCTGATTGGCTGGCAGTCGACGCACATGGCTGCTAAGCCGGAAACGGAACAATCTTTTATTTCTTGCCTCAAATTCAAGGCACCAAGCTCACGTTACTCTATTGTGTCTGTCCCTACGATAGACCTCTGCTCAACTCATTGGTTATTATATTGATAGGACGAATATATTATGCGATTATCCATTTTATTTTTGGTATGTAGGGACATGTTCCAATTTCCATAAGAAGCATAACCCTATCAACATTTCTAAAGTGTTCGATATAGATCCGCGGCGAGCGGCCCGCCGTAACACATGCATGCTTCTGCTTCCACCCCTCTCAAATCGCCCATTGTCCTACCTGACCGTCTTTCCCTACCTCTCTCTCTGACTATTACTGCTATCATAATCCAGAACCGTGTTGTCCTTTCGCCAGTCTACAAAAATCTCGATTGTGTGACTTTTACTCGGCCGGAACGTACCCATCCATCCAACTCGCCGCGGCTGTGGGGTAAAGCATCCAAATCTTATCGGAACGCCAGTCGCGAGACAAGACCGACCACCGTCTTCCCACGTCCCCTCAGCGTCTTCGTCTTATAATATATCCATGGCCGATTTTATATTATCCCTATTCTATTCCTCATGAACCACGACTCGTCTGTCGCCCAAAATGGGTCGTCAGTCAATGGCGCCGCGAAACTCCCCTCCGCATCCGACGCCCCCCGCACCCTCGAAGAAGTAGCCGTTGACCTTCGAAGAAAAGTACTTGATCTGTTGGAGTTACAGACGGACGATGAATTGTTACAAAATGTACAAAATCAGACTCGCATATCTATGAGGGTTATTGAAGATTCATTTGAGCGGTATGATTATAAGTATGTTGGAGCATCACCCGAGGCAATTGTCCAAGGGTGACTGGCTAACTGGATATCATCCTACAGAATCGAAGAATTGTCGCTTTCATATAACGGCGGAAAGGATTGTCTCGTTTTATTGATTCTGATTCTGGCCTGCCTCCCGTCGCCGAAATTGAAATTCGCGAGTTTTCCGCAAACCCTCCAATCCATATACATAAAATCATATGAGTCATTCGACGAAGTCGATGAGTTCGTGGACACTTCCACGAAAGAATATTCCCTCGACTTAACTCGCTATGTGCTCCCCATGCGCGCGGCACTAGAGGAATATTTGAAGGAGAAACCGAATATCAAAGCCATATGGATTGGAACGAGGCGAGTCGATCCGAATGGTGGACACCTTACGCATTTTGATCCTACCGATGGAGATTGGCCTCGTTTTATGCGGATACACCCTGTTATTGTACGTTTTATCGATATATGATGAAATTTCTCTGTGCTAACAGCTGATCTAGGATTGGCACTATGTTGAAATATGGGCCGTAAGTCGTTTTACTGCATAAAAATCGTCATCTTGCTAATACGGCGTAGTTTATTCGCCATCTAGGGTTGGATTATTGCCCTTTGTACGACAGAGGCTATACGTCGCTCGGAGGTAAAAAGGATACTGTTCCCAATCCTGCCCTTGAAGTCCCAGGTCAACAGTCCCAATTCCGACCGGCCTACGAACTCAAAGAAGATAACGAAGAGCGACGAGGCCGTGAGCGATGAAAGCAACCTCTCGATAAGCGTCACGTCTTTTGATCTATGTATAGACAGTGGATCAGGGGGACATTGGTCGATATCTCGATGACAATTCGTCCTCCCTAGCACAGTATAGAGCGAGACATGGAGCATATTTTGTACGCGACTTGGCAGCAGCGAGATTATTTGGGATTTGGATCCAGCATAGAGGATATGGCCTCCAAGTCATAGAAGACTCATTCATAGCATATAATAGATGGTTATGACTTGTTTAATTCACTCCGTTGTCATCGGTATTGAGGATACACTAGCACGTGCAATCAACTAGCGAGCTGGCTAGAGGAACCCTCAGGAACGGCAACCATCGGCGTTTTTCTTGACAACCCCTATATGTACTCCAAGGAGTCCTGGCAGGCTAGCTCTACTTTTTTCAAGATGAACAGTCCAATCGCGTGGAAAAATGCTGAATGCTTGATAGCATATCGGTTGAAATGTCGGATTGAGAAGGAGGCAGGAAATGTCTGGGATATTGGCCGGACTAAAACAGTATGTGTCGCATGACTATTGTTAGCAATGCATTGAGTAGTGCGACATCATATCGGAAAGCACACGTTTGTCTATAAAGTATAAAATGATCTTTTCGTTAGAGCGAAATAATAATACGAAGGTAAAGTTGTCTGTACCTGATGGATGATGATCTGGATACTATGACACCCCGACACGCTTAACCACAACGAGACCGACCCGTGGCTGAGGAAGTGGCGACTGGTCCACCTTAAGGCTTCCTCGTTCCCCCCGCTGCGCCTTCCCTGGTAAAGTTCCAAGGTTCGGCTTTAAAACTTCTCTAGTTATTACCTTCAAGAAGGTTACCTCCGAGCAATAAGGAGACTCTGCTTTTCTTTTCGTGTATTATTGACTTCATCATACTCTCAATCCAAGTTATTGTACATTTCCTTTCTCTGTATTGAAATTCTTTCATCTATTGTCTGAATCTATTGCCCGATCCGTCTTCCCTACGTACCTCGACCCGCCGAGCAACGGCCTAACTCGTTTGGTGGAGCTCGGATCTGCGATTGGCTTATTCCAGTTGTTTCACCTGCCAACTCTGCTGCAAATTGACAACGACAACAACATCGTCTGTCTGGCCTGCGCAGTCTTCCTTCAGTGCATAGTTTAATATTATGCTCTGAACGATAAATTTTATTCCTGCATGTTGTTGTCGTCGAGGTTGTTGTATAGTATTCCAGCGACGAGTACATAATGTCGGGTCCATACCGGCCTGGGTACGTATGCTCCCAAATTGTCGCGCATTACTTGTGCTATATGCATGTTAATTCCTACTTGATAATAGATATCCCGGAAATGCAGGAACACCATTGAGCCCTGCTTCACAAGCGAATCAGCCAGTCTCGTTCAAGACCGACATTAATCGCAAAAAGACGAAGAAATGGGTAGCCGCGAAGTCTTATTCCTACGACGGCGATGACTGGGGGGAGGATGATGATGAGGAGGACGAGGAAGAGGACGAACTAGAAGAAGTACCCCCGATGCCAAATACGTCACGTTTCGTTCCTGCCGCTCAACAATCAGCACCGAATCCTGTTACGCCCGCAAACTCGGCCATCGATTCTACGCCAGCACAAGCGCCAGCTTTTGTCCGACCTGTAGACATATATAGACGAATGCAGGAGGAGAAAGAAAGGGGAATCGCATCGGACGACCTTTCTCGAACAAATACTGTCCCTACAGAAGGTGCGACCGCGTCTTTTGCTCCTACTCCCGCTGTTCATCAAGATGCAAGCCAAAACTTGCCACCGCAACAATCAGTGGAAGACAATGCGCGCTCACCGTCGCCATTAGTCATACCTGAAGTTAAGCGTCTGTCTGGGTTTGGACAAGACTTCTTTGGTGGCGCGAACCAACCCGAGCAAGCCGCGCAACCTACGCATGGTCCGGAAGCCCAAGTGGCAGTTCAAGGTTCGTCTTTGCATCATATTCCATCTCTCGGCTTTACCTCTGTCGTTCATCAAGCATTCGATGCGGACGAAACGCCAAATTCCAGTACTGGAAGCTTCAGTCGCTCGAATAGTGATGGCACGTCTGTCATCAGCCCGATCATCAGTCCGTGGAAGTCGGAGACTGACAAGACACCTACTATTGCAGAGGATCCTACCGCGGAAGCATCTGCACACGAGCCACCTGCAAATTTTAAACCAGGTCACCGGCGTGACCTGAGTGTCCCATCACCAGGGAACGGACCAGATCGAATTCCAGCGCTTGCCAATGCTGAAGAAGGCGCCCCCGCGGAGGTGGTTCGATCGTCATCTCAAGATAGTTATTCTTCGTCCGAGTGGGATAGACCCGAGTCTACAACTGTCAGAGAGCAAACTGGGTCTGGAGAAGCCACACCTCGTCCCTTGTCGGCTGTTCAGCAGGGTCTCGATCACTTGAGCCTAGTTCCTTCAGCAGAGAGTGCTGTCCAGCCGTCAAGCGAAGAGACTCAACCACGCGTACCATCACCACTGCAAATACCCGAAGAACAGCCACATCACATTCCACAGATCGTACCACCCGTGAGTATCGATCAATCTCCTGTTACGGAAGCTTCTCCGCATGATATGGAGAGTGATCGTCTTCGAAAAGAGATTATGCGCTCTTTCAGCGGCGACCACACACCGGGTGTTGTTCCTGCGGAACTCCCACAGGAGACTGAACCCGAGGCGCTTAAATCACGGCCTCAACATGAAAGTACATATTTGCCAAGTGAATACGACAGCTATTGGGGCGAGCAGGGAATCGCTCCCACTAGTCCACTGCAGGTCAGATCTGCTACATCGCCCTCTGAMCCTGCCACTCTCGTTATAAACCCCCAGTCAACTGAAAATGTTCCATCCAATGAACCTGTGCCCAGCTCTGCTGCATCCAAGCCACGTCAAAAATTGAAGAAGAAGTTCTCATGGGAAGAATCTGACGATTCGGAGGAAGACGTTCTTGAAGAACCCGACGTCTCTGCGCCATCAACTCAGCCCCTGCAGCCGCCGCCAGTTCCAGTCGTGGCCCCGGAAGAAGAAACTGCGGATAGTATCCCATCTTTCCATGTAAGCCAGAGTTCTACCGGAATAAATCCAGAAGCCTTCGGCAATCCAGACATTCAGCCTTCCTTGCCTGAGTATCCCTCAGCTGAGAAGGAAGTTCTTGAGCAACTCGAGCAGCAAGCAGAGCAGCCCCAAAGCAACATTGAACATATCGCATACATTCAGGAACCGGAGCCTTCGCCTTTCGGTGAAATTGAAAACAGTACCATTCCGCCCCCAACGCAGCCTGTTTCTGCTCCAGTTAATGAAGCATCACTCCCAACTTTCCGTAAGATCATGGAGATTTCATCGCCTGGCGAAAAGATACAGGTATTCAACGACACGCGAGAGCAATTTGCGCATATTGATAGCGGTTTGTCCGACTGGATTCGGCGCTCGAGTGAATCTCTTCCCGAACATGCAGATCTGATCCAAGCAAATGGTCGTCTACCTGGCGGTGCACCAACCAGCGGTTTGCCTCCACGGGCAAAGTTTCCTAAACTGTCGTCTCTCGGGAACCTGTCATTGCCATCTACTTCATCACATGGCTCAGATGGCTCTTCTTCTGGATTCACTCCTGGTCACAACAGGCGTGGATCAGGCTCGCCTAGTACCGGTGCCATCAACAGATCGAATGTTGAATCTAAAGGAAAGGACTTCCTCCATAGTGCTGGAGCGCTCGGTGGAAAAGCTGGTGGAAAGGCTGCCGGAGCCGCACGTGGATTATTCGCCAAAGGCAAGAGCAAGTTGCGAGGAGCCGACAAGGTAGATTAATTTTTTTCTCTTTACTCCATATCTTGTTTATTCATCACCTTAATTTTGATGATTTTGGCTTTTTTGGGCGATTCTCATCTCGTTCTCTCGTCTCGCTTTTGCGACGAGTCGGTCATGTTAGCACGTAGTTCAAGGTTTTGGCCAACATGACTGGAAGCAGATTGTTTCCTCTGATGTATATGTACCTTCAGCTACACGAAATCTCTAGTCTATACGATTCTAATTCGGGTTTTTTCTTGTAGGGAATGTCGTCCATATTCCGTGCCCAGCGGAGTCAAAGTTGGGCAGTGAACACTACTGGCTCTGATGCTCAATCTTCTGACCTAGAACTTGACCACCACCCAGAACCTGTCAATTTTTCGGTTTCTTCGCGATATTCACTACAGCCCGTTCCTCGAATCCCATCATTGAGACTAGGTGATAGTAAATCGTTTAGAGACTCGTTTGATGGTGACGAGGTCTTTTCGATGCATGCGCGATCTTTCTCTGCTGATTTTGGTGGGAGGATGAGATCACTTACGGAAGGACAGACCATTGCCTTCAAGCCGGAGAGGGCTAGCTCATTGAGAAGGACGATGATATCTTTTGACAGTGATGCTGATGAGAGTAGTAAGGCTGGGGAACCGTCTATTGTGCAGGACGGCCTTTCGATTGCGACGGCTTCACATGATGAGAGTAACTTGGAGAGTGTAGAGGAAGTGGACACTCCTGTCGTTGCGACTGGCGATCATGACACGAAAACTACTGTATTTGAAGAAAACCCGAAAAATAGCTGGATTGATATTAGTGAATCGCCCCATGCAGCCGCCGATGTCATGCATACGGACGGATCTAGTTCGGCGAACAATATCGGTGATTATCCCGGAACGAATACGAGTAGTCAAGAACGGAATTCTCCACCACTCGCTGTCTCGCTGGAAGTTTCACCAACTTTGAAACACGAAGCGTCGCAGTCAGACAGTCAGGTATCGCGATTGAGCGAAAATAATGATGTCCTTGATGCAGCATCCCCTCAACTCACCATCAAGCCTGCGATGCAACGACTCAATCCTGAAATAGTGAATTCGACAAATGAAAGTTATCGTAGTCCGGTGTCGCCTCCATTGCCTCAAGATAGGAAATTGAGTATACCGGAGCCGGTGAATCGACGAGATTCAATCATCTCGCAAATATCAGATATTAGTCAAGATGAGATGGATCGGATCCGTGAAAAATTTGACGAAGACGGCATTTACGCAGGACTTAGGGAACCATCACCCACGCGATCTCAGGTCTCGGATCTTACGGACGATGAGGATGATGATGATGTCGACGATGCCATAAGAGAGAAGCTAGACGAAGCTGGTTTCCATTCCGATCCGGAAAAGGATCAATTGGGAAACTTTCCTCGCCCGCCAACTGCCTCCTCAAATCAGCAGCCTTTACGTGTTGTGAGAATGTCAAAATTCTCTATTGATAAGAAGACCTTACAAAATACGGAAGAGGAGACGAAGCGGTACTCTAGATTTTCGTTTGAGGGCGAGGGTAACACCCTTGCGGAGGCGGCAGAGGAGATGCTTGTTAATGGACATGCACGACGCTCGGGGCAGATTGACCACCCTAGTCAAGATGCTAGAGTAGAGGAATCTCAAGTTCCTGTAACACTGTGTGAAGACGCACCGGATGAGGCTCCGCCTCCCTTCTCTGATAATGAGGCTGAATTTGGCGAAGACCGCAAGGAGCAGCAACCTCAACAACAAACTCCAGTGTATAATGATGGTAATCCGGATTCCCGCGACAGAAAATTTCTGCGAGCTGAAGGCGCCCAGAGTCCGCCTGGATATCGACCCATTCAGCCCCTACCACCGTCGCATATCGATACTCTGTGGAAGACGGGCAGATTACAAGATCTGCGCACAAATCGCGACTCAATTGCGTCTTCATCTGTGTCTTCCATGAGCAATCCGAACATCAACCAAAATGCTCCTAGGATGACAGTATCACCTGAACCACCAGTTACTGGACCTCCTCATAGTCAACAGCGCTTAAGTCACAACGCCAAACCGACTCAGCCACAAAACTTACCGCGCATCGACGATGTCACCGGATCTGAGAGACCGGGATGGTCCATGTGGGCGAACCGCGGACGACACCAACCATTGCAGCAGCAACATTCTTCCAACAACGGATCTGGCTTGAGTCCCCCATTGCCCTCTGGTAGCTCCTCTGGAAGACGTGACGGGGATAGCCAGCATAGTGGCGACAGCATGGCAGTGCAGGCTGCTGCTTCCCGTCAGGACTTGCGTACGACGCCGTCGCCGTTGATGAATAGTAGTGAGACTGCTTCGGAACAATCTAATCATGCTAGAATGTCTACACAGATACTGAGTAAGGTGAAGTTGATGGGGAAGAGGACTAAGGGTGCTCCGGCGCCTGCGAGTGTGCCACCGTTGGAGGTGGTTGAAGCTAAGCCTGTTGAAAAAAGGAAGGAGAAGAAAGCTGATGGGAAGAAGGGGGCTTTGTCTAGATTTGGGGTGAGTGTTTCAAACTGGGTCTTTTCTGTTCTGTGGCTGACTATCTCAGGGTATTTTTAATCGTTCCGGTCCCAATCAACGGCCTGAGGAGACTGCTCAGCCTGGCAGAAACTCTGTAGGCAATGAAAATGCATGGGGAAACGCCGGGTATCCAAGCTATCCGCCAGTGACAAACAATCAGCAACCCTATATGGCAACAACAGCATCGAGCCGACATAGCTCCATGCCAGCACAAGATAAAGCACTGCCACCTCCGCCAGCAGGATATTATGCTCCGCCTTCAAAGCCTGTCTACGAACCGCCAGTCAACTACGCGAATCAGAGTCATCCGCAGTATGGGAACGCTTATGAGGGTGGATATCAGCTTGCACCAGCACCAACACAGTATGCACCGAGCAATGGGCAGTATGGGTACTATTCATCGCCGCCGTCTCAGTCGCCCCCTTTCCAGTCTCAACAACAGCCACAATCTGAAACGGCGCAATATGCGCCAAGCAATAATTACTACGCGCATCATTCATCACCTCCTCTCCAACCTCAACCACAGCTAGAGCAATACGCGCCAAGCAAAGAACAGTATGCATATCACTCACCTCAACCCCAACACCAACTCTCCMCCTCCAGCCGGTCCTACAACAACATCTCCCCAACCCTCAATAGCAGCAACAGCCGCGCCTCAAACGCCTCCCCAGAACTCGAACAATCCCGCAGCCGCGCTCGCGATTTGCGAATGCGTTCCCGCAGCCCCCGACCCGCACAAATGCGTGCGATAGGATCACGAAGCGAAAACGTCAACTACGCCGACCCAGCATACAATCTCGGCAAATTCCACGCTGTCACAGAAACGCCGCGTATTGGCGACCAGTCACTCCCGTTTCCGATTACACTTCCGGACGACTTGGCGAATGGGCAGTTGTCGCCTCGGAGTTCGATTCAGCCCGAATCGTCGATTTTCTATAATCGGAATAGATTCTCTGCTGAAGCACAGCAGCACAATGCGGGATTGGGATTGAATCAAGCAACGCAAATGTCTATCGCGTCTGCCATCGCTGGTGCTGGCCCTACCACCATCACACCAATGCCCGGACCCAATCCTACTACACAAACCAATAATAACCGCGGTCTCAATTCCGAAATCTACGAAACCAGACCCGTAATCGCCAAAAATTCAGTTCCCGTTGAACTTCCTGTGCCCAACGATCACGATGAGGAAGAAATCGTCATGTCGAGTACCGCATACCCAGGACAGGAATGGCAACCTGCTGGGTTTGAGCAATGGATGCCTTATTAGTCCCCCTCTGTTTTTATCCTTTCAATCTACTATTCATATATATACGCTTTATAATATTCCCCCTGTTCGCAAACATCGGGACCTTTTGTTTTGTTTTCTTGTTGGACAAAAAAGATGTGCGAGATACCCTATTTCTTTCTTTGTTTTGATTGGCGTGTTTCATTCTTGTATTCTTTCGGGTTGGATATGGATTTAATTTTGGCATGTTCTGGAAGTGCCCGAACATTTATTTTTTTGGTGGATGTTGACATATTTTATTCGATTCTTGGAGGATATAGGTATTTTAGGTATATACACAATCGTGGATGGGAGAATTATAGTCCTCAGCCGAGAACCTGGAACCATCGAGTAGGAATATAGCAATAGCATAGAAATATCGTGGATAAATTGGAACGTCAGAGTTCCTCGCGGTATAGGGCTTTTTGTTCGTTACCTTATTTATACCAGTTTTATCCCTGGCAATATCTCTCTGTCCATGTCAGATGCGTAGGATTAGTATGGCATGTAAGATATAGGTAATAACGTCTATTGTGTAGTGTCAGATTCAATGGTGTCGTCAGATTGGGGGTGGATGAGAGATCTTGGTAATTGGATCGTAGTATCACTATGACAGCAAGCTTGGTGGTATCAGTTGAGACGGTGAAGACACCTGTAGCTTAGGATTTGAATCACTACTCACCAATTCGACACCATGATGAGGCCTTGTACTTGGATCGACATCAAAAAGGAGGCTTTATGCTGAGAACCCGATTCTATATTTGTGAAGGGGCCTTGCATTAGCGAAACTGGTATTTGTTCATCAGATTTGATTTTAAGATGGCAATTTGTGTGCGAGATCAGAAGCCTCGATCTGTATGTAAACTTGATGTGCCGGAACTTATTGTAGCGATGCCATGGGCGTTTTGTCAATGCTCCAGAAGATTTCGAGTAGGTATTTATCGCGCTGAATGGACGGACAGAGACAATTTTAGCCCCTCCCAACACATGCCACTTAGGTAGGCTAATCCTGGAATGGAGGCTTTGACAATGCGGCTCATGCGCTGTATAAAATGAGGGGCATTTCAGCCTGATGCGCACACCGATTTCTGAATGTCAACCCGCCCATCACTGATTGCAGTGCCTCAGCAAAAATGGCTCGACTTCCGGGCAGCTCACCAGATGATAAGCTCACTGTGCTCTGGCGTTCTGCCTGCGAAGAATACGCCCGAGAGACTGGCACTGCGATCGTCGATGAAGCTTTCCCTCGTATTTTCAATCCCGAGGATCTTTCCCGTCAACTAGACGCCGAAAATGGCCGTTTTCAGGACTTTCGTACAAAAAAGTCATCGCTCTTTCATGCTATTCAAATGGTACTGTCCCCCTTTGAGAATTGGGGAGACGTGATTACCGATGCGGTTTCCGCGAGTTTCCCACCTGCGTCCTGCATCATGGGGGCCATGATGCTTCTGATTCGAGGCGCGCGCAAAGTAAGCGAATCGTTCGATATGTTGACGGATTTGTTTTACAAACTTGGCAATTTCTCGTTGCGTCTGGAATCGTATAAAGGTGTTCCGTTGAGCGAAGGGATGAGGACTATTATTGTCAAAGTTCTGGTCAATGTTTTTCGAGTTTGCGCGGCGTCACAAAAGCTGCTTAATCGTGGATCTTTAAGGACGAGAGTCACAAAATGGGCGAAGAATGTGTTTGTGGACGATACATCGATTAGTTCTTTGCTCGGTGAGCTGGAAGAGTTGACCAGTCAGGAACATAAAATGGTTTCTGCTCATGGGCTCGCTCTTACAAACCAGGCGCTTAGAAATACTGCGAAATTGTTGCAACGAGACGACGAAAGAAACGACCGCGAGAGACTGGACAAATTGAAAAAGGCTCTAGATCCCGTCTCTGCATCTGGCCAGGTATTTTCCTCGATCAATGAAAGTCGAATGCCAGGATCGGGTAGCTGGGTAGAGGAAAGGATTAGATCATGGTGGCAGGGATCCGAATCTCTGCTCTGGATTCATGGTGGTCCTGGCGTAGGCAAATCATACATGGCTTCGAAAATCATCAACGACCTCGCAAAGGCAGAAACTTCCGCCGGATTCCCGCCGATTGTCGCCTCTTTCTTCATCAAGAACAACGATGTCGATCTGCGTTCATTGAATAAAGCGTTGAGAACTCTGGCATGGCAAGTAGCTGTTCGACAGTCGAGCTTCGCGGCGCATGCTGAGGAGTATTGCTTGAAAGAAGACATAGCAAATAGCTACGACGTTTGGAGGAAACTCTTGCTTGAATACTTCAGCAAGTTTTCACCAGATGTCGGACCCTGCTGCTTTGTCATTGATGGTATCGACGAAGCTGATCCCGAGGAGCAAGAGATACTATTCAGTCTGCTAGAAAGCACACATTCAGCAGAGGATGAAACTGCACCAGTTCGAGTTATATTTCTAGGCAGGGATTCGATACGCGGCGTCCTCGAAGAACACAATCTGGACTGGATTCCAGAAATCGAAATCAACAATAACCAAAACAAAGACGATCTCCATAGATATGTCTCCCAAAAACTTCAGAAAACTAAATTGTTCCGCGATGCTTCGGACTTTCAAGATGAGGTCATACGCGAAATATGTGCGCAAGCAGAAGGTCTCTGGGAATGGGCAAACCTCGTCATCAAATCTGTCACGCGCTGCCGGACCAAAGAGCAAATTCGGAAAGTGATTCGGACAATCCCCCGAGGTATTAGTGCAATGCTGCATGCGGAACTACAGCGCTTGGGAAAAGAGTTGTCGGTCTTGGACGCGACGTTGAATGACTTGGCTGATGAGCTTTCGGACAAGGAAGGAGCATCTGAGAAGGTAACGGCCACACGAACTCAACAGCTCAGTATCCTTCTTACAATTGTGACGAAAGCTAGAAAGCCGTTCTCTGTAGATCAGCTCGGCTACATATTGGAGATTCTCCTTGACGAGGAGGTCTTGAATCTTGAGGATGATCTTCATAAAGTATACTCGTCTCTGTTCTCGCTCCGACCCGCTGGGTACGATGACATAAACGAAGGTGCAGACAAGAATTCAATATATGTAACTCTGCGTCATAGCTCTTTTTACGAATTCTTCAGCAAATCTGTGGCGGTTGGTCCTATCCATGTTGATTTAGACCAAGCCGAGGCGTTATTCTTATACGTCTTACTACATACACTTTCGAAGCGACGCACTGAACCAATGACAGAGAAGCTATGGCATTTGAACCAATATGCACAAAAATTCTTACCTATGCACCTATCGAACGCAAATCCAGAAACGGCAACGAATCGAGAAGATATAGCCCGTTTATTTGAAACTCTCTTCACGGAGGAGTTCACATTCAACCCTGTACGTGAGCACTGGCTCATTGAAACACATCAAACCGTTCACCATACTCGATACATTCTTTACCCATCGTCTAGTCCAACAGACGTTGCACGTTACTGGTGGGATAGTCAAGTTCGGGAAACGGCAAATGAGAGGGCAGAGTTGGTCTTTAAATGGCTCGCTCCAGAATCAAAACAGCTCTTGCAGGATTGTGCTCGATCGTCATCGGTAGCGAGTGATTATTGTCCTTTCACAATTCTTTTCTCTCGTTTGGCCGAGTCTTTCTCCCGGCATTGGCTGGTGCCGAAAGACATAGAAGTGGACGACGGCACACCAGGAACCCTCTGCACCATGCTTTTAGTATATCATCAAATGGCAGGCACAAAATTGTCAAGCTCAGAGGACAGAACAGCAGGACTATATCGCTTTCATGACCATTCTAATATCCTAGAAATTGCCGAGATACAGTGTCTTGAGAAGACTCCCATCTGGCATGCAAGAGTCGCCCAGGCGATGCTTCACCATCATGCGTACAGTGCAGCCCTTGAACAGTTTCAAAGCTCTCTCGATAAGAATAATGAAACCCCTATCCTGAGCGAGCCAGCGATAGCAATCATTCACAGGGATATGGCTCGTTCCTGTACCGAGGTTGGAAAATATAAGGAGGCACTAGAACACTCGAGTCTGGCCGAGTCGCTGCAAGAAGAGGACTCCGGGAACATTGGCGACAAGGTCGGCAAGCTGCTCAATCTCGCACAAGTAGAATACTATGCGAAATTGACAGACAAAGCTATTGCTACACTGGAGGAAGCGTGGAAAGTATTTGCGGGACAAGAGGTAACGTATCGAGATTACTATTCTTACACTGCGTTCTTTTCGAGCTTTTTCGAGTTTCATCAGCCGCATCGAATTCGACCTGCCTTTGATTTTGCGTTGACAGATCTTCGGGGAATGCAGTCCACCGAGAACGAGATGGATGATTTTATTGCTCGCCTCCTGGATATCTTTACGTTACCCCGTATGTTGTACAGAGTTTTCCAGTGCCTGTTGATGGACGACGATAGAAAGTACATTGACCTTCTTGTCTCGATAAATACCTGGCTGGATTCAAACCCATTTAGAAGAGTCAATCGCCCCGCGGAGGCCAAGTACTACCTCGGTTCACTGATGTTCGAATATGGCTTATTCAACCAAGGAATTCGAGTTTGGTACGAGCTTAACTTTCTCACACCGGGGGAATACGACTTGTGGAGTAGAGAAGCTCAGCCACGATCGCGAAGTCGCCTAGCGGGTGTGTGCCTCTACCATCCAGATATTCCGTCATATGAAGAAGCTCCTCTGTTATTGGATGAAAGCGACGAATCTGGTGACATCTGCCTGTTCGTCTCGAGTTGGCTACGGGATCACGATGATGCTGCGAACGCTCGCGTGGCTCTTCGCGGTCGAGTGAAGAGTTTTACCAAGCAATTTCCGAACGACCGCGACTTTATTGATGATATATCGCTTATTGGCCTTTTCAACACATTCTTGATCGCTACTGATTGTGATGAAGATCTAAACGAAGCCTTGTATCTACTTAAGGTCGGGTACGAGGAAATAAAGAAAAGAAATAAAGAACATCTCAGGTTAGAGACTGCGGCTGTAGCTCAAGACCACAAGGCAATCAGTGGGCAACACGGTGACTCTGAAAATGCTAGCCAGTTGCCATCTGCCGATGGTGAAACACAGGAAACAACTGAAGAGGTCCCTGAAGATCAAATTTACCATATACTCGATGATATCAGCGAGTGTGCCCATTGCAAGTGCGATTTCTACTCTATATGTCATTGGTACTTCTGTCGTTCTTGCCCATTAATGAAGCTGTGTCGACGCTGCTACCGCGATATGCAGTCGACTATTTCCAATGCAGATACTGCCAGTCATTTCCAGGGCATTTGTGATCCTCGGCATGAATTCTTTTATAGCGGCCCGCCGCTTCGGCCGGATGAATGCGTACCTGAAGGCTTGATGGTCCTGCAAAGTCCTGACGGCGAGAAACAGACAATAAATATCGGAGAATGGAAAGAGAAACTGTCGGAGAAGTGGGAAACAGCGGACTTTGTATTCGAAGGTGGACTGTCCTCTTGGTGTATGCAAGTATTGCCAGAGCCCCAGAGATCTCGGTGGGCTACCTTTTTCAAGACGTAAATCCCGGTCAGTAACTTCTGCTGTATTACAAGGCCGACTTCTGAGATCAGGACCATGGTCAAGACGGAGTTTGACATGATACGTAATTAAACGATTATGGAAAAGACAAGATTGAGCCAAGTGATCACCGACTTCTCCGGTCGAATTTACATGTATCTAAGTATAAGTAGAGGTACAAAGGACATCAAATACCACAGCATTGAAGAATTGATTATGAGTGGAGGCATGAAAAGGAGATAGAAAGCCTGATTTGAGAGTGACAATTACTCTACACGTCGCCGAATGATCCTCCACTGCTTTTCAGTCAAGTCACAGGCGCTATTCAATTCGAGCTGGTAACTGTCGACGACATACCGGGCAAACGATAACATTTCAAGTCGATCAGCCGCATGGCCAACATCGACGTAGCCTCCGACGAGCCCACCGAACCCATATGTTCCGCATTTTCCACAAGGCCAATACCAAGCCCCTTAACATTGACTAATTTCTCGGTCAAATCGATTTGCATACTTGTGCCTTCCTCCCTGACCCTTCCATGGGATCGTAACTCCAGTACGTCGCCCACGACACTCGCGCTCATACCTCCGCTATCCGCCACAGCAAGATATGGCTCCAGTTGAACCATAGAAGTTCGCCAGACGTATCTCACCAAAGACTGCCCCTCTGGTCGACACATCTGTTCCACCGGCGGGCTCGTGAAAACTATAATGAGCCTACTAGAGCTCTTTCCTTTTACCTTGATATCCTCTCCCCGGATAAGCATCATGTGGAACCAGCTCAGCCTCGCTATGATCTTAAACAGTTCGTCAACACCAAGCTCAGGTGTCGCGGCAAGATCGGCCACCAATTCGGAAGTTTGCAGATCGAGCTGTAACTGGGACTCATTTTGGTGAAAGCGATCACCCTCCCACTTTCCACTAAAAAAGTGGGCAACGTTCAGGAACGATAACAGGTTTGTGGTGCTGGTTAAGAGAGCGGACTTTTCTTTAGCGCGAGGAGGTTGCGGTGTGGTTGGAAGTATGAATATGGTAGCCCAGAGCTGGAAGAAAGAAAAAATGAATGAAGGCTAATGCCAAATGAGCCATTTTTTGATATAAAAACATACGGCAAAGTACTTACGCATTCTGAGCAACAGTCTTTGAACTGCTCCTCTGTCACACAATCATTGCTACCCGGGAAACGATAAGATAAAAAGGCCGATGCAAGTTCGGACGCTCGTGATACTTCATCCGGTTCGTTAATGAGACGAGAGAACATGATGTCTCCGGAGCGCTGATACGTCTCGTGTTTGAACAGTCCTGCTCTCCAGCATCTAGGTTCTGCACGTTGCAGAAAGAAGAGCCGAATCAAAATGTGCAAGTCCGCTCTGCTTACTGCAATAGGTGATCTTTTGACTGTCGACCGTTTGTGGTCGGCAAGTAGAAGGCGATACGCGGCGGCTTCAAATTCCCCATCGGCCACGTTGGGCCATCCATGGCACAAGTTCGACTTTAGTATGGGTTGCGTAAAAGCAATAGTATCTTTAACATCTTGAAGCTGGAGCGATTCCTGCGGATGCTGAGACTGGGTCTCTGATTGAGGGTAAGAAGGGCTCAAACTCCTGAAGATGATACGTGTGAGTCGTGGCACCTTGTCAGTGTAGAACTTTTCACTGCATCTGGGAAAAGGCTGGCCGTTTGACTTCGCTCCTAAGAGCTCATAACCGCGTAAGATAATGAACGCAAATGCTCTCCGGAATGCTTTGACATCAATTTCGGGTTCATTTGACGGAGCCGAGAAAGGAAAGTAGGCGCCAACAGTGAAGGTGTACCAAAGCAGTGGTATGCCAGTCGCGACAGCTGGTATCTCAGCGTTAATGTATCTAGCCCAGCTGTCTCTGTTCCACATGCGTTTGCCGCTGGAGTTGGTCGTTGCATATTTTTTGAAGATCGTCTCGACATCTTTGATGCCATGCAGCAGCTGCCAGAGTGCTTGATCCAGATAATTGAGGGAAGAAGCAGGTTCGAGGTCTTCGAGATATTTTCGCGTCACTTGCTCAGCGGATGCCTTGCTGTGACCGATCAGAAAGGCGGATATGCTATCGCGCCAGGCCACCTTATGCTGTCGGGGCCTAGATTCCTGACTCATAGCGTGAGGTTCTGGAGATTACTTTTCGTTGGTGATGTTGTTCGAAAGCATTGTGTGAGAAAATTGAAAGTTGCAAAGGTGTAAATGATAAGAATCAGCTTACTCCGTATAGACAGGTGATTAATTATAATGGCGATGAAGTAAGGTTTCGCAGTATATATGCCTGTTGACAGACTTATATGACCAACTAAGTTACCACCCATTGACAGTCTCTCGTTACAGGGGTCTTGTCTTTGGTCGTATGGTAAAGATGTGGATTTCACACCTGTCCTATCTACCTATCGGCTCAACAGTTAATGAGAGTGGTACGAGCACGTAAATGACCGCTTACCGAACAAGTACTCCTTAGTGCGCAACAGTTGGGTAGTTTTTAATAGCTCATACATTATGTACTGGGAACCATTTCGGACGTTTCACACCGTTGGTAGTATTGTCAAGTAACTTTGCACAGAGTGAAAGAATTGATGTCGAACGTCTAACGAGGCATATAACCTGTTTCTGATCTAAACACAGCTATATACATGTGTTACCTAACACCTGCCATCAACTCAATAGCAACTATATCCCCCATCCACAACCTACCACCAAAACAAATTAGCCCTACATCAACCCCTTTACCCCCCCGCCGGAGAGGAAGACTCACAATATTAGCCCCCGTCATAAAACTGCTTGCTTCACTCGCCATCCACACGACAGCACCTTGCAACTCTGACGGACGACCCATTCTGCGCATTGGGGTATGCTCAATCCATTCTTCTGTAATCTCACTGCCTTGCTTATTTAGAAGATCAATGATGAGGTCTGTATACATGTATCCGGGTGATAGGGTGTTGACGCGGATTGAATGAGGGGCCCATCTGTAAACTTGTAAGCAGCTTGCATTTACCTCACCGGCGGGKATAGACGTACTCCGTAGCAAGAGACTTTGCAAGCATTATGATAGCTGCTTTACTCTATGATAGTATCAGCCACTCCTCGAAAATCCATTCCTTTGCATGAATATAGGAATCATACAGCATTATAAGCAGCCTGCTTCTGCGGCCTAACACAAACCTCACCACACATACTCCCCACCAGAATGATACTCCCTCCCTCCACCTTCTGCTGAATCATATGCTTTCCAACTTCCCTGGCACACAGAAAAGAGCCATCAAGGTTGACATCCATCAACTTCCTCCATCGAGCATACGAACAATCTTCCGCGGCCACATTATCGACTATCCCGGCGGCTGTGACCAGGACATCGATTTGCCCAAAGTCTTTGACAATTTGGGCAATGGTATATTCAACTTGGGTTTCGGAGGTAACGTCGCACGCGTATGGTCTGAGATTAAGTTCATGTTGAGATTTCTCAAGATGGGCGGTTATGTGCTCAATGGAGGACGTTGCGGCTGGAAGGGAGAGATCGATGCATGCTCTTTTCCCAGATTAGAGATATTTTATCTAGCGGAGTAAATAATGTTGAACGAACCCGTTTGCGCCAGATCGAGCGAAAGCAGTAAGAAACTCTTTTCCGAGGCCACGAGCTGCTCTGCACGGTAGGATCAGGTTTTAGCACCCTATAAACTTTGATTCCTTTTGCCCAAAGGCCAGGAATAACACAATTAACTCACCCCGTAACTAGAAATTCACAAAAAGATCTTAGCTTCCAACATAAGTAGGTACAAAACCCTTCTCAAAGATGGAAGGAAATATACTGACCGACACACGTCTTCCCTTCAAGCGAGAAACTAGGCAGTGTCCGCGGGGCTCGTGTATACTGTATATTTTGACGATATGTCGTCGATGAGAAATGACTGATCTGTGAAGTCCGAGAAGGATAAATTTTTGCTGGCCCAGCTGCCGGAGTACCAATGCTAGCGGTTGTAATGGAGGTGAATTGAGATCTGGACGAATAGGAAGGTGCACCGGTCCCAGGAACCCTTAGGAAGAAGTTCCGAAAACGATTCAAGGATTGCATCCCCTTTCTTGTTCCTGAATTCTAACTTAATCCGATTCTTTTTCAGAGAAGGGAAGAAACTCGTTGTCGTTGTTTTTAGAACCCCGCAAGGAAAAATTAGGAACAGTACGAATTCAAAAGAATTGAAATATCTCGAGAAGAATTTGTGGAGAAACACAACGAAGAGAACGTCGATTCAAGCTAGTAGCTAGAAAAAAGAAACCATATTCACCTAAACAATGCTCACCAGATCACATGGCCACTTACAGCCCCCTCCCCAATGAACTATAGACTGATCTCGACCTTCTCACCGATGCCCCTCTGTCGCCTAATGCCTATCAAGAACCCTCATTCTACTTGGAAAAAGCTAATTCGTCCGTAGGTAGTGATAATTAATCGCGGGCTGACCTGAAAAAGAGGAAGAAATTAGGGTTGTTCCCCCTCGGCAAACTTTCCTTTTTGTAGAGCCGTGCGGGGAAATTTGCATTATTGGGTCGGGGTAAATAAAACCTCTCCCATTAGTTACTTGATAAGTTAGTAAAGTCTGTACAACTTTTTATATTCAGAGTAGGGTCTATAATACACATCGATATCTCTATAAGTCTATAGCAAGAGGGGAGATACACAGTCAAATCAGCCCTCGAAAAGATTCTCATCCAACTGAACGCCCATATCCTTGGCCATGATCTTCATCTGTTTCTCGATATCGTCTTCCATTCCACCGCCCCATCCGAGTAACTGTCTGATCTTGGAGATGTAAAATACAAGATCAGATGTGAAAAGAACAAAGTGGAAGATGATGTGTCCTCCATAATTGCGGATTCGTTGAGAAAGGGGTAGGTCTGGTGACTCTACAAGAGCGCGCGATGCCCATGTCGCGGTTATCTTGACTCGATTTACGGGTGAGCCAAGGAATTGGTTGTTTCCCTGGACGATGCGGAGGTTTCGTCCGATGAAAATCAATTCACGTGGCCATTTAGTTTCATCGCCGAGGATTTCACGGATTGCTTGTCGGGCGGCTTGTTGCATTTCGTAGCTTCGGTTCGCGCGTTCTTCTTTGCTAAGTCTCTCAATGCCTTTGACTGTGGACATGTTGCCGCCACGGTAGGGGCGCAATAATGTTGCGGATGCGAAGATGTCGGGATTATTGACGCCCCATTGGCTGGCGATTTCTGTAAGAGTTTTGTTGTCGAGTGTCATGAGTGCTTTCCAGAACCTGGAGTATTGGTGTCGGAAGCTTGGGGTCATTTGGATGTAGAGACCGTGGTCAATGAGAACGATTTCGGGCTTGCCGTTAGGTTGTCGACGGACGAAGATGTTACCTGGGTGAGGGTCGCAGTGAACCCAGCCCCAAAGGAACATCTGAGCTGAGAAAAGGTCGACCATTGTCGTCATGACTTCCTTCAATGACAGACCGAGACCTCCGCGCTCCTTCCAGCCCTTCCAATGGGTACGCTCAGGTTTTATCTTCAATGATGCCACACTTCGTTTCGCAAGCTCTTCACGACTTGGGATTTGTTTGTCGGGAGGGTCCAGCGGTGTGCCATGTGATCCTGGACTGCCCTCACGCCAGCCACCTCTCCATGGACGAGTAATCGCATCTTTGTCCCACAGACGAACACCTTCAATCCACTCCGCGGTCATGACTCGCTTCGAGCTGAGTTCATGATACACCTTGGGAATGTAGACTCTGTTCCGTAGACGTGGCTCATTTGCGACAAATTCAGCCATTTTTTCACCATTCATTGCTTCGTTTTCGAAATCTGTCTCAAGAAATAGACGCTCGCTGACGAATGGAACCAAGTTGTAGAACGGAATATCGAACCATTTACTGTAAATAAACGAGACAACTCTGTTTCTGTTAGCGCCAATATCAGACTCATTAACTATTGTAAACTTACTTGAAAGCCCACAAGTCCCATTGTACCTGGGCCGCAATTTCCCTCTTTTGAATCTTGATAGCAACCTCCCGGCCATCCGCCAACCGAGCCCAATGAACCTGCGCAACACTTGCACTGGCTCTGGCCTTCCTCTCCATCACGCCCTTTGTCGGATCTCCCGTGAACGAAACACCAAAAACATCCTCTACTGATTTGCCGAAATCCTCTCTAATCACCCGCTCAACATCCTTCCAATCATTTTGCGGCGCATCATCAAACATTCGCGAAAACATCTTTTGAAACTCCGGCGGCAAGATTGCGGACTGCATGGCTATTGCCTGGCCGATCTTAAGGTATAAACCGCCATTGTGACGTAACAGATCCGATAAACGTTCTGCATTACGCTGATGAACTGCAGCGATGGACGCAGCGAATGGCGGGKTTGGTCGGAAGTTGACCTTATAATCTATAGCTACCAAAAAACCCAAAGCGAAAGTGCGAGTTGTACGCGTGAGTGAGGAGGCATAGAATGTCCTATCGATGAGGCAAATCACGCCTGTCGTCAGCGAGATGTAGAGCAATCGGCGAAGCCATTTTCGGGTTCGAGTGTATGTTTTTGCGGGAGCGGCTTTTCCGAGCGAGCTTGGAGAGGGAGGGACGAGGGGTCTAAATTCGTTGGGATGAACGAATCTGCGTTGTTGGCGAAGCTGAGAGTAGATAGACTGGCGGGGKGCGCGGACTGAATGAGTGAAGCGCCACAAAGAATGGGCAGTGCCCGAGGCTGGGAGTGGCCTCAAGGGCATGGCCGGCTTTAACAGATAACTCAAATCTACAAAACGAACGGAATGAAAAATAAGTTGATGAAATACAACCGCTGGGGGGAAAGCAGCCAGACGGTGAATTGAAGCAAGTAGTTTTGTAATCAAGCTGCCTCGTCCTAGATAAATTAACGACGTAACGGAGCTAGCATTAGACACCTTATTGATCAGGCTGCCGAATTCCGATCGGGCCGCCAACGCCGAGCTCTACTCCAGTCTACCTGGATCGAAGTGTTTCTGTTAAGTAATGTTTATATTGTCTGAAATTGCTTTTTTATGCTGATCAGAAAATATATTTCATCCCAACGGCACACGGCACTAAGCTACCAGGCATCGCACGCTCTATGCAGAATTTTGCGCGCCATCCAGTACAGTGTCCAGCCATCATGATTGCCGGATCAAGAGACTTCAAGTCACTAACTGTAGCATCGATATTCTTGACATCACTGGCAGTGGCTAGATGATATCCGCCCACAATAGCGTGGATGGGTATCTTGCTTTTATTCTTGCTCTCGTTGTTATTGTTCAATAATTTGCTGGCATATCGAGAGGTGTTTACTACACCTGCGTGACTGCAGCCCGTGAAAACGATGATTCCCTTATCTGTTCTTTATCAGTCAGGAGTATGACCTAGATTGGGCAGGGAGAAGAAAGGAGAATAGACCTTTCAAATTACACATGAGAAACCGCTCATCAGCAATCTTCTCATCGGATATCCAGTCATTCTCCGACTGATCAAATCTCAACCCAAACTTGACTCCATTTTCATACGTCGTTTCACGCGGAATTTCACCAGAGACGAGAAACATATTATCAAGAATAGCATGAGTCTCATCATGTTTATTGAGCGTCGCTCCATGGTCAGTGATTTCCTGGAAAGTCGGGTCGGCTTCAAGAGACACAATTTTGTCACCTAACGCGAAGCCGCGGTAGTCTGGACGAGATGGGTGTACGTCGACCACCACGTTTTTGTTTTCGGACTTTGCTCTCTTGGCTTGGTGGATCATATCAATCGCTTTTAACATACCTCCTACATGATCATTAGCATGATATATGATCATACCAAGGAAGAGATTACCGGAATGATCGCGATGCCAATGGGACAATACTATCAAGTCAATTTGAGATATATCGGCTTTGAGTCGTTTGACATTTTTTTCCCATGCTTGATCTTCGGGGCCGGTATCAAATAGAACTGTTCGTTTAATATCCCCTCTCGTTGCGGTCTATGCAATCTGTAAACATATATGTTTTCGTCTCAGATGTGAAGAACGTACGATCATGATAGACAAGCCATGAGCAGAACAGCAAATGTCCTCCATACGAAATTCCTTGGCCGCACCACCACGCTCACCGGGTTGAAGAGATGGCGATGTTGATAGGGCTATCAGAGGCATAGTTCCGCCGGCTAGCTGGACAGTGTCCGGCGCAGGCTGCGAGAGTGGATCCAGCTCATTGTCGATGATGACTGAAATTTCGAGGGAGTCGATCTCGATAAGAGATGGATTAGAAGGCATCATTGAGAGTAGACGTGTTTTCTAAGGCTGTGATTGGCCTACTGCGGGGTGCGGGGAAGAGTTGACGATCCAGCTTCAGTATATATCAAATCGACGATTTCTTTTCATCAGTCAATTGACTGCTTATGACGGACAGCAGTAGACTTTGTGATTAGATGGATAAAGAATTATCCATTGGTGTTTGCCCAATGGTGGATGGGAAGATGATCCGGGCTGATGTAAGACTGAGCTGAAAATAAAGTGTCAGCTCAGCGCTCGATCAGGACATTGCCCTAGTTGAATGCCTGAGGCACAACGACTATCTCCATCCTTGTATGTTAACGGGAAGCAAGTCAGAAATAATGATATTTGAACTGCAGCTCAATCGGAATCTACCTAGAGGAATATTCTTGTACACGGGCAATCACCTAATATTCATCTTCCCACGTCGGTACGTCCAATTTGCAAACCTGATTTACAGTCTCCCTCAGGCTTGGAACATTTCTTTTTTTCAAGTTTTGCAAAAAGATGGGTTTCATTTCATCACGCAGAATCCCGAGGACACGGTGACGAGCCTTAAAGTCTTCACCTCCCCGAATTCTCTCCAACGCCATGCATAAATATCGCCAATCCACGTTCGGGATGAGCCCGACTTCGTCCATTTCCACGAGATTACGAGAAGCACGCTGGCGCCAATACCTATTGTCGGCAATGATAAATGACCCCAAGGCAGATTCCAATTTTTTAATCTCCCTGTATTCCAGGAGATCCAGTATCAGGTGGAGAAGCTCGACCGGCAAGTTTGAAATTGTCTTGCAATAAGAACGTGTGAAAGGTTGTCGTTTCCGATCTGCTACTTCTCTCCTTTTTGTATGTCTACTGTCGCAACTGCGAGCAATGACTTCTTGGACCCTGGTAATTCTATACGGATCGAATTTCCTTTCTAGCTCATCGTGTTCCCGACAATAGTGTGCGAAAGCAAAATTTTGCAAAACAATGGCTGCAAATAGCTCCAAGTTGTTATTCTCGATAGAAGGGCCCAGTACCCATAAGGCTAACTTCCAACAACCCATGTGTATTGCAAAAGGCAGTTGGCGCCAATCATGTCCTTTCTCAAACCAATTATTGGAGGACTGAAGGAAAAGGTTCGTATCATATGCTAGAGTAAAATGCTCCCTCTCTGCCTTTGTCGCTTTTCTAACAGATCCAATGATGGCCTTGTTGTAATTTCTTGCGGGTGCATTTGATTTGGCGTGCAAATCATAGTGTCCCATACCGGATACCACCAGCTTTCCCTCGGCGGGATCGTACCACACTAGACGATGCGTTACTAGGTACTTGCTCGTCAAACACAGGCTCAGTTGTACTTACTTAGACGGTACAGAAAAACCCAGTGGTCAATATTCTTATTTTGAAAGACTTTCGTCTCAAGATCTGTTGCCTCCATGAAGATTACTCGTCGTTTGCGCTTAAACTTGATCCATTTCTTGTCTTCCCCATATATATCATCCTTGCATACTTGTTGTGAAAATCGATAACCAAGCAGGTCCCGGCAGATTAGACAAACAGCCATTGTCAGATTGTCTCGTAGTGGACGACTGATGTTATGTAGGCATCGCATCAATGGGAAGACCCAGGCGATTAAACAGGCCCGACTCAAAATGGATCCATGGGTCTAGCTTCATCGAACATGTCATCATTATATGTCGATTTATATCGTGACAGCGGAGTGACCGCTGCTGTAAATCTTCTGGCAGCATCCTGGAGGTTATCCTGTGGAACATATGGTTGCATTGCTCTGGGACAGATGTAAGAAAGTGGCAGCTAAACGCTCATTACTGCCTGAGGCACCACCGTCTTTTCTGACCCTCAGCTCGAATATCATTTTGAACTTGGTAAAATTGTCAACTGGACAGGAATATGGCTTTAAAAGAATCCTATTTAATGCAACTACTAATCAATATAGGTTTAGCAGCCTTGGAGATCAGACATTATGGCACAGTTCTGGTCTAGGCTAGAACAAATCTTGAATCTGCGACTCATAATTAGCAATAGCTTGACGTCTCTGGACAGTGCCTTTCGCTGTTCTGGCCAGCGGCTTTCCTGCCTCACAGAAAAAAACCCTTCTGCGGTCAATCTCCACCCAGGCCGGCGAGGAAACATTGATATCTGAGATAGTTGGCCAAAGTTCATTCAGGATCTTATCCTTCGTGTCTGCTTGCTCCTGCTCGGACATGGCCGATAAATCTGCGGCAAGTGAAGGCACAAGCTCCAACAACAAGACGATATGAGTGCGGTTGAATCCATCTAGAAGAGCTTCCTGCACGAGGCTAGCGTTCTCGGACACAATCCTTCGTTCTGCTACCGTCGGATGCCACTTCAACCCACTTGCAAAAACCTGCATATCATCAGAACGACCATAATACCTCCAAAGTCGGTGGTCCTCTCCAAACTCAGAAACAGGGGTGTAGAGATCCCCAGTATCATATTCGGCAACCTCCTTGGCGTAGTAAAAGACTGGTTGCACGCCAGTCTTCGGGTCGTTTTTGACAACTATGACGCTGTATATGCCTTCGGATTGCTCTCGAAAGTCGATATTGTTTTGCGGGTGGAAACACATTTCCCTGCAGATTCTGGGATCCCATGGCCCAGACTTGCGAATCACAGGCCACATGCCCATCTCTGTCGAGCCGCTTGTGTTGAATAATGTGATGCGGGATGCGACTTCCTCTGCATGATGCTGAGAGACTGGCCCGCCAGCCCAGAATATTGTGTTCACTCCATTCTTGACAAGTGTGTCGACCATCCATAGGTTGGCACCAAGTTGTTCTATATATGGGGGGACCAGAGTGTAAGCATCCACTTTAATATGCTCAGACGCCGCTACAGCAAGTTCAGCTGTCGGTGTAGCCAGAGCCGGTGGCATAATAATAGTCGTACCGCTGTAAAGAGCTAACAGAATAGCCACGAACAAATGACCAGCATGAAAATGAGGAAACAAGCTGAACACACGGGCTCCCAGTATGAGTCGATCAAAGCTCTCATAACCTTCGGGTGGTTCGAGATATCTCTGCAGTGCAAAACTTGCAGCCCAATCATGCGTCCAGATAACCGGTTTGGGAAATCCAGTGGTTCCAGAAGTATGAAGCACCATCCACGGCTCATCATGTGCTTCTTCAAAGGACTTCTTGTAGGGAAATGGCTGGTATTCACTGTCCAAGAAATGTGTTACCATCGGGACTTGATGTATTGGAATGTCCCCATGTTTCTCCGCAACCTGTTCAACAACCTCGGACACTGGCGTAATAATCGACGATGTCAAAATGGCCTTGCAGTCAACCGCCTTCATAAGCCTCACTTGCCCTTCGGTACTATACTTCGGTGAAGTGAACAGCATCTTGTACCCTGCCTTGACAGCTCCAACAATCAAAAGAATATGGCTCATATCGTTTGGTCCGACGTAGGCCACGGTAGGAAAGTTGGCACCAGCAGGGCCCAGCGTTTCCGTAAGCCACCATGCCACACCATTGACTGCATTTGCCAACACGGCATACGTGACAGGTCGGAATCCAGAAGCGAAGTCTGTGTGAGATATGGGCAGTTCGGCGTATAGCTTGTCCGGCTCATCCTGGGCAAGTTGGTCTACGATATTCGGAATGAGTCTGTAAGGATTTTTCGCCATAATTTTGATTTTCTCTCTGTTCCAAGGTTGTTGTTATTAGGGAATCTTCCAAGAGCGAGTGAGATCTTAGTCACAGAAATTAATCCAGTCTGTCGAGGATTGAACAGCTTAATATATAGATACTACCAGAAAACCCACTTAAACCAGTGCCGCAGCTGAGAGTAGCTGCTCCATCAATCTCAGCTCAGGCATTGATTGGTCAGTACTTCTTTTCAGCTGATCCTTCGCGATTTTTGTACGTATAAATGTATCATTACTAAGAGCTGAAAACACCCTATATCCTCCGTTCAATGCAACATGGGAGAAAAGAAATTGTGACAAGATTTCATGGGGGTTCTCTATCAATTTGTAGCATATCGATTTAAGCTCACCACGCCGAATTTAGGCATGCAGTGCGAGGAAATTCGCACTGGAGCAAACCTCAGCTCGTCTACGGAAATGAGAAATAGGGAATTAGAAAAGCCAGTGGATAATAGATCTTTACATACCGTCCGTATTATGCCAATCAAAGCAAATTTTGGATAAATCAGTCTTGTAGACAAAAAAGTTGGAGTGGCTTATGTATAAGCGTGAGAAATTCTCGGGTGGTGTGATTCTCTACCAGAGTTTGTGACTTCCTCGATATATATTTCAAAATATGAGATGTATCAGGATATATCAAAATACCTGGGTATTTATCTACTGCTTCCCATTAAGCAATCCCACAAGCCACTTCGAAACATTCTCCACCATTTGATTCGTGCACGTATGCCCCGTATTCTTCTGCACAAAATATTCGATATTGTGATACCCCTCTTCTGAAACCCTTTGCTTCACCCACTGTGCCGTAAATTTGTCCGGCACGAGTGGATCTAGCTGTCCATTCAAGATAAATGTTGGGATGTCTTTCGGGTAGGATTGTTCCACTACCTGGTCCAGTGAGGTAGTCAATTCGGCCACAGCCTTCGGCCAGCGCTGTCGTTGTTCGTCCGTCAGGATTGTGGACAACTTATCGTATGAGATGGTGTGTACGAGATCAAGGGGAACGCTGAACTCTCGCGCTGCGGCTTCAAGATCTACGCCCAGACGGGATAGCAGTAGAGAGGTGAGCTTTGGACAGCCGATGATTATTGCGACGCCGTGCAGTTTCCCCTTTAGGGCGACTGAGGAGGTCGCAACGCGCCAGGATGTGTGGCCGCCGAGAGAGATGCCGGACATGAAGTTATAGAATTTATTGAATTCAGGCAGATATGTTGGAAGGTAGTCTATCAACAATTCGTAGTCGTGGGCGCTGCCGGAGATAATGCTGAGTATGTCTTGGCTTTACGGTTGTTAGAGATGGTGCATAATTGTATAGAGGTAGAAACATACGCATGCGATTCATTACCCTCGGTCCATCCCATATTCGTCATGTCATTCAGCTGCTTATATATCAGCCACGTTTCATATAACCTGATCAGGATGGCATAGATACCTTCCGCTCCCCATGATTTCTCGCATCAATGGTAACGACAATCAACCCCGCCCCCTTCGGCGTCGGATCACTTCGCACCTGATGCAATATTTCATGAGCCAGCGCCTCACTATCCCGATACGATCGCGTTCTGCCGTGCGCAATATACAGTACCGCTAAATCGGTCCACCCTTCTTGTCGGACTTGGTTAAGGCCGTAGATGTATGTCTTGAGGCCGCCGATCTGGAGCTCAGTTTTGCTGGAGGAGGGCGTTGTGGGTTTGGGAACGAAGCTTGGTTCCATTTTGTACTTGCTTCAAAGAATTTTCTTCTGTCAGATATATTTCTGATGAATTCGGGATGGATACCGCGAACGTGTAGATGGATGTTGTTGTTGATATGGGTCATGATGATTATTAAGAGAGGGACATTGAAAAGAACTACTGCGGGTCACCAACCACCCAATAGGCGTGCTCCATTGTCGAGATGGATGGCATCATTTCTGTTGACTATTTGCTCCTAAGATGGATGATCAAATGCTTGCTTAAGTCTACTGGTTATCCCAAATCTGAAATGGAGTTACAAATATTTAAGCCGGCTGCTGCTACCACAGTCTGACCGTGCTTCTCTTCATTTAGTTGAAAGGCGCATTTATCACGAATGTTTCATTTGACTTGTCATAACTCTCAATGACCTCGGCTCCCAAAATTAATTTATAGTTAATGGCATTAACAGGAGATGGCTATTATCACCGATGGATAAATGATTCGCTAAGCTTTAAGCAGGTAGCACATCAACCCTAACAAGAGCGCCATTCGTGAGGAAACTATTCTCGCCACCAATCCAACTCCAAAGCACCCCATATAACTCGCCGTACTACCCAGCTTTCCAAGCTGCATGGTTAACAGCCTTGAAGCCTTGGAAGGGAATAAGCACGCTTATTAATGCATCGCGCCACCCAGCAAGCCAATCCACTGCTACCCTTCGGTTTCCGAGATGGATGGCGTCCCCGGCCCGAATCGACAGGATTCAGCAATTTGGCCCCCTCTTTACCTCCATATCGAATCAGGTGCTTATTATGGTTGATATATCAGATGTTCTAAAATGCGGGGACGAACGAAATGATTTATGCTTATCTATATCTATCTAGATACCCTCCAACTTGGCTCATCGATCCTCGTTGTGGATAATTGCGAATGCTTACTGTGGTATATAAGGCGGGTTGATTCCTCGTCGCAGAACCGTACGGTTACTCTTCAACTGCCTAGGTAGCGTCCCATTTATCAAAACAGTCCTCAACTTCAAATCAACCTACTCTGCATTGGATTCGATTACTTCCAAGATTCGTGACTCAACATCAACATCGACTAGCGCCAAGGTCCTCGAATATATTCAAACTATTCTATCCTCCAAATTATCAAGTTCCTGCCGTGATACAACAATTAAAATGGAATTTGTTCCAGCTCGAAGACCACCTCGTCCGTCAAATATGCTCTTGGCGATGAGCTTCTTGCTCCCGGCCATTTTGTGGATTTGCATTTACCTTTGTTTCATGTGACCGACAAGGCATACGCGAGTGAATGTGAATACGATCTCGATATTATCTACGTTCTTACAATCTTTGCCCGAGACTTATGATCTTCAGATGATCCTACGCGATACTACGCGAGACTACGCCAGAGGATTATTGAACTGGAATACAATTCCCAACATTCTCTTGAGAAAGACGACCCCCTACCTACGATACAAACTCCCACTGATCGATCCGGTAAAAGATCAAGCACCGAATCTCTACACGATGGACACGCAAACGAGCTATATTGCGGGGACACGATTATTTTATTGGACTGTCGCGAGGAATATAGAGACTATACTTGATGGTCTAAGAAAGAGCCTTGGAAGAGAAATGCAAAGCACTGAAAGCTATACCCTTTTTGCATCAACACTGTGATATCAACAGGAATTATACGACTATCTGCGTGTGTCCGACCTTGTTCTAAGACGAGTCCGCAACTCCGCAGCTGCAGCGCGATGGTTTCTTATTTACTACACCTTAATGAAGATTGATTGTAATCGAAAGCAGAATCTAATATGCGTGCAGGTAGAATAATTGGAAAGATTGGATCTTATCATCTTGTATATGTTCTAGGAGAGCGGAAGGGCATGAATTTAATGCTTTCTTGTTTTTGATTGTCTCTATATACATGAATCGTCTCTAAGACATGATTATTAATAACATGTATATTATTCCGCATACAGTTTATATGAACACAGGCAGACTATATGGTAGTAGTGCTTCGTTTGCCTGCGGCAAGACCATGGCTTGTACGGATGATTCGAGATTAAGATACACATAGTCGAAGTGAGCGACGGAGTCACCAATCGCATTGGCATCAACACGGAGCTTTGCTTTGATTGAAGGTAACCAAGTATCATACTTCTGCGCAAATCCGGCGAATTTATCGGGGTCTGGGAGTGTAGGTTTGGGGCGAAAATGGGTGCCACCTAAGGCCACTTGATTCTCAAGGACTTGAATAATCGTACGCTGGCGTTCAATTTCTTGGTGTTGAGAATGAAGCGCTGTAGCTTGGCGTGTGAGCTCTGTATAAAGTTCAGCGAGCGTGGTTTCGTATTGATTCATATTGATAAAGGAAATAGTAAGGAAAGACAAAATTTGGAGAAAAGAAAGATCAAAAAAGGATGTGGAAGAGGATGGCCTTGCAATATAGGGTTTGGTACGATACCGTACTGAGCTTCTTGACGGCTTTTCTTGAAGCTTTGTTGGCTGTCGCCTTAATAACTGGCTACTGACCACCCGGCACCTCGCGCACGATTCTCGTGAGATGTGAGAACTCGCTTACTGACGTTTGGAGTGGCGTAGAGTTTTGGAACGTCAGTTTGCTTTTGTAGGGAGGGATTGGTCCACTCAATAAGCCCAGATCTGTACGAAAAGTGAAGCTATTCCTAGCGATGGAGCAACCACGTAGACATGCCCCAAAGAAGAAGAAATTGATGCTTAGTTTTATGTGAAGGTGCTCAGGCCAATATGGTGCTATTGGGTCGCGGTCAACGAGAAAACTAAGCATGGAGAGGGAAATACAGAACTAGTGTCAAGGCGCGCACTGAGCTCTATATAAAGAGGCCAAACACGTGAGTTGTAGAACAATGCTCCGGATATCCCCTTCCCATACTATGTTACTCGATACAAAGATCCTTCAGGCATCACTCGTAAACAATGACGGGAGACATCTAACACAAAGCCCTGGTACGCCATGACCCGGGAACGGCTGCCATATATCGATAACCTGGTCAATAAGCGCAATTTTCGTGTTCGAGCCCTCGGAGCCTTGGGGTAGCAGCCGATATGTGGTGCAGTGTTGATGGCTTCAAGCTACTCGTGTGAAAGCGCAAACGACTCACACTGTTGCATAAACCGACTTTTTTTACACGGGTCGAAGCAATATCATGCTCACAACATCAACTTTTCCATCTCAAGTTTGATGCACACCCAGGGCTTCAGGTCGGCCTGTGGTGAACAAATAGTGATAGTCAGGGGTATTCTTGGCAGTGTGTTTCTGCTCCAAGGAATATGCACCAAACCACGTGCCTAGCAAGAAGAGCTGACTGTGTTGGGCAAATTCCATAGGGGTGCACATTGGAACTGTGCATTTCCATACCTTCACAAGTCCCTTGTGTAGTCTGTTGATGTGCAACTTGAGGTTAGACTTGGAAGAACAGCGTTTTATGCATCGTTTCTCAGTACACGGATGGTTCCTTTCTTTCAAATGCACTTGTTTCGCATGTTCTCGAGCAGTCAAAGCCGAGGTCATCACCCTCAGCGGCATCACCCTCATCGGTCTCTGATTTGGTGGGTTTGGGGGGAGTAATGAGGCCAAAGTTCCGCTTGTATATGATTTACTCGAGTTTGGAGTAGTTGCATTTGATTGTAGTGTTGAGGGCAATGGGGATGTTCTTGCCGATAGTTTCACCGTCGATTTCAGACACTAGTGTACGTTGTGCTATAAGGCGGGCGAGAACAGGACTCAGACTTGAAGATAATCCCTGCTAATATATCAGGTTGTAAAGCTATTGGCTCCTGAGCCGAACACTGGGCTTGCTATTGTTAGCTTTCGAAATTTAACTATTACAGCCCAGATTGCGCATACTCAGAATATCATCTCGAATCCAACGTTGTGAATAACGCTTTTCATTCTTTTGTCAGGAAGAACACAAAAGAACACACAGGAAAATAAAGAAGCCCTGTAAGAACGTCAACACGTTTAAGACGTGACTGCTCGGGCCCAAAATTCTTAAGCTTGAGCAGATCCCAAGAAAGTCTGTCATTGAAGTGTTGCCTGCAAAATCCTCACACGGAAATCCTGAATTGGGTACAGAAGTCTTCCGGAATGCTCACAAATCACCACGGAACTCACCGTCGTCGATAGGCTCCTGACCCTCAGCCACGAACATGGTAGGAAAAGTGAATTGGTGGAAATAGTTCCAAGATTCTTTTCCAGTCATACCTGGTGATCGTATCTGCATGAAGGTGCGTTGTCATCGTTGACGACAATATATCTTCAGAGAAGTAGTCTTCGCTATCGCGACGAACACCGTGCGACGAGGCTCCAGTCGCAGGCCATCGTCTGAGAAGATACAGATCTCAGTTCTGTATCTGTGAATGCTAGTCGTAATGTTGGTATGTGTGCCGAGCGGATTCGTATCGAGCGGATTCGTATCGAGCGGATTCGTATCGCAATGCGATTTGAAGACATGTGAAAAAACCCAACTTCGTTTTACTGAAATGTGACCCCTCTCAAGGGGCTTATCGTAATAGAACCCAAAGTTCCAAATCATCGAGTTCTGCCTGAAGCTGTTGGATGATTTCCACATCCGATATAGTATTCGCCTCGTGTTTTTGAAGTTCTGCTGCTTTCTGTTTTGGCTGTTTCATGACCACCAGATATATCATCTGGTCGAGGGCTCACGAACCCCCGACCGATTGTCAATTTTGCTGACGGCGGATAATGCCAGACAAATGCAGCAATTTTGCTCTTGGAGTCTCTCCTGGATACTCCTCTGAAGATAATGTATTTCAAGTTGTTTTGATTCCTGCGAGGCCCTCTGTAGCTTCAGCTTTACGGCGACCCATCCCAGGGTCTCAGTGAAGCAATTCATCACTGATTTATCGCAGATATCGAGATAATCGCGGATCTTCTCGTCGATATTGAAACGGCTTTCGTGTGTCGAAGAAGACACATTGAGCGCCGTTTTACACCAAGCTTATCAGACAAGCAGTGGCTTTCT